CAGTCGACTGTACTTGACCACAAACGGACTGACCGTTGCCGCGGTCACATTTAACAACCAAGATCTTGATCTATGTAAATAATTATTAAATGTACCTAAGCCTGTAATTTTATTGCTATTGATATGTAGGCAGTCTATTTTATTGCTATAATCTGTAATCTCCGTGTCCTACTCTATTGTTCGTTTGGTTTATAAAATAAACAAAAAATAGCTGAAAAAAAATTAAAGTTGGTAATTTTGGCAAAAGTCATATTAATTTACCTTTATCAGGTCCTAAAATTTTAAAGTGTAGAAAAACAATGGGTGAATAAAGTTAGACACCACCCCGAATCACTGAATCTCTTTGAACTTAATTCAAATTCTTAATAATTAACTTAATTAGTAGGTAAGTAGGTAGACCGAGAAAAAATGTAAAATCCTTACAACAATGAATAATACCTATCATGAAATTCAATGATGAAATTGTGTAGGTTCAACTTGGAGGATAAAGATGATTTTAACATGCCTTTCTGAATTTCTAGCTCAAGGTTAATTAAGCGCCATAATAGGATTCTAGTAATTCCTTAAAAACAAATATTGCTAGATCGTTAATAATTCGTTAGACCAAATTTATAATAAAACATCAACAATTAAAATTTTTGGTCAACGCCCGCGTGTCTCACGCTTGACCTCAAGACGGACGACAAAAACTTTCTGCTAAGTATTCAACTTGACTGTTATTTATGAATGCAATGTAGGTATCACTTATTTCAACAATGTAACACTTTATTAACAATATCAACAATGCGTAAAAGCACGCGACAAATTAGACGGGACGATTAAACGGGATTTAACTAAATTTTAAGCTAGGATCATAGGATGGGCTTATACTAGTCTACTAAGCTTAAAACTAAGCTGCTGCTTATTCTTACATGGTTATAAATTGGGCTGAGTAATTCCTTTGTGAGCTGAAACATTTCTAACGGAAATATCAAGCAAACTTATTATGATTTTAATTTACGATGCACTAGATTTCAAGTTATTTAGGCTGAAAATAACTGTGGTATTTTTTTACCAATTAGGAAGTAAGGTCTACTTATTATCAATTGTTAATTAGGATACTTGTTTGGTACAAAATTATCTATTGGATCTATTAAATACTTACCTATGTACTTACTTACAATTATAGTCCAATAATGGTGCGGTGTCGGACTTGCCGAATCGAAGTCCGAGGAACGCGGATTAGAAACCCGCCGCGGCGCCCCTGGACTACTTATTTGTTGTGTATGTATATCATGTTGTTTATTATAATAAGGGGTTAACCAGTTTTTGTAAATACGAATTACTAATACTCTTATTCATTCTTTAACAAGCTGTAGGTACCCGCGACTTAGTACGCGTGAAAATAGTTTCAATATTTTTTCCCGTTTTTGCAACGTTTTTCTTTGGTGTTCCGTTCCGCCCCTACTAATTGGCTGTATGGTGATGTTATAGCTTAAAACCTTCCTCGATAAATGGGCAACACAAAAATATTTTTTCAAATTGGAGCGATACTTCCTGAGATTAGCGCGTTCAACTAAACAAACAAATAACGAAATATTAAATAGTGAAGGTTGATCAAGACAAACACTTCATCGAACAGAAGTTATACCTACTTTAGAATCTAAATAAAATTTCCAATCCAAGTAGGATTTAATTATGANATAGAAAATATTTTTTTCTAGCCAAACTATCAGTTTTAGAGAAAAACTTGTAATAACATTTATTCATCAGAATAAAGTAAGCTATCGATAGGTAATTTTTAAAAATAGAAATTGTGAAAAATAACGCAAAAATCCATACGCTCATACGATTCAATGGAACGCAGAGACGCGATTGGGGTCTCCGCGGTGGTATATTTGGCGATTTATTCAAATAAAGTGTTCATAAGTGTTGTTAGAGTCATATCTTCTTTCAAGTAAAATATAAAAATGTATAAGTATTAATTTATTTACTTCTAACAATAAGGTATAGCTGAGGCAGATACACTCTGCGTAGGCTACAAGACATTGCTATGAAGATCATTTCGATGTACACGCAATACCTACCTGTTATTTAGTTTTTCTGAGTTAAACCTACGTACCTACCTATCAATTGGCCGTTCCCATGGGCGGGCCAGCTGCTGCAGGAAAGGACAGCTGCTCCCTCTTGGAAATCTATTTAATCTTAGCCTAGAAGCTGGGTATGGCTCCCCCGCCCCCCTCTTCTCCCCAGGTCATAAGCTGGGCATGACTTCCCCCTCGGCCAGAAGTTGGGTATGATTACAAGATATCAATAAACTAGTTACTGATTCTGAAAGTGCTTCATGAGCTGTATCAAACGGTGTTAATAATAGGTTACAGAATAAACTGGATCTATCCGAAAATTCAATGTTTCCAGCTTCCATACATTTGGTAAAGTCACATTATTTAAAAAACTACACATGATGTCGTAAAACTGGTTACTGATTCTAAAAGTGCTTCACAAGTTCTATCCAATGGTATCAATAATAGGTTACAGAATAAACTGGATCTATCCAAAAATTCAATGTTTCCTTCATCCATACATTTAGTACTACCACAGTCATGACATTCATCTCTTGACAATATTATAGCAAGTAAAGCCTAAAACCAATGTTTTCTAGGAATAATTTTAAATAAGAATACAATTTACGTGATTATTTTAAGAGTTTATTATCAAATAAAAAAAAATACACTTCTGATAATGTATGTCTGGCAAACATTTAGTATGGAAGCTGGAAACATTGAATTTTCAGATAGATCCAGTTTATTCTGTAACCTATTATTGGTACCGTTTGAAAGAGCTCATGAAGCACTTTCAGGATTCGTAACCAGTTTTTTAATATCTTGTATAGTTTAGAAATAATCGAGTGAGATCACTTAACGTTTCCATCCTGTATACAAGTTACTCTATGCTACAGGCTATGATTTATTTATTTTATTTATTTATTTAAGTATAACAACATTTCACTGTCAATACAGTAGATCCCATTGCGACAGTGAAGACAATCCTTTTACCTACCTATCTAATAAACCATAAACTCCAGTGTTAGGTAATCTTCAAAGTTACAAAATACTTAGTTTAAATTTAATTGAAGGTCTTCACGGTCAGGTCAGGTTGAAAACTGTTAAGTTTGCATATCAAATGGTAGAAGATCGTATCAAAATACATACAACTTCCGAGCATTATGCCCTGCGCGTCCTTCGCCCCTGTGGGAACATTTGCTGCCTCAAAGCACCCATATGCAGACGACGGCATATCAAGGCAAACAATGCGACCTTTATATCAGTTGTAATAGGAGCGATTTTGCAGCAAAATTTTGTAGTCCGATGTGCAGTCGACTGTACTTGACCACAAACGGACTGACCGTTGCCGCGGTCACATTTAACAACCAAGATCTTGATCTATGTAAATAATTATTAAATGTACCTAAGCCTGTAATTTTACGGCTATTGATATGTAGGCAGTCTATTTTATTGCTATAATCTCCGTGTCCTACTCTATTGTTCGTTTGGTTTATAAAATAAACAAAAAATAGCTGAATTGAAGTTGGTAATTTTGGCAAAAGTCATATTAATTTACCTTTATCAGGTCCTAAAATTTTAAAGTGTAGAAAAACAATAGGTGAATAAAGTTAGACACCACCCCGAATCACTGAAGCTCTTTGAACTTAATTCAAATTCTTAATTAAGTTAATTAGTAGGTAAGTAGGTAGACCGAGAAAAAATGTAAAATCCTTACAACAATGAATAATACCTATCATGAAATTCAATGATGAAATTGTGTAGGTTCAACTTGGAGGATAAAGATGATTTTAACATGCCTTTCTGAATTTCTAGCTCAAGGTTAATTAAGCGCCATAATAGGATTCTAGTAATTCCTTAAAAACAAATATTGCTAGATCGTTAATAATTCGTTAGACCAAACTTATAATAAAACATCAACAATTAAAATTTTTGGTCAACGCCCGCGTGTCTCACGCTTGACCTCAAGACGGACGACAAAAACTTTCTGCTATTCAACTTGACTGTTATTTATGAATGCAATGTAGGTATCACTTATTTCAACAATGTAACACTTTATTAACAATATCAACAATGCGTAAAAGCACGCGACAAATTAGACGGGACGATTAAACGGGATTTAACTAAATTTTAAGCTAGGATCATAGGATGGGCTTATGCTAGTCTACTAAGCTTAAAACTAAGCTGCTGCTTATTCTTACATGGTTATAAATTGGGCTGAGTAATTCCTTTGTGAGCTGAAATATTTCTAACGGAAATATCAAGCAAACTTATTATGATTTTAATTTACGATGCACTGGATTTCAAGTTATTTAGGCTGAAAATAACTGTGGTATTTTTTTACCAATTAGGAAGTAAGGTCTACTTATTATCAATTGTTAATTAGGTATACTTGTTTGGTACAAAATGATCTATTGGATCTATTAAATACTTATCTATGTACTTACTTACAATTATAGTCCAATAATGGTGCGGTGTCGGACTTGCCGAATCGAAGTCCGAGGAACGCGGATTCGAAACCCGCCGCGACGCCGCGCCGCGCCGCTGGACTACTTATTTGTTGTGTATGTATTCATGTTGTTTTGTTTATTATCATAAGGGGTTAACCAGTTTTTGTAATACTAATACTCTTATTCATTCTTTAACTAGCTGTGCCCGCGACTTTGTACGCGTGAAAATAGTTTCAATATTTTTTCCCGTTTTTGCAACGTTTTTCTTTACTGTTCCAGCCCTATTGGCTGTATGGTGATGTTATGTATAACTTAAAAGTTAAAACCTTCCTCGATAACAGGGCAACACAAAAATATTTTTTCAAATTGGAGCGGTACTTTCTGAGATTAGCGCGTTCAACCAAACAAACAAATAATCAAAATATTAAATAGTGAAGGTTGATCAACAAGACAAACACTTCATCGTACAGAAGATATACCTACTTAGAATCTAAATAAAATTTCCAATCTAAGTTGGATTTAATTATGACGTGGTGCAATAAATGCAACGCGTAATCAGAACCCCGGGTTAATAGAACAGCCTCTACTTTTGTACTTTTTACTTTAGAATTGGGCAAGTGTCTCAAGATTTGACTAATCAGCCAGAAAACTGTTTTTTACGCATGATACTTTGCAATGTAAAAACTTAATTAGTCAAAATTGTGATAATTTCATGCATGGATGCTTACAGAAATTATGATGGGGGCGCTATTTAGATTATCTAACGTGTAAAACAAAACAAACGTAGCGAGTATTGAATCTATATGCTGTTGGTGAATTGCGATGTTATATAAAATGTTAGCATAACGGCCGACCGCTGCCATTATTATGAACGGTGAGCGCGAGCGCATTGCAGTTCTGGGCGGGAAGCTGCGGCGACATCTTTTGAAGCTTTAAAAAATATTAATAATATTTGTGAAGTGTTTTTAAAGTAATTAAACCTAAGAGATAGTGCTTTAAAAATTAAGAAAGGATCCAATATGAAGCTGCAGTTATTGATGGTAAGTAAAGTTTGTTTAAATAATGAGTAAGTACCTACNCAATGTTATTTGAAGCCATAACTTTTTAAAATCTCAAATTAGGTATTCATCATAGTCCGTCCGTAGGAAGTGTTTAAAATAAAAACTAGTTTAAATCAATAAATTACAGCATAAAGTTTCAGCAAAGCACGGAAACCAACATGCAATTAAGTGCGTTGACTACTTATTTATTATGTATGGTTGGTTAAGTTCTATAATTTTTATTACCATTATTATGCTAAGTTCCTAATAAGTAATTTCTGATTTAACGAATACTTGTGATCAAGATATTTGTAGGTACATTTTTTTATGTTACAGCTAAGTAATTTACAATTTTCTCTAATAGGAGTAGATATACCTACTATTGTTAGTCATATATTAATTTAAACTTAACATTGTTTTAATTAAAAATAGGCATAACTTAAAACCAAGCAAAAGTTTATTATGACTTCGATGTTTCATAGTTCAGTCCGCAGAACTCAAGGGCATTTCTAGAATTTTACTTTCATTAAATTTATTTAGTCATAGTTTATTAGTTTCACTTTCGTCCGATTACAATATTACTTGGTGCATAGCTAAGAAGCCATTAAAAGTATAATAGCCTGTTTAAGTGCGGAATGGTCGCTTTTATAGACCTACAGGTTTAACTATCTATCCCGAACCTTTGTCCAGGCTATTGGCCGAAATTTATTTAGGGTCGTCCTCTTAGTAATCCTGCTCCACATTGAGCTTCCAAAGTGATTTGTCTCTTTATCCGTACCTATCTGTTTCGTTTCGTTATCTCTTTATCTGTTTCGTCTCATCGGTCTCATATTACTATTTTTGAGGTAGCGAGCTTTTCCACTTATTGCAATGTGAAGCTGCAGGTACCTACTGTCTAAGTATCTATCATCTACAGTCTTCCCGAAAAAAAAACCTATTGTTCACCAACATCCATGTCTTTAAATCGCCAAAAGTTATCAACATACATTTATTGATCACTAGCTGTGCCCGCAACTTCGTACGCGTGAAAACCCGTTTTTGCAACATTTTTCATTTTTGCTCTGCACCTATTACTCGTAGCGTGATGGTATTGTATAGCCTTCCTCAATAAATGGGCTATCTAACACTGAAAGAATTTTTCAAATCGGACTGGTAGTTCCTGAGATTAGCGCGTTCAAGTAAACAAACTAACTCTTCAGCTTTTATTTATAATATTAGTATAGACTAGCGGCCGCCCGCGACTTCGTACGCGTGGATCCCGTTTTACCCCCTTCATCTATCTTACGCGGTTTAGATTTTTTCATACAAATGTTTTTTCCCGCTAACTCCCGTTCCCGTGGGAATTTTGCAATATCCTGTTGTAACTAAGCTTTAAGTTTACTAACATACCTGCATGCCAAATTTCAAGCGTCTAACTTAAGCTGTTTAGATTTTTCATACAAAAGGATTTTCCCGCTAATTCCCGTTCCCGTGGGAATTCCTAAGTAAACTATAACCTGCCCAGGAGTGTGAAGAATAATTGTACGAAGTTTCGTTAAAATCCGTCAAGTAGTTTTTGTTTCTATAAGGAACATACAGACAGACAAAAATTTTACTGATTGCATTTATGGCATCAGTATCGATCACTAATCACTCCCTGATAGTTATTTTGAAAATATATTTCATGTACAGAATTGAGCTCTCTACAGATTTATTATAAGTATAGATTGTTTTTCTTTTACATTTCGGAAAACACAAAATCAAATGTTATCTAGGAAATATGTAATTTCATCCAGTCATCGTATGGAAATGTAGAGACATAAACGCGTAAGAGAATCGTTTAACCAATGGTTTTCTCTGCTGGCTAAGGTCAATTTTAAAATAATATTTTTCGTTCAATTTTTGTTTTGTTCACATCTAGGCGTGCTGGGAGCGTCTCTTACAAAAGTTAATTTATAATTTATATTTATCAGCACTATGTCTACAACTCTAGACTTTTTGTTTGTTGTTTACCTACCATTAATATTTATTTATAAGCGTTGTCTTTTCAACTTCCAAAACTAATTTAACTTTTCACCCACGTACTAAAATTAGTCAAACCGTTTAGGCTACGGGAGGTCAAAATCTCAAAGACAAATCTCAGTAAATAACTTTTAAGCTACAAAACATTGTCTCCTTCCTTCCAACTAAGTACCTAAGTCCAATAGCGCGGAACCAAGTAGTCCTTTCCAGTTTCACAGCATTCGCTGCCATAACCAAAATTAAACCGAAACCCAATTTAGGCCAAATTATCGGTCACTAGTACCAATAACGACCTTGCCAGAAGTCTTCCAGCTAGGGACCACTTGGATTTAGAAAGTACACTATCGAGGCTCGATAGTGCGAGATTAAGCGATATTTACTGCAGAAAGGGCTTTAGATTGCGAGGGCAATGCCGTTGTTTACCTCCGGCCATTTCGGAACAGGCTCGGGGACATAATGGACTATTAGGCCAGTGCGATATATTTAACAAACAACACCCTGTGGATTGCGGCGGGTACAAACCGTAGGCCAGTTGTACCTGTGCGTAAATTATAATTGTGGGGAACTTTCGCGGTCTTTAGGTCACGTTTTATGGCGTGAAATATGACACTTGTTTCTTTATAACTTTTGAATTTAATGCAATTCATAAAATATAGGTAAGATATTTATGGATTTTAGTATTTAATTTACATCAATATCGGACAATTCAAAAACATAAACGAAGTACCTAGGATATTTTACTAAAATTTTAATTACCTACTTAAAATTACCATATTTAGTCATTTTAATTATAATTACTTATGAGACTGAGAAGTGGAATTAGTCCGGCGTTTCAATTGAAGGAAACATTCCTCGGTAAATAATAATATACTGTAGTAAAGTTTAAACTGGACTATTTTAGTAACTAACTTCAAAAGAGAACAGCTCTTTTGGGTAATTCGTTTAAGTATAATTTCCATGCGTGTGTTAAACAAGCTTTGAGGCGTTTGTGTAACGCTATTCAAACTATCCGAGAATTACACTTCCATTACAATGACAAAGGTTTCTATTTGCAAACTAATTGAATAAATCATTCGTGACTTAAACTCGTGTAACTTTTTAAATTACAAACCGAATGGTGTTGCCCGCGATTCGGTAACTAAGTTATTTCAAAAACTGGGGCGGTGTGTCTCCAATCTTTGAATAACCACCTAACTAAGTAACTACAGGGGTCGGTTTGCTAATGACTTCAGTAAGTTAACTCGCAATTATCCTCTCACGTGCCGTTAAACCAGACACAATAGAAAAACTGTTGTTTGGTGACATACTTACGAATAAGTTAGAAATTAATACAATTAGGCCAGTTAAATTAACAAAATATTCTAAGATACCTAGTAGGTACGATCCGATCTTTACATTTTTTTGTAAGTAACTCCCTAATTACTCACATTACACGCATTCAACACTTTTTGTGGGAATTCTCCATGTAGGAAGTAAGATAAGTAAAGTTATGGTAAAAATCAGAAAAATCATTTTTTAAAAATCTTGACGCGTAGGTATTCAAACTGCCTTCCTTCCTTTACCCGAAATATTTCACGTGAAGAAGGGAAACCTTGAAAAAGGCGTTTTGTCGTATCGTTTCATCCATTTGTGAACTTTCCGTTTTTGCATTCCACATCTTATTTATAGAGCCTAAAGTGGCGCCAGACATAAATATGCATGAGAAAGTAGCCTATCTTTAACCGAGTAAACGCGATCTGTGTAGGTAGGATCGCTTGCCTATCTGACCACCTCGAGATCTAGACTTTCTAGGTAGTCCTAGAAAGTCCGCGCCATCCGCTCCATTAGCCCTGACCACAATACGCCAGTTAAACAACTATTGTTGGACAAATTGTGGTGTTGACGCTTGTTATTGCATGCCAATTAAAAAGATTTAAGAGGAAAATATCTTCGTAAAATTAATAATGAATGTACTTGCTTGTTTGCCCATGTTATTGTTTTCAGGAAGCAGTGCTTTTTTTTATTTATAACATTTTTAATAGTTATAGTCTCTGCCTCATTAGATTTTCATCGTCATCCTCTTCATGAAACATTAGTTTATTGGCGTGCATAGGTACTAAAATTATATGATCCGCAATTTTATAGGAAGCATGCAAGCATACATGCACGGTTCACATTCACCCTTTTCTTCCTACCTAATTATCTCTAGATAACGATTTCCCGATAACATAAGCAGCAAAAGTAAACCACTTTAACAGAGTTCAACCAGTTTGTGCGAGGCGATCTATAAAAGACATCGTTCGATTAACTCCATTAAACCAGATTCTGTTAAGTTCCGGGCCCGTATCCAATGGAGTTGGGGAAAGTGAAAATTTTCACTGAAAGTAAACCATTTCTACTATCAATAACATTATCTGGACCAATACAATAGATAGCACTATTTGTTAAATTAGAAAGTACCTACAAAGGAATCTAGTTCTACTGAGGGATTTTTAATTTGTGTGTAACTGACTAAGCGAATTAGGTCTTTGCGAATTTACACAAATTGACTTTTGCGACCTTGCTATCGCTACATCCTACATTATTTCAGTGACACGATGATGGAAATCGAGATTCAGAATTGATTCTATAAATAACTTCCTTAATCTATTCGACAGGGGCTACTTATGTCACTCCTTACAAACTTTCCAACCTTCGTGTGAGATTAAGTCTCAAGTCTGCAAGGCAGAATAAGCATTTTATCGGGGTTTTCTTAAAAATGCCAACACCACAAATCCTTTACCTTCCGTATCCTAACTCAATTCCCGATTACCTCACGGCCAGTGCTCTATAAACGCTGTCACAATACATACGTCTCCCGCATACGGTCAACAACTCATGTTCTTCAGACCTTGAAATTGCAGATCCTAATGTTTTGTTAAGCCCATGGCAGGTAAACTTCGGTCAAGTTTATTTATAGCTTGCATCATCGACCAGAAAAAAAGATAGCTTCCGTACACGGTCCATTTCTCGCGTTCGTGATCAGACCTTTTTAGGGTTCCGTAGNGTACCTACTTAATGTTATTTGAAGCAATAACTTTTTTTAATCTCAAATTAAGTACCTATTATCCCCGGAAGTATTTAAAATAAAAACTAAAATCAATTAATTACAACATAGTTTTAGCAAAGCACGGAAACTAACATGCAAGTGTATTGACTATTATGTATGGTTACGTTCTATAATTTTTATTACCATTATTATGATAAGTTCCTAATAGGTAATTTCTGATTTAACGAATACTTAGTGATCAAGATATTTGTACATATTTTTATGTGTAATAAGTAGATATACCTACTATTGTTAGTCATATATTAACTTAAACTTAACATTGTTTTAATTAAAAATAGAAATAACTTAAAACCAAGCAAAAGTTTATTATAGCTACGATGTTTCTTAGTTACGTTCGCAGAACTCAAGGGCATTTCTAGAATTTTACTTTCATTTAATTTATTTAGTCATAGTTTATTAGTTTCACTTTCGTCCGATTACAATATTACTTGGTGCATAGCTAAGAAGCCATTAAAAGTATAATAGCCTGTTTAAGTGCGGAATGGTCCCTTTTATAGACCTACAGGTTTAACCATCTATCCCGAACCTTTGTCCAGGCTATTGGCCGAAATTTATTTAGGGTCGCCCTCTTAGTAATCCTGCTCCACATTGAGCTTCCAAAGTGATTTGTCTCTTTATCCGTACTTGTAGATAGCTCTCTCTGTTTCGTCTCATCGGTCTCATATTAGTATTTTTACTATTTTTGAGGTAGCGAGCTTTCCCCGGTCACTTATTGCAATGTGAAGCTGCGGGTACTGCCTAAGTACTTATCTATCATCTACAGTCTTCCCGAAAAAAACCTATTGTTCACTAACATCCATATGTGTTTAAATGGCCAAAAGTGATCAACATACATTAAAATTTATTGATAACCGTACAGCTTGTCATTGTTTTTTCTTTTACACGCATCTTTATTAACATTTCGGGCAATTTCGGAAAACACAAAATTAAGAGTAGGCGCACACCGTTGATTTTTCGTCGGCCGATAGTTTAGTCGGGCAGTTGATCAGTATGGGCATGTATGGGAGTGCGCACACTACGCCGATTCAATTTGGCCGATTCTTCATACAATTTAAAATCGGGCACAACTATCGGCCAACTAAAAATCAACGATAGAGTAGGCGCACTACTCTAAATGTTATCTAGGAAACATGTAGTTTCCTCCAGTCATCGTATGGAAAATGTAGACATAACGCGTAAAGTAAGAGAATCATTTAACCAATGGATTTTTCTCTGCTGGCTTAGATCAATTTTGAAAATAATATTTTTCGTCCAATTTTTGTTTTGTTCGCAGATGCGAAAACCTAGATAGGTGTGCTATGAGCGTCTCTATGTCTAGAACTCTAGACTTTTTGTTTGTTGTGTGGGACTTAATTACCTAACTTAAATTAATTATTTATAAGCATTGTCTTTTCAACTTACAAAACTAATTTAACTGATCACCCACGTACTAAAATTAGATAGTCAAACCGTTTAGGCTAGGGAGGTCAAAATCTTAAAGACAAACGAATTTTAAGCTACAAAACATTGTTTATATCCTTCCAACCAAGTGCAATAGTGCCGAACCAAGTAGTCCTTTCCAGTTTCACAGCATTCGCTGCCATAACCAAAATTAAACCGAAACCCAATTTAGGCCAAATTATCGGTCACTAGTCCCAATAACGACCTTGCCAGAAATCTTCCAGCTAGGGACCACTTGGATTTAGAAAGTACACTATCGAGGCCCGATAGTGCGAGATTAAGCGATATTTACTGCAGAAAGGGCAATGCCGTTGTTTACCTCCGGCCATTTCGGAACAGGCTCGGGGACATAATGGACTATTAGGCCAGTGCGATATATTTAACAAACAACACCCTGTGGATTGCGGCGGGTACAAACCGTAGGCCAGTTGTACCTGTGCGTAAATTGTAATTGTGGGGAACTTTCGCGGTCTTTAGGGGAGACNAAGTATCTCTTATAGTTTTTGAGATAGGTTGATTAAATTGACATAATAAGTTTATTATATTTGCTGCTACGGAACCCTTTGTGCGCGAGCCCGACTCGCACTTGGCCGGTTTTTTAATTTATGTGTTCTACCTAACCGACTAAGCGAATTAGGGCTTTGCGAATTTACATTTATAGAATTGCCTGAACAAATTGACTTTTTCGACCTTGCTATAGCTGTAGCTAAGCTTGCTATAGCTCCTACATTATTTCAGTGACTAAGTACGATGATGGAAATCGAGATTCAGGATTAAGCCTATACTTTAATAACTTCCTTAATCTATTCGACAGGGACTATTTTTGTAATTCCATACGGACCTATAAGCTTCGTGTGAGACTTGCTGCAAAGTAGAATAACAATTTTATCGGGGTTTTCTTAAAAATGCCAACACCACAAATCCTTTACCTTCCGTATCCTAACTCAATTCCCGATTACCTCACGGCCAGTGCTCTATAAACGCTGTCACAATACGTCTCCCGCATACGGTCAACAACTCATGTTCTTCAGACCTTGAAATTGCAGATCCTAATGTTTTGTAAAGCCCATGGCAGGTAAACTTCGGTCAAGTTTATTTATAGCTTGCATCATCGACCAGAAAAAAAGATAGCTTCCGTACACGGTCCATTTCTCGCGTTCGTGATCAGACCTTTTTTTCTTATAGTTTAGTGAAGCAGTGGGTGGGCAACTGGCTCTAGGATGTTGCACAACATTACGTTACATATCGGAGATTTTTCCTACAATTCCTGTCGATTCTTATGTCACAGCGGATCGTTACCTGGTAGCGCTATGTTAGGAAGGTGTTCATTTCCCGTCACGCTTTAAGTAGTACAACGTTTAAGTACGAGTGAAAAATGGAGCTATTACGTATAATACAAACAAAATGGACCCACTTAATGATTTAAATTATGTACAAATGACAGGACATCAAGTAATTTTTAGATGATTCTTTGAACACCTAATTAAAAAGTTAAGGAAAATTAGATCTCGGTCGGTACTAAGCTAAGTAGGTAATGACCTACTGCACAATGTCTGGTGTTTTATTGCTTGTAAACATCTAAGTTACTTTTCTTCGCGTTGTGATGTTGTGACACAGTTACTGTGATTGAAGATTACGTGATGTGCTCCAATAGAGGCTATCAACTTTTTACTGATCGCTCTTTTATTTTAAGCTGGCATTTGGGTCAATTAGGTTTTATATTTTTATTAAAGGCTTGAAACGATTCAATTTTAACTGTCGTAATTGTTACAAAAACTTTGTTTATTTCAGATATTGCCGCTAATTCTGTCTACAGTCGCGATTAAAGTTCCTGTAGATAAAAAACAAGATGAATCGGAGGATGATACAGAAGTAAAGACGGATGATACTCAGAATAAGCCGATATACTATACCTCAGATGAGAGTGTCGATAGCTATTTGATTCCTCCGAATCCTCACACACAAGAAGAAGTCTTGCCTGATTCAATTGTGACGCCAGCGACTTACCTGTTACCACCGTCCGCTGATAAACAAGCAGGGTATTACTACGCACCCACGGAGTCTGGAGAACAATCCGATTGGTACCCAATAGCTCAACAGACTGTACCGCAGGATCAACCGGTCAAATTGCTCCCACCGAAACTGCAAAGCGCTGCAATACCTATATTTCTTTCCAACGCCAATGATTCCATACCATTCAAAGTTATACAAGACCCGAGGTCTGGAAAAGTGCTCACAGACAGATTTGTTGTACCCATACCGTCTGTGAAACTTGAACCTCCGGCAGAAGACGCGCCAAATGTGTACACGGTTCAAACTCCCTCTGAAGAGCTGGAGTTGCCAGCAGAAGAAATAGATCACCAGTATGACATTCCAAAACTATCTGCAAACAAAGGTGAACATTACTTGGACCACCAACAACCCATTGCTCCGCATCTCTTACCACCAAAACAATTTATCCGTAAATACAAAAAACCAACAAAAATCTACCCAAAGAAGTACGAAGGAAGTTTCAAACCTGTGCCGATACCTATAGCTCAGTTTGCTGACGAGGCACTCTCAGAGGTCCCTAGAGCAAAACCTGCAAAGTATTTCAAGCCTTTACCAAGCATAGATGGTGTAAATTTGACGCCAATTGATGAGAAGAGGATATACCAGTACGAGCTTGCTCAACAAAAACAAAAATTGAAAGCTGAAGGATCACAGGTAAGCAGTAATGAAAATTCAAAGTATTCTAACATTTAAGAATACAGAATACAATAGATACTAATATAAAATGATGTTACAGGAACAACAAGACGAATCAGCAGAGAAATACGTGCCCGTACCACCGACAGAACAAGACGCTTCGGAATCTCACTACAGATACCCTGGACGTATGTAAAGTAACCTTAATATTATGCAAATTATTATCAAAGTTATCAAACTTTACAACAAACGTTTTGGTGGATATGGAAATGATATTTCAGCACTTATTTAAATTATAGAGCGATGTAAGTTATATGAAAGTGAGATCGAAAATTGTGATTAATATGAAACAATTATCTACACAGTATGTAGTGTGAAAAAGAAATCTAGCTTTACAAACTGACCCAGATTTAATAACAATGCGTATGATTAACCAAATTTATTACGCAAGTAAATAAATAATTTGTATGTTTATTACCCTACTTTCCCGCGGAAGTGAGATTTAATATTGATATTGCCAAACAATAGCATGAACCATTACGATTTATAATATAAAAATAAATTACACTTAGTTCATTTTCAATACAAATTGATTACTGTTGATGTAACTACAAAGCAACAAAGAGCGGGGGAGTCAATAGCCGAAGTCGGGTTTATGTGGCCACTCTGTTGATTTTTCGAGTTCTACATGAGATTGTCTATGTGAAAAAGACAACAGCAGCCTTTGAAACTATAGGTACGTTTATTGTGGAAGCATCACCGACTTATCGATTTTGGCTAACGTGACTGGTTGGTAGGGTCCAAAAGATAAGGAGACATTAAAATTTAAAGTGCCCCCAGACTACGTTTATTTTAATTATTTTTGTCATAACTGAATAAATACTTTTTGATTAGATTTGAAGAGTTCTGTTTCCGTAGTGGAGAGTAAAGTTGCAAGTTCGTAGCCGACTGCACGCAGCAGCAGCAGACGACGTGTCGCCGCGACACGTCACTTTTTATGTATTTTTATGAAATACTTCCAGGCGACGCGACGTGTCGCTTACTACGAATGGTAGATATTTCATAGAAATACATAGAAACCAGTATAATGTCGCTGCGACACGTCGTCTGCTGCTGCCTCATGTCGTCCGCTTCCAACGTGTACCCTAATGACCTGACTATGATAATAAATCAATTCCACCGCCGTATTTCCAGATAACGCATATCCAGTGCCATTGAGGCCGGTGCCCGCGGCGGCGCCGGCGCCGATCCGAGTTGCACCGACCGCGGCTCCACCCCCACAGAACCATGCGCAAGCGCCGCCAGCACCTGACGACCGCACTGAGTTCCGCATGCATGGAATGAAAGGACCGCACAGTTACCAGTTTGGATACGACACTGGCAAAGGGTACGCCAAACCAATATTAAACTTACTGGAATCTTTTTTCATTACTCTATAAATTATAGCTGTTCATTGGTTGTTATCATGGAGTGGTTTGTGGATACAGAATCCATAAAACATTAACAGAGAAGTTCAGGGAACATAAATCATGCCTCTAAAAGTCGGCGGAATTTCTGCATAGAGAAAGCTATGTATTCTGTATGGGTATATTAAAAAAAATATTCATTTCCGTTGTGTAAAGTATATTTTTGTTTTGTTATAATGAAATAATGTAATATGGATTTTAGGACAGTGCACACTTTTTAATTTTTCGTCAATCTGTCTCTAATGCTTCAACCACGCCAAACGCATGCAGATCGCTATCGCCGGCGCGATCAAAGGCCAATGACAGATCGCGTGAACTGTCATAGGTCGCGCGACATGTCATAGGCCTTTGATCGCGCCGGCGATAGCTATCTGCACGCGTTGGTGTGGTTGAAGTTTTAGTAGTTAATGGCGCCCAAAGTGGTATTTTTCTAAAACATGTGTCACAGCAATACGTATAAATATAACTTATTTTATGTTTTTAACAGCAAAAACCGCCAGTTCCGTTACGAGGAGCGAGACAACGACGGCCTCGTCCGCGGCCACTACGGCTACATGGACAAGCACGGCAAGCTGCGCGTCGTCAACTACAGGGCGCACCCCGAACACGGCTTCCAGGCCGACACGCAGGAGGAGAACAAGGAGTGAACGAGTCACGGCTANCCACGGCTAGGAAGCGCGCCGTGATAAAAGCTTATCGATGTTTTAAACGATAAATCGATAAGATGGCGTGCATCTTTGGCCTACAGAAATAGACATAGCTAGAGATGCGATGAGATGCGCCCTTGAGTATCAGATAAGAGAAGGAAAACTTATTTAATGGCCGCCGTAATGTAAACATGAGATAACGCAACAAAAAATGATGTAAAACATTATTAGACCACTCCAAGATGGAATTTATTGTTTTTTATTTGTTGGTATTGCTGATAAATATGTTGATCTGTGAAATAAAGATGTCCATACAAAAATTTAGGTATAAGAACTTAAAGTCGCCAGAACAAACGCGACCGCCGGTAGTCTTATGATCCTTTACGGAAAATCGGCATTAGAACGGTGCGACCCGTCGGTCTTTTGATACTCAAGGGGCAATTGATAGGCTATCAATGTATTGTAAGCGCAAACAATTTATGCTGATAACTTCCAATATTGTCGATGGCATTGAGACACTTCAGTCGTTACGCTATCGGTACTAGCAATAGTTCTACTAATGTCTTAACTGATTTTAGGAGGTCAATACTATCAATATCGAAATAGCCCGAATGTTATTATCGCGACATCAACAGGGGAATAAAAGAGCGCTGGGCGGAATAGGGCTTCTGTAGTCACCAATAATAACGTCGATGGTTCTGAAATTTTACTGTGTTACTTCTACTGCAGCTGAGGTAAAATACTTAACGGTGTTTTACTTTTTAAACCATTTTACTTTCACTTTACTTTAGGTAGGCAGACTTTTGTACATATTAGGTAAGGTAGAATAAGATTCCTGTAAATAAAATACACTACTTCCCTTACCAACACTTAATTTCATCAGATTCAAAAACTTAAATAATTTATAAGACTATGTATCTTGCAAAATTATATATTCTACCAGTTTTCTATATATTACTATTGTGTAGAGTTAATTATAAGTGTCATATTAAGTGTGATAAGCTGTAGTAATTTATAATGTGTAGGGTAATACTTATGTGAAAATTAAACAGTTAATTAAAAACATATTTTATTTATAAATTCTTTGGAATGATTAATTAATAAAAAATATATAAAAATATATGAGTTATTTAAATTTACTGTTAACACTTAGATATTAAAGCATGTTTAGAACATTTATATCAATTATAATATCATATTATGGCACTAAAAGTTTCCTGTAATCAGTGATAATAATTATATAATAATGTCATGCTTTTATCCGCAGTAAAAATATCTCATAATAAATTGGCAGTATCAAAAATATTTTGTGACAATTACAAAATAGTGAAACAGTTTACCTATTCATACAATTCTTCTATAATGACGTCGAGCAGACTTGAAGCACCGATGCGGAATAGCTGAGGAGTCATCCACTCCTTCCCTAATTCAGTATACACCATGACCAGCCAGTTTACGGCGTCTCGGGCAGTCTTAATGCCACCTGCAGGCTTAAGCCCCACCTTAAAGCAAAAAGGAAATATAAATTATAACTGCCATGTATTTTTTTCAGTCAATAGTACATCTATACTTATAATAAATCTGTAGAGAGGTCAATTCTGTACATGAAATATATTATTTTCAAAATAACTATCAGGGGGTGATAAGTGATCGATACTGATGCCAAAAATGCAATCAGTAAAATGTTTGTGTCTGTCTGTCTGTATGTTCCTTATAGAAACAAAAACTACTCGACGGATTTTAACGAAACTTGGTACAATTATTCTTCACACTCCTTGGCAGGTTATAGTATACTTAGGAACTCCCGCGGGAACGGGAATTAGCGGGAAAATCCTTCTGTATGAAAAATCTAAACCGCTTAAGTTAGACGCTTGAAATTTGGCATGCAGGTACCTTAGTAAACTCAAAGCTTAGTTACAACAGGATATTGCAAAATTCCCACGGGAACGGGAGTTAGCGGGAAAAAACATTTGTATGAAAAAATCTAAACCGCGTAAGATAGATGAAGGGGGTAAAACGGGATCCACGCGTACGAAGTCGCGGGCGGCCGCTAGTTTATGATATGGTTCATGGATCATGCATAATGCTTTAACCACACCAACGCGTGCAGGTGGTGCAGGTCGCACGGTGGGCTGATATTAGAGCTTCATAGACTTAGCGTCGCTCAAAAATCAAGTGCCTAATTTTGAAAAAATAAATACGCCTATGTGTTCCTTTACCAAAAAGGAATATTTTATGTTATGTAACGTTTCTTGATAAAATTATTATTTAATAAGTTATTGACAATTTCCTTTTTTTTGGTATGGAGCTCAACATTTATTTTTATTTTATTCGTTATTCTTAAGCTTTCTTAAGAAATTGACTTTTGTATTATGTAATGCAACATATAAGCTATGTTATCACCAAGTGTCGCATTTCGGAAATCTTCGGAACATTGTCATTTTGGACTTTAAAATAAATAAAAATGTTCTAATGCTGCTTTTACACTATGCGGAAATTAGCCGAGTCAAGTCAAAAAAACAGAGGAGTGGAGATGAAATTCATTCATAATTCATCCCCACTCCACTGTTTTTTTGACTTGACTTGGCTAATTTCCGCGCAGTGTAAACGCAGCATATGATCGCGCTGGCAATGGCGATCTGCACGCATCGGTGTGGTTGAAGCTTCACATGCAAGCTAAAATAAAAAAAAGACATTTGATTCTATGTTGACAGGGACTTAATTTCAAGTTAATAATCTCATTTTATCAATAGCCTTGTTTATTATGTTGATAAGACATTGAATTACATATGTTTTAATGTTTGTGCTATTATAAAATACCTACGTAATTGCTTCTTCTTTGAATATTGTAGGATTTATGGGAAATTGTATCACTTTACTATACGTTCGTCGGTATAAGGTTACAGTCGCAGACAATGACATTCAAATACTACAACAAATTAACTTGTTAAAAGTTCCATACAAATTGCGTAAAATTAATACCTTTTTTCCAGTCAGCAGATAGAAATTACGAATAGCTCTACACATGACCAATCCCACTGGCAGTGTTGCGTTGACAGATTCTTTTCCCGTGGAGGTTTTTATGAAATCTGCCCCAGCATACATTGACACCATAGATGCTTTGTAGACCTGAAATAAATAAGAGCTTAGGAGTTATCTAAGATAACGAAAAATACATGTCATGCGTGCACTACACAGTGTAATTTGTGCTATAACTTACGTTTTCATAAGACCCCAATTCACCGACGCCGAGAATAACCTTAAGATGAGCCCCTTTACAAGCTAGTCGCATTTCTTTGACTTCCTCGTACACTGCATCCCACTGGCCACTCAAAACGAGACTGCGATCCAAAACCACATCAATTTCTGTTGCGCCATCTGCTATGGCTGATTTAATTTCTTGAACACGTGTATAAAGAGGGCAAAGACCTGCTGGGAATGCTGTGGCCACTGTGAAATACATATAAATCAATATTGGTAGGTTTTATGCAAAAACGACAACACATCGGACTATACGTGTTTGTTGTAAAATAGTACCTATCACAACCACATGACGTCCCTTACATTATCTGACAAGAATCTGACTTCTTTTATGACATTTTATAAAATTATATTGTCTTTTTTCTCTCCTGTAAAGTTACAAAAATGTAATTAAGCGGTGTTGAAGTATAAGGGACGATAAGATGCTGCAGTGTTTAGCTTGATGTACTGACGTCCTTACCAGTTTTGTGCCTTACCTAGTGCGTTGTTAATGTTGTTATTGACTTTCAGTTTTGTTCATTACAAATAATAGTTACCTGAAGCCACCTGTATTTCGTTGGCTAAGCCCATTCTATTTATCACTTCTGCTGCATCCTTCACTCGACTGGGGTACACACACACAGCTGCTGTATGAATGTTCTTATCAATATCCACAAAATCCTTCACTTGCTTGAGATCTTCCGAACTCAAAGGATATGCAGCCTGAAACATTTTATAACGTTATTGCTCAACTCAGACAATACTAAACTGAAAGGTCTGTAGTTTTTATTGGAAGGCCAAGTTAACAAGCAATTATAAGACTCATTAAATAATGAAGCTATACATTATACCAGTTAAAAAGTGATGTGTTATAAACACGAGGTGATCGGTAGTACCTTTACACACAGTCGAGTGACATTTGATTTGGTGTCGTCTCCAGAAAGAGTTGTTAAATCAATCATAGAAAGAGCTCGCAATAACCAGACTTTGTAGTTTTTAGGACTAGATACAATGTTATTCTTTAGTATGAAGTCTACATGGGAATGTACACTATTTTTGTTTACATGCACACTCTTTAAAGTTTTTGAACCTGAAAATATAGGTAGGAAATAAATTCTCAATTGTTATTATTCATATTTTAATGAGTGTATGTGTACTTTAATAATTATGTAATAATAGTAATAAAATAAATACTTACTAAAACCAGGATAATTCGGCTGTACCATATTTTCTAATTAATTTTGTAAATATTATTTGAAACAAAATGATGCAACAACGCTAGAGATAAGACTGAATTAACAAATTCTATCTATATTATAATCAAAATTTTGTTCAATTGTTTTGTAGAACGACGGTCGAAGACCGATAATAATAAAAGAAAAGAACTTAAAGAAGAAAATGAATGATGATAAAAAACTAACAATAAGAAGAGTACCACAATCAGGGTTGCCAGATACCAGCGAACTCAATTCGCCTAATTTTTCCTACCGAGTAGCCTAAATCGCCTAATATATTTTTTTTCTCAAAGTAGCCTAATTCGCCTAACATTTTAAGCTAAGTACCTATACAAAAATTGCTTATACAAATACATATCAAATCGACACATTAAAGACAAACAGCTGTTTATCTCTTTCTAACATACCTATAGTGATATACTTAGGAAAAAAGAGAGAGATTTTTGGTCAGTACCTACTCATTCATGCGCAACATTTTCATGTGACGTCACTTACTAACTACCTCACTAATACTTATTCTGTGCTTGTGCCGAGTTACATACATGATTTAAGAAAACAACATGGCCGCAATAGGCAATCAGCTGACAACTATACACACACACACACACACACACACACACACACACACACACACACACACACACACACAAACCTGTCAGCTGATTGCCTTTATTGCGGCCATATCGTTTTCTTAAATCGTGTATTTATGTTACCGGCAGTGTGTATAATCCGGCATTCTATACAATCCCTAGCCAAAAACGTTCAGTTATTGTATGAAATATTATTAATTTTATGCCCTGACTAGGTATTCTATACAATAGCAAACGCGCAGCCGTCAATGTGTGTAAAAGATGATAGCAGGGAAAGGAGAGACGAAGCGGGCGGCCTTGCCTTCACGCTGGGTAAGGTCACCAGTCTAACCTAACCTAGAATTTTGTAATCCAACTAGTTTTCAAAAATGACCCCCACCCCCTTTACTACTCTAGATAGAAAAAAGTTGGAAAAAGTCCATACTCCATACTAAATCCGTCAATTTTTTTTTAAGTGTCAGCTCCATACAAGTCCTGCATCAAATAATAATGATCAATACAAGCCAAAATCTGTTTACTTTACACATTGTCGGTGGGCCAGCTGGTATTCTGTACAATGCCTAGAAATTACGTATACCTACACTGCCTAGGTAAAGTATTTATTGAACAATAATATTTATAACATTTCATACATTGCCTACGCGCCCCCGGCATTTTACAAATTGACTAGAGATTGTACAGAATTCCTAAATTATACAAATTGCCGGTAACATTTATAATGCGTGTAAGTGTGTGCGTAATGTGTGTACTGAGCACGTTTATTTTAAAGTTACGCCAAGTCCATGAGAATAAAGTACGTCAGTGTACGCAATAGATCTATCTCACTCTTACAAAGAGTGCGCGAATGGAAAGAACGGTGGATGTTTCAGATTAAGTGTTAGGGTGGATGTGCTTATTATTACGTTTCGTTTATATCATCAACGAGAAAATTTATTTTTCAAAGGTAATCCTGAAGTAGCCTAAATAGCCCGATCTTTTTTTCTAGGTAGCCTAAATGGCTACCGGTAGCCGTATGCATTTTTTGGTCGCCATTTGACCCCCAGAGGTAGCCTAAATGGCGATAATTCGCCTAATCTGGCACCACTGCTCGGAAAGCAGTCGAAAAATGGTCGAAAATGGCCTTTTTTTGTTTAGGGTTATGATCGATTCGATTTTCGATTCGTTCAAAAAGTGCAACTTGTCTAGGGGGGCAGGGAAACGTTAACAAATTTTGGGTCTAGACCTCTATGGTCTAGACAAAATGCAATTTAAAATCGCAAACTAGTCGAAAGATGGTCGAAAAGCCCTTTTTTTGTATGGAGTTTTGACAGATTCGATCAAAAAGTGCCACTTGTCTAAGGGGGCAGCAGCGGCGCCTGCATGGCTCGCCGATCGATCGCTCGATAACCACTACCAACCACAGGCACCACAGCCACCACCAAACCACGTCGCGTCGCGCGCCGTGGCGCAAACTGACAGATTGAATGAATTTTTTAATATTATATTATCTTTGGACTACTAAAACGCTCCATTCATATTAAATCTGTGAACCAAATCAAATGTCAATTGTCAAATTTGATTGATTTGATTAAAATCTCTGAGAATTAATTTTATTTCACAGAAATCGTGTGACGCTTTAATAATATGCAGTGAAGACGATCTAAAATAATTTGCAAATTCACAAACGGATTCCAGTGCTATAACATAATTTATATTGATACTAACATTATTTCGTGAAGTGCTATTATCGCAATCTGCGACAATGAAAGTGTGATCCTTTTGTCTTCTGTGCAATTTTTCGTTTTTAATCATTTTATGTAAAAATACATTTCAGTCAACCAAGTATTACTTTGTTGCCAACATGTGTGGAGGATTTACTTGCAGCAAAAACGCACTCATTGCGTTAAATGTATTGTATGTGGTAAGTGTCATCTGCACAATGAAGTGGACCATCAACCATAAACAGCAATTTATTGTTTAAAATATGCAAAGAACTAATTTTATAATGATTTTTAGGTGGTTGCATCAATTCTTATAACAGTAGCAGTGTATGGGCAAGCTTCTTCACTAGTGGTTCCCAATTTGCCAATAGTGGGAGGTATACTGGCATGTGGAGTCTTCCTGATATTAATATCCATACTCGGCTTGGCTGGGGCAGTAAAGCATCATCAAGTTATGCTGTTCTTTGTATCCTTTTTGAAAATTGGTCTTGTCTGTGAAGATATTTTGCTACATCATGTGAAAATGTTTGTGAAATTTTAATAGCCTTAGATTTTAGTAGAAATCTATGACACTTATTATTATTATTATACTACAAATGTATTAGAGGGGTCTCTTCCAAATCTCTATTTTTTCTCCATTCTACTTTAGGTTGTACCTACCTATTCATATTTTCATTGCTTATGTATATTCTCATTTTGTCTTCTATTGTAGGATGACAATATTAATTATTATATGACATCATCTGGAGCAAATCAGAGGTGGAATTGTGTAAAACAATCGTAATCATTTGACAGTTCATATTGTACGATAAAGTCAGTTAAACAAAGCGTTTGACAGAATAATTGTTTGTTATGAATTGTCAAATGATAACGATTGCTTTACACAATTCCACCTCAGATTTAGCTCTAAAGTTATGAGTCATCACTCTCTAAAAAATGATTTTGATAATTGTTATAATTGTTAAATTGTTAGTTAGATAAAAATATTTTGTAATTTTATGTTTTCCTTAACATTTACTCAGTACATGGTGATTCTGTTTCTCTTGTTCCTGGTACAGTTTTCAGTGGCATGTGCTTGCCTTGCAGTCAATTCTGAACAGCAAGAGTTACTGGCTGAACAGGTAACAATCAATATTTTGAATATTTAATCTGGAGTCTTAACATTATATTTAATAACTGTTGAAATATTACAATAATCATTTTGCAGGGTTGGAATAAAGTGGGTTTGGATGTCAAGGAGCAGGTTCAAGAAAGATTTCAGTGCTGTGGTTTTAAGACAAGGGAACGCAATGCAACTGTAGATTTTCCAATTTGTGACCTTCTTGATGTAAGTTGATTCCAGGGTTCNACGGCAAAATCAACTAAAAAAATAAAAATCTTACGTCAAAAAGTACAAATACAGTAACAAATTTTAAAAGTTGATATATATCATCAAAACCGGATTGATATATATCGGATATATATCCGATATATATCTTGATATATATCCCTTGATATATATCCTCGAACCCTGGTTGATTCATATCACAAATTAAAGCCATAATAGTAATTAGTATTTAGTAGTTCTCCTGAGTGTTAACTATTTTTTCAGAGGACCTGCTGCCATAATGAAATGGTAACTCCTGATTGCTGGTGCAAGCCCTGTATGAAGAAGTTGAAAGAAACAATTGATTATGCCTTCAAGCTATGTGGTGGAATTGGTTTATTCTTCAGTTTCACTGAGGTTTGTTGAACAATTACTTTATTTAGTTTTGATCTTTTGAAGTTTTAAATGATAAACTAGTTAGGGTGATAAAGAAAAGGATTGAAATTAAAGAAAGCTGTAGGAAGTTTTTGTTGAAATGGGAAATTCACTTTAAATAAGTATATGAGACATAATAAATTCATTATTATTATTATTAAAAGTATCATTTCTATTTTCATACATTATAAAAAACTGGTTTCAATTCATTTTCTTTGCCCTCTTTATATGTATAAGACTTTTTTCTATGCTAATTTCTTTGAGTCTGAGTAGTCCAGGCATTTTATAAGAAACATACCAATTTTTTTTAACTAATGTGACTTGAAAGTAGGTACTAGGTAATAATATCTTGTTTAAATAGGTAATTAATGCAACATGCACTTTAATTAAATGCATGAAGTAATATTTTTATAATAAAAGTTTGCTAACTTAGTTATTATATTACACGCGTGGTTCAATTTATTCGAAAGCAAAAGAGTTACGAATTCGGGAGTGTAATTACCAATGCATAGCCATTCCATATGATCTTCTTTCAACACACATGCAGGGAAAAAATATTGGCAGCTAATTGAATCATAAAAAAAATGTGGCAAGGGCATCAATATAAGATTACTCTGACACAGAAACAAAGTAACATTTAAAACTGTTTTTTGTGTATCATATTTTAATTTGTCGCAGTTTAATGGCATACGAAATAAAATCATTGTTATGGATTAAAATTTAAAACTGCAGTACCTACCTTGAAAATTTCACTCTATGAGCAAGTGTGTTGAAAAGAATTTGACCCATTATCAACACGTTTTTTCAAATTTCTTACAGTAATCAAACTTATAACTATTTTCCATTATAACGCACAATCGTAACACTATATTCGTAGATCGCCACGTCAAAGTATTAAAAAACCTGGGCACTTTAGCACTTAAGATGATGTCTGTTCTCTACCTACGTGAATACTTGGCTTCACACATTTCAATTGCGCGAATTTTCGGATATATAAGTACTACGTACAGAAGTTTTACTTCGCGAAGGTATTTAAAAAAATGTATGCTCAATGTCATTAACAATATGGTGTAATTTAGCCTGTCTCAAGAGTCAAGCAACATTTTGTTGATAAACGTCAGTGATCGGCACTGCGCCGAAGCTATAGGGCTGACTTCGGTAAAATGATGTGACGTGAAGTGCCAAACTGCAGAAAATGGCGGAGGAAATACATGATTTAGCATGAATTATCATGAATAATATTAACTACTTATTTACCTCTGAGTGTCTTGAGGCAACTTAAAAAAGTACATTCTGTGTTTTTATTATTATTTAGGCAGTTAAATACTGCACAGTATCAGGCCTGGCTCACTCCGCGCGGTACATCCGATAATTACCTACAGCGAAGCGCCACGCCGGCGGGTATTATATCAGTCGAGTGTCACGCGCGTGCCCGTCAGGACGCTGGCGTGCGTTGTAGTACCTAATTCTATGATGGAAGTATTATTTAAAAATGGACATAAAGAGAAATAAATATTATTGTGCGGCGTTCGGGTGTTTAAATTCGAAAAGAAATCTACCGGATTTATCTTTTTTTTCGCTTCCCAAAGATGCTGAAAGGTATGTTGGCCATGTAGGTAATCAATAATTCTTAGGATAGTATAGGAACCTAACGTACCATGACTACTGCTCAGAATGCGTTCGTTCGTTTCAGCCAAAAATGACGTCCACTGCTGGACAAAGGCCTCTCCCAAGGTTTTCCATAATCAATGCGTACTTACCTACATACGTACCTCATTACAAATAAGTAGATTAATTATTTTTTTACTAGACACTACTAGACAGCAACCCTAACAGCGTAAGAAGAGTTTATTTCTCTTAAACAAATACTTTAACACATTGTGAACCACTTTTCTTTCACGACTATAAAAATATTTTAGCAATTTAATTCATAAAACCAATTGCGCACATTTAAAATAAAGTTTGTTTACACTTTGACAGCAATAGACTGACATGCAAGGTGACATGTCAATGAAGTTTTCAGTTACTGTTGCCATTAAAAGAAATTAGTACCATTAGTTTTCCGCAACATGGCGAGGGTTTTTATGTTCCTGGTCAGGCTATACTTAGTGCTGTGCGAGCTGAATTCCACTGTATCGCGTCGTAGCAAGACTCGCATTTATTTAAATCGTCTTGCGGAGTAATCCTTCTGTACCTGTACTATTACTTATTCTGTGACAGTATTTAGTACACCATTTTCTTTATTTTCTTCCATCATACACAAGAATACGCGTGCGTGAGTCAATGTTCGCTCGTATGTGAGGCCTTGTCGAATAGTATCCTGTAGGTGGGCCATCGTGCGTGTTTTGTTTTCGTTGTAAACTCGCGGAGATGAACAGGCCGGGTAATACGTTGTTTGTATCAAAGAGATATATTTTAGCAATTTTTATTAAAATAATATTTTTTTTGTATTTTTAAGTAAGTTTAAACAATGACATTATGTGACACATTTTTAAGTATAAAACGATCATGAAATATATCTTCAAGTGTCAAATACAGTCTGAAATTAGTTCAAAATACTAAAACCATTATTGAACTTACTAAACTGAAATCGATCGTAACATTTCACGTATCAATGGCGTTGTTTTTGCCACTTTTTCTAGTAGCATAATGCCACTGAACTCGTTAAAAGTAGTTACTCTATATTAACTTATTTTTCCATTTTACTACGTGTAGTGCTTAGTCTTAAAACTCAATGACCATAAAACAAAGAATTGGAAAGTTACCTTGTAAAAGTATTGTATAATAATATGTATTGTTACATTACCTTACCTAGATTATATTAATTATTTAAACACTTGTAAAATGTATGTCTTCACCTTGAACATTCTTTGTAGGTATATAAAATAGGGACTCATCATTTTGTGCTAACCATTAATATTTTTGGGTTTGCTTTGACTAACAGATGGTTGATTACTTTGCAGTTTCTCGGTGTTTGGTTGACCGTAAGATATCGTAACCAAAAGGATCCGCGAGCTAACCCCAGTGCATTTCTGTGAATTGACGGACTTTATGGACTCACAGCATTATGTTACTTGAGGTGGATTGGTGTTTCGCGCATGTCATTTGCTTTGGTCTGACTCTGGTCGTCGTAAGCGTTGAAAATTTGTCGTACTAATACTATTAGATCTAAGAACATCCGTGCGTAAAAACGCTATAAAATGTTAACTGTGTCATTGCCCGCCCGATTGATTTGATATTTGCGCAAAAATGAAAAAAAAAAGTAAATCATAATTAAATCAAATACTAAGCAAAGTTAATGACGTGATAGTGATAATTAATGCTGACTTATATGAGAAAGTAAGATTTATCGTTATATCGTGAATCATTTTTAACGAAGAAATGTCAGAATTTATGCCAGTTTCAATCAGTAACCGTACATTTGTAAAACGCCTTCCACGTCTTGCGAAAACCAGACGAAGACCACACGCATTGATGTTGCCGTTGAGCAGCGCTTTTGCACGCAACTAGATACAGTGTAACAAAGTTCTTTGCCGCCTGTTGTCGCATATGTGTGCTTTGATGTTAGAATTAAAACGTACCGAATGTTCCTAACCAGTAATTGTGTTGTAATGTGTCTGATAGTTATCCCGGCAGATTAGATTCTTATTTACCCACCCTGTAAAAACTGTTGATATTTTGATGATGTTTGTAGTATACATAATCTATGTGAATGAGTTATCTTCGTATTAAATAAGTCTACCTTCAGGTTTTGCCATAATATTATCACATCAGTCAGTATGTATGCTTTCGGATATGACGAGTTTTAAAATAAAAAGTTTTTAGTCAAATCATAATGTACGAATTACTAAATTCAAGAGCGGATTTATATTTTATATTAAACGGATTACTGTTCCCTCTCATTATTGTTACCATTATCCACCAATATTGTTGATGCATAAGTATGCAATATTAAAAACTCCAGCCCCTACCCAGTTTCGTATAAGGATTAAGGGCCTCATGGAGTACAAAATGTTTCGGCCAGGTGCACAATGGGGCGATTAAATGCATATTTTTTTCGCTTACAAAATGGTTGGATAATAGTATGGATAATAGAGACGGCGGGCGTCGTATAGCTTATAATATGACGCCCATGCTTAAAAGTTTACCGAACCACTTCACCTTGAAGACGTTCTTGCGACTCGTTATCTACATAAACAATTTATTTGCGCAATTCATTTATTCTTATTTTTCGGCAGTCATGATAAGTATAACGATTGAGAGTATTTTTATGATATGCTGACAAATAGCGTTGGTTTATATTCTTATTTTTACGTAGCATGATAATATTATGAATGTATGCATATAATTTTGCCAATATGAACTAGCATGTTTTGCGCTTTAACGTTAAAAAATAATGAAATTATAACTCAGATACTAAGTACTTAAATAATGGATTGAGAGAAATACTTAGTGGTAAAAAAAACTTAATATTAATTATTGTTTTTCACTGTCTAGCCTGATTTATCAAATAATTTATAAACATTATAGGTAGAGACATGTTTATGTTTAACGAGTTCAAGAGTTCGGCTAACCCTTAACTACAAGAGGAACTCTAGCACGTAGCTAGAAAAAGATTTACAATTTTCGGGTTGTTAAATCAATCCATTATTTATGTGCACGGCTAGCAATCTAGGAGTTATACAAAGTGTAATTGAATTAATTCCAAATCTGAAACTTATTTGTTCAGAATGGGGAGGTAGGATAGATTAAATTGATGCTTTTTTCTAATATAACGCTCGGTCTAAATTATATCAATAGTTCGAGCTGCGCAATTCACGCCGAATAGCGATAGCAAGAAAGCGCTTACGTAGTCAGAAGTCGTAGAGTTACGAACCGAACACAATAAATGCATGATTGGTTATAACATATAATTTATCAAGCTTTTTCTAATTATCTACACTAATATTATAAAGAGGAAAACTTTGTTTGTTTGGTTGGTTGTAATGAATAGGCTCAAAAACTACTAGACCGTTTTTAAAAATTCTTTCACCATTCGAAAGCTACATTATCCACGAGTAACATAGAGGCTAAATTTTATTTTGGAAAAAAATAGGTTTCCGTAAAATATGTAGGTAGATGTCCACGCGCGCGAAGCCGCGGGCGAAAAGCTATTACTTATAAACTTCTGTTGGGGCGTTCAACCTATCTATTATTATAATTACACTTTGTATACTTAACCGTGCACCGGCAAACCGCATTACCGTATCCTATCGTATGACAAAACCTATTAAATCCTAATAATTGAAATGATTGCATTTGCATGTAAATGTGTATGGTTTAAATATGCATATCAAGTTGTAAAAAGCTGTTTTTCTGAAGTACTTAATGTGACTTGGTGTTAATTTCAGTTATTTGCTGTTTGGCTCGCCCGCCGCTACCGCAACCAGCCCGACCCTAACTACAAGGAGCCTCACGCCATCTTCCCTAGGAAAAACTACCTTTATTAAGTATCATTAATTTCCGAGACTGTCTTATGATAAGTCTCAAATGTTTACCTCAATGCGGTATCTGTAATGATATATCAAACAAAAGATATGCGTATCAGTGTGGTCTCCTGTGTAGATAATAACGTTTCAAAGATAAACTGACTAGTAAATAAGATAGATCTGTTGAACTTGAACTGTTGATAGGGGGTGTATAGCTAGATTTTACGCGTAGTACAGCTTGTGTATTTTCAGCCATATTCCTAAAATTAATTTTTCAGTTGAGGGAAACATTGAAAGTTTGTAAGTATGTAGATGAAACTATTTTGTAAACAATTTTCTCTATCATCTATAACTATTTAATATTATTCTTTTATATTAATGTACTTGAGAACATAGCATATGGTCGTTGATATATTTATAAGGATAGCACTGTAACTGTAGATATCCTTTCTTGAAAAAAATAATGAATTTATCAATTTTACTAAGAAGTAGTAACACTCTTTCATTTGGTTTACAAATTATCTAATTGGTTTAAATTAAATTTAAATTAAAGAAATTACGTATGGTAGGAAAGAATCCTATCTTATTTATTAATCAGTTCTTTGGTTTTTATTTTAGAAAATAATGTTTACTTTAAGTAGGAAATTGACAAAGACAAGAGGTTATGACTTATGATTTTATTAGTAGGAACATTCCTTGAATCTTGTTTTATATATAGAGGCTTGAATTAGTTTTTTAACTATTTATGTTTTATGAACCTTGGAAGTAAGTCACATAGAACTACGAGGATATATTTAACAAATGAATAAATAGAGATCTCGTGGATTTGTTCATGCGTTTGTTCACCTACTAGTCAATAGTTATATTGTTAGAATTAATCAGCTAGGATTTTAACTTTTTTTCTTGCATGCATTGCTTAATAAATTAATCGTCTGTACTCTACTTCTAGGCCAATCGAACAGTCACAAAAAAGCTCGAGCAATTTTAAGATCATACCTTTTATAAGCCAGCTTTATATTAATTTGTCTCTGAAAGTGACTTTTGGAATACATTTATATTTTTTTCTTACTGGTACAGTTCGACAGAAGAAGAGAATGGGATTTGACGAATGACAATTTGTCGTAGACTCTTGACTATTATTTGAATGCTTAAAAAGATACAAATTACTTAACCTGGGTTGCACCATCTTACCTTTAAAAAATGAATTTTAGTCCTGTGTACAGCTACATTCGTAGTCCGCAATCTCTTATGTTGAATGGTGTGGTGATATTGCCATTTTGTAAATTATACTTGTCATGTTAAATTATGGAAAATAAATTTTGAGACTTATTGTATTTAAAATTAAGTAAATAATTTCTTCTTCGTAGGTTTGCTTCTTACTACAATTATACGTATGTTAGTTATCCACTATGTAAATCGAACTATAACTACATTTACTTGAATTGAATGTTAGCTTAGCCAAAACTCTTGATACTCGATTAAATTGACTAATTGGTCATCCAAACAGGTTGTATTTTATCTTACTCAAGTTCCACGTGCTTATGGTTGATGACAGTTTTTAAGCAGTATTTCCATGAATTAGCCAAAAAAATATGGTAGTTAATAATACCTTTGAATTTAAATGTTTAGCGCTCCTCATAATTATGGAATAGATTCTAAGAACTTTTCTCGTCAAGATACCCCGTGTGTGCCCTTTCAGCTTTAATGCCTCTACTTTAATTGTATCAAATCCAGTTTAGTTATAGGAAACTATGTAGAATAGTGGTACTTTACTCTTTATTAGAAATTTATTTTGGTAAGAATTATACATTTCTACATATTTTATTGCAAACTTATGTTTGTGTTACAGGATATTTATTAGGTTTAAGATTTTTATCGTTTTTACTTCATCGTAACTAAGTACACTACCATAAATATGTCAGTTAAGTTCTTGAACCAGTTATATATTTTACTGCTTAAATTGTATTCATTAATTGACATGTAGTATTTGTAGCATTATCTGTAACAAAGGAATTCTACATCATCATCTTAAATGTACTGATAACCATATGTTTATTGAAATTAAAGTGTGAAAGCATGATCCTTTTGTGTTGTTAATTTACAAGTATAATTCTACTGTCGCACCCTAGACGTCGGAGGAGCAGACTTTGTAATTGGATCGTGATACGAATTAATAGAGGGAAAATCGTCATTCCACAGTGTAACTCTAACCTACATACGCATGATAGTGTCTTATTGTTGTATAGTGACTTCAATTCCTACTATGCTATGAAATCGTCTTCAAACTTTTGTAGACTTGGGAGTGATTAGTGGGTAGTGTTAGGTGGCTACAGTCACTGTGCTAAAGAACTACCCGTAATTACGTAGTTAGTTTAGTATTAACCAACAGAACATTTTATAAAATACGTAGGTAGCCTTTTAATTAAAAAATGGTCAAATTACATATTATTATTTCTTGCAGTACCTTCTGTACGTATACATACATATTATATAATTAGAATGATATATAATTATTACCTATGTATTGTTTTTGTATAGCAATTTGAGAGATGCCTGATGCTACAATATGTAATCTCATGCCATGAGCATAGGTACTAATCATAGGTATGAATGGGAATAAACTCCACTAGTTAGATGGTCACCAGCATGATCTTTTATCCACATAAGATTTTTTCATCTTTAGTTACATACGAGGACTTATTATCTTAGAAGATATAAACATGAACACGCAGGATATGTTTTGAGTTACGCTGTTGGCATGTAGGTAATCGATTTGTTTATTAGGTGGCCGCAATTGAATTTACAAGAGCTATACTTAAAAACAACGCTAAGAAAATTGCAATCACATTAGAATCTACTTAATCGTTTGTTTTCACTTTATCTTGCTCACTTTTATTACCCTGGCAACTTGTTTCCGTTCCGCCATAAAAAGTGATAAGCATCTCGTAAAAAGATAGATAATCTCTACTCATTCTATAGTATACTTTTTGAACTAGTATAATGGTGAAGACATAATATTGATAGGAACGCAGCGTCCCTTGAGGTTCGTCAACCGTCCGCGTGTCGGCGCCGAAGCTTCTGCGCAAGCTTTCCACGTTTCGCCAGCGCCCTATGAAATCTGGGCGGAAAAGCTACGTGCTCTGAAGACTACAGTCGCGCAGCGCCCGTTTCGCCCGCCGCACTCATCGATCCGCGCTACCACCAACGAACACCGTGCAGCGTGTCGATTATCAGTTTATCAGTGTAGTGTCAGTGTTCAACAGCAACGATGTCCTTCGATACTGATGAGCTCCGTGACGAGTGAGTACACGCAAATTTACTTTGTATTAATTGCACCGTGAAGTGCTATCTACGGGGTATTCCGTTTGGGCAATTACGTTTCAGAATACTTATGATATCTGTAAGGTTCCATCACCAGTCTATCTATGCCTAGATTGCTCTCATGCCATGGTTAATATATCCGCTTGAGCTAGTAACAAAGCATTATTGGTGCTCATTCACGTAATTGTTGCTTCAGTAATAAACAATGACATGACCTATTAATCAAAAGTAGGTGAACTTGATTCAGCCCCCTTTCAGATGTTTAACCTAGTTTAAAGAAAAGGCTTAACGTTTTATTTATTTATATTACATATTTAGTTGCTTATTATTGCTTTTTGTTTTTTAATTATTTGTACCTTACCTACTTAGGTATTAAAATTACGAGTATGATAGCTCTAACTTTGTCTCTACAAAATTTGTAAGTAAGTAGGTACCAAATGCTTAGGTTAATATTATGTACTTAACAAGTACTTAGTGTTTTAGGTACATACGAGCTTTATCGATTTATTGTCTCTATACTGGATAAGCATACCATATAAGTAGTTACTGGAGTCAAACCTAACTCTCTCACTAATTCAGTTCTTTTTTAATAATGATTAAGTAGAAAGTTAATTAGTGTTTTAACAACAAACCTGACGCTGGATAAGTTACAAAGAAAACAATAATTATAGCATACAAACAAAAGAACGGGTAACTTTCACGCATAACATGAAAGAAAGTACGACATCATTGTCAGTTGGAAATGAATGGTAAACAACACACATGTCTGTATCGATCACTCATGCCTAAATACATAATCCTGATGGTAGGTATGTAGGTAGGTAAAAAGTGAGAAGGGTTGAGGTATTAACCGTTATCAATTCATCATTTGGGAGGTATAAACGTACCATACACGTGTTCAAATTCGGTCATTTCAAGTCTCTTGGTGGCGTGATCGTGTGAATATTGTTCCTACATCGTAAACATAAATTACCTAATTTGATCTCGTATTCAAGTTTTTTAAAATGAAAAGCAAATTCTTCCTCGGTCCCTCACTGATGAGGATCGCGACCACATATAGGTTGTTCCTCCACAGACTGCGGTCATCATAAGCCTGAGAAGGACCTAGGAAAAGTAAAATTCCTTTTAATCATGCCGACGCGAAACGTGTCTGGTGACTTCCGTATTGAGTTGTTGTTCTTATTCTGTGAGATATTATGACAAATTTTGCTGGGTAAAGCAGTTAGGCCTTTTAGAAAAGTTTAAATTAAATTGGATTGGATCAACAAAGTTTATACAGGGAGTTTCCTATAAGGTGTCTAGCCGGTGCATGCTATTAGATACAGGCAGGAGGAGGTACAGGAAACACTGTAATAATCTTAATGAATGAGATGGTGACAAATTGGAACACTTAAGTACTTATTACTCGTAATACCTGCATACCTACATTAGTGCCTAGATACATAGGGAGAAATTTCCAGTGCTGTGCATTTGCAGTGAAAAATAAACAAGTAGGTACTCAACATTGTACTTTATTCTTATTAAGGACTAGCTGACCCGGCGAACTTCGTACCGCCTTAGCGTAGAGATTTTCTTAATATTTTTTTCCGTAAGAACCATCCTTGGACTTCCACAAACATTTAAAAAAAAGAATTATCGAAATCGGTTCAGCCGTTCACACGTGATGCCGTGACAACGCGAAACGGGTTTCATTTTTATATATATAGATTAANAGGATTGTACAAGTAAGAAATAATACCCAATATAATATGCGTATAACTCATAAATTAAAGTATAGTGAACTTAGCATAAAAATAGGCATGCATAACTTTTTCCGAACTGCACCAGCTATTTTATTAATCGTAGGTAACACCTGTGGTAACACGCAGTGAGCATGAGCTCTACCTACAGCTACGCAGTGCATGCGGGACACTAAGGCTGGGTTGCACCATCTTACACATCTTTAACTTTGACAAACTTCAAAAATCTGTCAAACTCCATACAAAAACACCGGTTATCGCTAAAGTTACGGTCAATGTTAGGTGGTGCAACTCAGCCTAAGATTCACTTAACTACAAAATTCTTCTGTTTTTTGCTTTCGATGCATTAAATATACGTTTGAAAGAATATTACCCATGTAAGCTTATAAAGTGTAATAATTAATGACACAAGGTTCTATATTCAATATCGTTAGTTATAAACGAGCAAAAATTAATATAAAAACATACAGTCAAGGTGCGATGCGTTGCGGAACAGTTGACCTAGAGTGCTTTGATACCATTGGTTGAGCTCAGACAGTAAACCCTCACGAACATTTCTCTTAGAATTTTTTGAATGGCAGACAGTCAAGTTTACTGAGAACTTCAATGAACGCGATAACTTCTTAACCCTTTATTCATTGCAAATTTGCATTCATTACGAAGCGAATATTATGTAAAGTTTAACAAACATCGCTGTGTCTCGTTCACAGTTCAAAGGAGAATTCATAGCGAGCACTCATTGTATTGAGAGTTAGCCGCTCTGGCACAATGTAATATTGTTGAGGCAGTTCTTAGTACAAGTTTGAATGATTCGTTCCGTAAGTCGATCATAGTAACTATTCGTCTTTGGAAAGCTGATCCAGCTATACAGTGTGGTAGAGCGCTGCGCAAGCTCGATAATTGTGAAAAATATTTAATTTAAACTGTACCAGATCAAAATAACCTCTGTAATAAAGTTGTGATTGTGATTTGTAATTGATTCAGGTAAGAAATTAAATAAGATTTTTTACTGATAAATGTAAAATGAAAAAACTACCTAAATATTTTAAATAATAGAGATGGATACAATTCTTTTTCTAATGATAAAATCAGACTTAATTAACGAATAGATTGATATATTTTAAGTAATTGTAGATTTTTTTTAAATGTAAACATTAATATTCGTTCTTGTATAATAAAAAATATGTAATAGCATATAAAATAATACTATTTACCTTAATGACACTTAATAGATTTCGATAAACTCAGTCTTTTATCCAAATTAAAAAAAGTTACCCTACCTATGTTTTTTATTTTGTACGTTGCAACAGCTGGCCTTCATGACTCAAAGGGAAAGGGTACAAATAAAATAACAGCGCAAAGAATGCAGACCGCAAACTTTGAAGTATTTGGCTTCCCTTGGTTCGAAAGAATTCATACATATTTTCACATGCGATATGATGAAAAGGCGGTTTGTCGCACCTAATTAATAATTTAAAATGAAATAATTATACATATATTTTTCCAAAATAAACAGTTAAAAAACAATATTTATAATAACTGATCAGTAGACATGCCCAGAAATACAAAATTAATGAATTAATTGTTTCAACCTTGAATAATTAAGATTTAGGGGTTAAGTTCAAATTATATTTAAAGGTTAATTATGAGATAATCTTTGTTACAGATTAGGTACAGTGTTATATAAATCTGTTCGCTAATCTAGTGCGATAGCATCAAACAACACGCAACGACCTTGATGACGTCGGTGTTTGCTGTTTGTAAATATAAATTCTTCTTGATTTTGTGAACGGAACATAGTAGATCACATTTTTGGTCCATAACAACTTTACGACGAATTGTGTGATAACCTTTGTGGCAGCGTCATATTCATTACCAAAAGACGCAACTGTGCACGTTTATTATGCTACGAGTATTTTGTTTATATTGATCCCGCTGTTATTTCATAACTTGTAAGCTCAGACAGATATTTACTTATTAAATTAATTATCATAAAAAAGGTGTGGGACTATTCATCCATATTTTCTCTTCCTCTTCCATAGTTCCTAACGATTTTTTGTTTACGATAGCTTTGAAGTTTACTTTATTTCGCTTGATTTTATTTATTTAAGGAGGGAATAAAGTATGCCGTGTAACTGCAAATTCGATATTTCGAACGGGGGGCCGCTGCAGCCCTCCGGGTGCGAACGGCACCGGGTCCCCACTGAGCGCAATGGACACCACCAGCCCCACAGAAGAACTTTTGATGAGCCCGAAGATAATCGATCCCTCGACGTTATGCCGATCGATCGATCACAAGAGAACGACGACGAAGTGGATCTCTCCGTTAGGTTGTATTTTTTGTTTCTTTTCAATTGTCACAAACCGGTTGCCAGCTAAGGGTTTTTTTAATTCTATCTATCACTTTGTAAACTTGATAGAGACAATTATAAATAACTTGAAAAAATCGAACTGCCTGAGGCGGGAATTGAACTCTTAACGCTAAAAAATTAAATAACTATTTTAATAGAGACAGTTGTAATCTACGAAAATAACTTATTGCTGTAAGTATCGTGTATATCCCTTCCCTGATTAATTGCTGAATTTTAATCCATATATAATATTAAAATAGGTAGGTAAAGTATTTATTAAAATGTAAGAATCTACTCGTGAGTTTAATATTGTGTTGTTGGCATTTAAAATAGCAATATATTATAATATGTAAATATTATTGTAGCGACTTAAAATTTATTCAAAATCTTGATAAACCTGATGTAAGCTTTTGTATGTGACTTCACATAGCTGATAAAAATAACAATATTATTAATACATTTAGCGAATACTTGCATATGATTATGGGACGAACGTTTCGGATATCGGCTCAAAAGAAAAAAAAAAACATCCCTACTATATTGTAGAGCTTAACACAACTAATATTTGAAATACACACCATGAAAAAAAGGAACATTGTATTTTTGTGAAAGAGATTTTTTGCATCTTACGTAAAACGTCTACCTGCACGATGCGATGATAAATGGATAATTTACAAAGCAGTGAATAGGTTTTATCATTGAATGTATTAAGTATATCATTTTTTAAGTAGAAAGAAAATATTTGCGAGTATCTTTTGAAATGCCTAAACTCAAATTGCAAGAGTATTGTACAAGTTCAACAAATTCCCATAACTAGGCACATTTAGTTGGGTTTGTTATCACTATCACTGAGAGTATCTCTTTATTAATTAATAGTTAACTACTTAAGTAACTAACCTAGCTTAAATAATAACCCCTAGCCACAACTTACATGGCAGCACGATTAAATTGTTAAACTGTAAAGTTAGATTTTACCTAGTTACTCAGCTAGTTTGATATTGTTGGCGAAAAAAGTACAATATAATATATTGGGGAATTATAAAACGACCGACTAAAAAAAAACTTTGCGACTGATGATGGCCTACTGTTTTAATACCTTGAGCGGTATGAATTTAAGTAAGCGAAAAATTAACCAAACTAACGACGAATATTGATCAATAATAAAATCCAGAACGAGCTTACAAAATGTGGGTTTTGATTATTACATTTCAGACATAAAAATACTATCCGGGCGACGAAATTACTAAGTGAGCGACTAGAAATACAGAGAGGGCAACTTTATTAAGAAGATACATTAGATTTTTCTAATTGAGGTTTTACTGAACGAACTACAAAAAAGTTAATTCTAAGCAAAGTTTTGTGAGCTGCTTTATTAATGATCACTGCACAACAGCATTTCTGATGATTGGGTTATGTTACATGATATTAGTCCAATTAATATATTTAGGGCTTTGATAGCTCGTAAGATTTTTCAACTACCCAAATTATTATATTAAAATAACAATAAATACATATAAGTATGCACAGAATAAATAATGAATGGCTACCTATTGCTTAAACGCTACCTAAAAAGCTTAGCTTAGTGATACGATAATATTCCACTTACTTAGTCATGTTGTTTTGGTTTTCTTTTTCCTTCCTTTAAAAATGCATCATCAGTATAAAACTATACACGACGTATTGTATTCTGTGCTAGAGGTACCGGTTCAGTAGGTATCAAGCGTCATATATGTCGGAAGGTAGAGCCCTGATGCCAAAGGCTTGCCTGAATTCAATAAAATAAAAAGTAGTTAACTAATTTAGAATATACTTAGTTACGTTTCAGCTTGGAAATATGATTGTGTACAATATCGACGGTTAAAAGGAAATAGGGCATAAGCGACATTTGGGTCAAAAATGAGTTATATATGCCATTCGACTTAAATTTTTTTGCACTTTCGAATGGCATATATAACTCATTTTTGACCCAAATGTCGCTTATGCCCTATTTCCTTTTAACCGTCGATATGATTATAGCGTAAACAGGACCGTGAGGATAATTTTAAAGTAATTTATAAAGTTATTTTTTTTACAATAAAACGATACAAATTGAGTACAAACCATGACATTTATTATATTTTTAAACAAATATTTCTGTATTTTGTACATGCTAAAGTATGTTTTGTAACTTGAATATCCATCTCATAAGTATTAAGAACTTAATCGCATTCCGAGAAAATGTCAACGCTATAAATGACCTGTTGATGATCACACAAGCTAAATAAATTAGTGACTATGGTCGCCAGGAAATAATGAATAAACGTGCATTAGTAACGGTAATTTTTTTGTTTTTAGATATCCAGATGGGTCGGTACGCCTGCGAAACCCAAACATCGAGCTTATGGACCAGGACATACTGTACCACTTGGCGCTGGGCAGCGGCTCTCACGATCTCGTTGAGATGTTCGGAGACGTGAAGGTTTGTTTCTTCTATTCATAAGATTTTTTTTGTAAAGACGACAGCAAACTCTACCCTATTAAACAACGAGACTCTGCAGTATTTATACTTTAGCTTCATGTGCTGGCGTTTGTACCTTTAGGTACGAGTATAGCATCTATGCTGTTGACTCGGCGCTGATGATTGAAGCCACAGTTTACTGTGTCGTAAAAGAAGTTCGTGTCAGTCAAATGACGTCCACTGCTGGACAAAGGCTTCCCCCAAGGATTTCAATAACGACCGGTCCTGCGCTGCCCACATCCAGTCTCTTCCCGCGACCTTCACCAGATCGTCGATCCACCTAGTGGGAGGCTTAATTGCCCACGCTACGTCAGTCCTACGTATCTTCCGGTCCGCGGTCGTCACTCGAGACTTAACTCTGACTTGACTCGAGACTCGAGAGTAAAAGAAGATTTGATAATGTTTTCATCACATTAAGGCTGAGTTGCACCTCCTAATTTTGACAGTAACTATAACGATGACCGGTGTTTTTTGTATGGATTTTGACAATTTTTTTAAGTTTGTCAAAGTTAAAGTAAGATGGTGCAACCCAGCATGAGCAACAATTTTCATTTGAAGTTTTTTTGGGTAAAGTTTTCGCTTTGAACATTCATAATTAAAGACGCTTNGTAATACCTGCATACCTACATTAGTGCCTAGATACATAGGGAGAAATTTCCAGTGCTGTGCATTTGCAGTGAAAAATAAACAAGTAGGTACTCAACATTGTACTTTATTCTTATTAAGGATTGTACAAGTAAGAAATAATACCCAATATAATATGCGTATAACTCATAAATTAAAGTATAGTGAACTTAGCATAAAAATAGGCATGCATAACTTTTTCCGAACTGCACCAGCTATTTTATTAATCGTAGGTAACACCTGTGGTAACACGCAGTGAGCATGAGCTCTACCTACAGCTACGCAGTGCATGCGGGACACTAAGGCTGGGTTGCACCATCTTACACATCTTTAACTTTGACAAACTTCAAAAATCTGTCAAACTCCATACAAAAACACCGGTTATCGCTAAAGTTACGGTCAATGTTAGGTGGTGCAACTCAGCCTAAGATTCACTTAACTACAAAATTCTTCTGTTTTTTGCTTTCGATGCATTAAATATACGTTTGAAAGAATATTACCCATGTAAGCTTATAAAGTGTAATAATTAATGACACAAGGTTCTATATTCAATATCGTTAGTTATAAACGAGCAAAAATTAATATAAAAACATACAGTCAAGGTGCGATGCGTTGCGGAACAGTTGACCTAGAGTGCTTTGATACCATTGGTTGAGCTCAGACAGTAAACCCTCACGAACATTTCTCTTAGAATTTTTTGAATGGCAGACAGTCAAGTTTACTGAGAACTTCAATGAACGCGATAACTTCTTAACCCTTTATTCATTGCAAATTTGCATTCATTACGAAGCGAATATTATGTAAAGTTTAACAAACATCGCTGTGTCTCGTTCACAGTTCAAAGGAGAATTCATAGCGAGCACTCATTGTATTGAGAGTTAGCCGCTCTGGCACAATGTAATATTGTTGAGGCAGTTCTTAGTACAAGTTTGAATGATTCGTTCCGTAAGTCGATCATAGTAACTATTCGTCTTTGGAAAGCTGATCCAGCTATACAGTGTGGTAGAGCGCTGCGCAAGCTCGATAATTGTGAAAAATATTTAATTTAAACTGTACCAGATCAAAATAACCTCTGTAATAAAGTTGTGATTGTGATTTGTAATTGATTCAGGTAAGAAATTAAATAAGATTTTTTACTGATAAATGTAAAATGAAAAAAGTACCTAAATATTTTAAATAATAGAGATGGATACAATTCTTTTTCTAATGATAAAATCAGACTTAATTAACGAATAGATTGATATATTTTAAGTAATTGTAGATTTTTTTTAAATGTAAACATTAATATTCGTTCTTGTATAATAAAAAATATGTAATAGCATATAAAATAATACTATTTACCTTAATGACACTTAATAGATTTCGATAAACTCAGTCTTTTATCCAAATTAAAAAAAGTTACCCTACCTATGTTTTTTATTTTGTACGTTGCAACAGCTGGCCTTCATGACTCAAAGGGAAAGGGTACAAATAAAATAACAGCGCAAAGAATGCAGACCGCAAACTTTGAAGTATTTGGCTTCCCTTGGTTCGAAAGAATTCATACATATTTTCACATGCGATATGATGAAAAGGCGGTTTGTCGCACCTAATTAATAATTTAAAATGAAATAATTATACATATATTTTTCCAAAATAAACAGTTAAAAAACAATATTTATAATAACTGATCAGTAGACATGCCCAGAAATACAAAATTAATGAATTAATTGTTTCAACCTTGAATAATTAAGATTTAGGGGTTAAGTTCAAATTATATTTAAAGGTTAATTATGAGATAATCTTTGTTACAGATTAGGTACAGTGTTATATAAATCTGTTCGCTAATCTAGTGCGATAGCATCAAACAACACGCAACGACCTTGATGACGTCGGTGTTTGCTGTTTGTAAATATAAATTCTTCTTAATTTTGTGAACGGAACATAGTAGATCACATTTTTGGTCCATAACAACTTTACGACGAATTGTGTGATAACCTTTGTGGCCGCGTCATATTCATTACCAAAAGACGCAACTGTGCACGTTTATTATGCTACGAGTATTTTGTTTATATTGATCCCGCTGTTAGATCAGCTGTTATATTTACTTATTCAATTAATTAACTATCATAAGAAAAAGTTTGTGACTATCCATCCATATTTTCTCTTCCTAACGATTTTTTCTTTACGATAGCTTTGAAGTTTACTTTATTTCGCTTGATTATTTATTTAAGGGGGAATAAAGTATGCCGTGTAACTGCAAATTTGATATTTCGAACGGGGGGCCGCTGCAGCCCTCCGGGTGCGAACGGCACCGGGTCCCTACTGAGCGCAATGGACACCACCAGCCCCACAGAAGAACTTTTGATGAGCCCGAAGATAATCGATCCCTCGACGTTATGCCGATCGATCGATCACAAGAGAACGACGACGAAGTGGATCTCTCCGTTAGGTTGTATTTTTTGTTTTCTTTTCAATTGTCACGAACCGGTTGCCACCTGTTAAGTTTTTTTTAATCATGAGTCAAAGTATCACTTTGTAAAGTTGATAGTGACAGCGGTAATCTAAGAAAATAAGTTATTGCTGAAAGTATTGTGGATTTATACCTGCCCTGATTAAATGCTAAATTTTAAGTAATTCATTATTAATAGGTACACTATTTATTAAAAATGTAAGAATCTACTATGTTGTTGGCATTTGAAATAACAGCAAATTAATTGAATACGTTTAATTTACATATTATTGTAAGTAGCTATAATTCATTCAAAATCTTGATAAACCTGATGTAAGCTTTTGTAGGTGACTTCACATAGCTGATAAAAATAACAATATTAATGATACATTTAGCGAATACTTAATGATTATTGGAAGGAACGTTTAGGATATTATTTCCCAACCAAGTGATATAAATAATTTCGCTACGCCGTAGCTACGGGATATCGGCTCAAAAGAAAAAAAAACATCCCTACTTTATCATAGAGCTTAACACAACTAATGTTTTAAATACCTACACTACACACCATTTAGTAAGTAACAATACATTTTTGTAATAGAGATTTTTTGCATCTTACGTAAAACGTCTCTACCTGCACGATGTGGAGATACGAGTAAATGGATATTTTTTTAGGTTGAAAAAAGATATTCGCGAGTATCTTTTGAAATGCCTCAACTAAAATTATAAGAGTAGTGTCTTGTACAGTACTCTTATTTCAACAAATTCCAATAGGCACATTGGTTGGGATTGTTATAACTTTTATTAACACACCACGCTGTGAGAGATCTCTTTAATTCTTTATTAATAGTATAGTTAACTGCGTAACTAACCTAGCCTAACCAGTAATCCCTAGCCACAACTTACAGTGGCAGCATGATTAAATCGTTAAAACTGTAAAGTTATATTTTACTTACTTACTTACTTTAGTTAAATAAATAAATGAATGGGTACGTAGTAAAAAGTTTAGCTTAGGACACGATGGTATTATTACTTAGTCATGTTGTTTTCAGTTTCTTTTTCCTTCCTTTAAAAATGCATCATTGTATCGGTATAAAACTATACGTACTGTATTCTGTGTTAGAGGTACCGGTTAAGTAGGTATCAAGCGTCTTATGTCGGAAGGTAGAGCCCCGATGCCAAGGGTCTTGAATCCAACAAATTAAAAAGGTAACAAAAATGTTGTAGGTAAATTACGATAGGTAGGTATTATGTACTTTTTACGAGATTTAAAGACGGATACGTTTCAGCTTGAAAATATGATATGTTTATAACGTAAACAGGACCGTAAGGATAATGTTAAAGTAATTTATATTAAAGTTATTTTTTACAATAAAACGATACAAATTGAGTACAAACCATGACATTTATTATTTCTTTATATTTTTAAACAAATATTTCTGTATTTTATACATGCTAAAGTATGTTTTATAACTTGAATAGCCATCTCATAAGTATTAAGAACTTAATCGCATTCCGAGAAAATGTCAACGCTATAAATGACCTGTTGATGATCACACAAGCTAAATAAATTAGTGACCGTGGTCGCCAGGAAATAATGAATAAACGTGCATTAGTAACAGTATTGTTTTTGTTTTTAGATATCCAGATGGGTCGGTACGCCTGCGAAACCCAAACATCGAGCTTATGGACCAGGACATACTGTACCACTTGGCGCTGGGCAGCGGCTCTCACGATCTCGTTGAGATGTTCGGAGACGTGAAGGTTTGTTTCCTCTATTCATAATATTTTTTTGTAAAGACGACAGCAGCAGCATATCAGACTATACGTTTTTGTTGCAAACTCTACCCTATTAAACAACGTAAGACTCTACAGTATTTAGACTTTAGCTTGATGTGCTGGCGTTTGTACCTTTAGGTACGAGTATAGCATCTATGCTGTTGACTCGGCGCTGATGATTGAAGCCACAGTTTACTGTGTCGTAAAAGAAGTTCGTGTCAGTCAAATGACGTCCACTGCTGGAAAAAGGCTTCCCCCAAGGATTTCAATAACGACCGGTCCTGCGCTGCCCACATCCAGTCTCTTCCCGCGACCTTCACCAGATCGTCGATCCACCTAGTGGGAGGCTTAATTGCCCACGCTACGTCAGTCCTACGTATCTTCCGGTCCGCGGTCGTCACTCGAGACTTAACTCTGACTTGACTCGAGACTCGAGAGTAAAAGAAGATTTGATAATGTTTTCATCACATTAAGGCTGAGTTGCACCTCCTAATTTTGACAGTAACTATAACGATGACCGGTGTTTTTTGTATGGATTTTGACAATTTTTTTAAGTTTGTCAAAGTTAAAGTAAGATGGTGCAACCCAGCATGAGCAACAATTTTCATTTGAAGTTTTTTTGGGTAAAGTTTTCGCTTTGAACATTCATAATTAAAGACGCTTNCTCGCTAATGAGAAAATGAAAACCTTGTTGTTAATTAGAATGTTTTTTTTCAATCAATCAATCATATCTTGTTTGTTCTCAGTTCGTATGTATGGGTGGCACGCCCAAGCGCATGGAACAATTTGCCTACACCATAATGGCGGAGATCGGGCACAAGCTGCCGTGTGGGACCACCCTGCAGGACATCAGCCAATTCTCGTACAGGTACTCCATGTACAAAGTGGGACCTGTCCTCTCTATAAGTGTAAGTATTTCATTAAAAATCTACCTGTTTAATGCTATAATAACAACAAGAAACTTTCTTTTAGTATTGCACCCGCGTAAATTCAGTATTTTAAAAAATCTATATATATGTTACAGGAAATGTATGAATTCTAGGAATTGTATACTATTCCTAAGAAATGTATACAATTCCGAAGCTATTTAGGAAATGTATAAAATATTGCTTCAGAGATTTTTTAAGACGCACATATCCTAGGACATGTATACTTTTCCTAGGAATTTTATAGAATTCCAATATTGTATTAGGAAATGTATAAAAGCGGCACAAGCGCGGTCTCGTGTGATCGGGTGCCCCTCAGTACGCCTAAAATTTCATTTAGCCAAACCACATTAGGTAGGTAGTTAGGTACTTATAACTCACAACTATTATTGTTTAGCCTGAAAGTTGTTTTCACACTATTATACTTTGGCTGAAAAAAATATTTGCCTATTGGCATACTTTTCTTTCGGCATCACGCATATTACGCTGAAGTATTGGAAAACCCTAATTTTAACATCTCTTTTATTTAACTATTATTGGCATGAAGGTTTTAGTACTCCTGTAGCTGGATAACAAAGTCTCGGTTAGGTTTGGTTAGACTTGCGACCTTACACATACACAGCGACCGCGGCGCGGAAGCGCCCCATTTAAGTTTCGGAGAAAAAAAAGAAATCTTATTTACATTTCCGATTGCTGTTTAGGAAATGTGTAAATTTCCTAGGAAATGTGTCTAATATAATTTAACATCACACGTTTCCGGGTGATTTTAGGACTTATATACAAATCCTAGGAATTGTATACAATGACGGATTTCATACATTTCCTGTAACATATATAAAAGAAAGTCGTGTTAGTTACTCCACTTATAACTCAAGAACGGCTGAACCGATTTAGCTGAAAATTGTCAGGGAGGTAGTTTAAAGCCAGGAGAAGGACATAGGATACTTTTTATCCCGTTCGAAATTAAAAAAAGAAGTCTGCTTATTTATTGCCATTTAGGCGGAACAAAGTTCGCCGGGTCAGCTAGTATCTATCTATATATATAAAAGAAAGTCGTGTTAGTTACTTCGCTTATAACTCAAGAACGGCTGAACCGATTTAGCTGAAAATTGTCAGGGAGGTAGTTTAGAGCCAGGAGAAGGACATAGGATACTTTTTATCCCGTTCGAAATTAAAAAAAAGTCTGCTTATTTATTGCCATTAAGGCGGAACAAAGTTCGCCGGGTCAGCTAGTAATTTATAAACTCCATTTCGGTGAAAGGAGATGATGGCAATGTGTTTTTTTTCAGTTTGGCTTTTTTCAGTTTCAATAAAAAAAGTTTACGGTTAGACTAACCGTAAACTAACCGGGTTAGTTCTAGATCTCGAGCGGCGTATTCTTTGTTCTGATGGGCAATGGAATAAAATCTAAGTAAGTAGTCTTAATTCTTTACCGACGTTATTTCTAATTCGTAGATTTTTACCAACTTCAAAAAAGGAGGAGGTTTTCAATTCGATTGTACCAATGTCGTGTTGTATTAGAATTGGATAATTAGACAGTTCAAGTATTATCAGAATCATTACATATTCTGATGTAGGTGCCTATGTAGTAACTTAGGTCTAAATAGTGAAAACAATATAAAAAGTGGTCTATTAGTTTAAAAGTAGTTGCCGGCCGCCGCGACCGCGAATGTTCAATTGAAATAAATTGGCCACGCTACATGCAGTCCGAATCACATGTATGATCCGTTTTTATGCACGTGCGTGCTCACTGGATAGAACTCGTTTCAGTTGATTTGGTGAATTTATGTTTCATTAGATCTGTTGACCTAGGCAACTATACGAGTACACATTAATGCGTAGTAGTAATAGGTGTTTATTAGGTGTTTCCTTGCGTTTTAAGTGTGTATTAACACGTTACTGTATATCATTTGGACCAATGCTTTTAGGTATTATTTACGTGTGTATTTCATAAATGATGGATTTGTTTTTATTAATTGTAATATTTTTACGTGATACGGATACAAAAAATCATTATTATCTTAAAACAGAAATGAACATCAAGTCATTGTTTTACAGAATACGGCTCACAATTTTCAATTAATCGAGTAAAAAAGCTGCAACGAATAACATTTTACGCTCATATCGATAAATTTATAAAATCGTTATTATTTATAAGGTTATATTACACGCCTCTTCTTAATGGAGCCACTAACGAGTTCCACAAAAGAGGGTAAAGAACGAGCTTTGTAGGAAGCTCGAGTGGAGATGGTAATTACTTCGATTCCCGAAGTCAACAAACTTCGTGATTGATCGCACTTGTGTTTGCGCGCTGTTTGCTCGACTAGAAAAATTCAACAACGGCTACTTCCAATTAGTTATTGTTATGGTAGATAATAAGTAACATTATAGACTTATAGTACGTGCCTAGTAATCACCAGTAGGTTTAGAGCATCTACTATTTCTGAACACATAACACAATACATTGATGGAATATGAAACAGTAAAACGCGATACGGTTTAAATTAATTACGAGTACATTCGTAATGCCGGTTAACAAGGAACACACTGCATATTCATGATAAGAACACCTTTTGCAGAAGTGCACCTTGACATTAACATCAGCGATACCTATATCGAGTGACAGACACAAGACGGATCAGTTATTTTTTGCTTCATTATATCGAAGGCTAGTTGCAGTGACGAAATTCCCCATCGCACAAAACGCTTGCTGTTTTACCTGGCACTGATATACTTACTTAGCTCGAGTGCACACCGAGGACACACGTGCGTGTCGCCCACGTGCCGCAATAAATGTCGACTGCGTCGCAGTAGTCTTGGTTCAAAGCTTTTGGTCTTGCAGGAAACACTAAAAGCTACGAAAGTAAGTTAGAACTCCTACTCAAACACTACGGCAGACTGTGGAACTTTCTGCAGTCTCTCGCATAAAACATTATATAAACAAGGCAGATGATAATATTTATTTGAATAATCTTCTGTGGAAATGCGCATTTTTAAACTTGAATATCTAAACTTTTTGAATATGAATGGTTCATATTCAAAAAGTTCGCTTATAAGCGAAAATCCAAATATCGACATAAATAGGTACCATTCGTAGGTACCTATGGCAAAATACAACAGCATTATTATAATCCTATGTCACCTAAGGAACTTACGCACATCAAATCAAACGAATAATAATATGTAAATACTGTTAAAATATTTAGCTCTATCTATCCACGTCTTTTATGAATTTTGGTGTATGATTCCAGCACGGCATGGGCATACCGTCAGTGGGCATCCTGCTGCACGAGATCATCAAGCTCATGTACCACGCCAAGGTGCGCGACCCGGTGTTCTTCCGCATCGGCACCTGCGGCGGCATCGGCTACGAGGGCGGCACTGTCATCATCTCTGAAGAAGCCGTCGATGGTGCTCTCAAAAATGCTTACGAGTTGGTATGTAAAGTGTAATCTACTAGTTACTATAGCTTTTGATGCTGTTTTTCTGATATTCATTTGTCGTAAATTGAGCTGGTGAATATTACTTGAATGTATTACAGACGGTGTTGGGCAAAACGATTCAGCGCCCTGCCAAGCTGGACAAACGACTGGCGCGAGAGTTAAAGGGCCTGGCAGACCCTGAGGACCCATATGACACGGTCACCGGCAAAACGATGTGCACTTACGACTTTTACGAAGGTGAGTTATGTACAGAGACAAGTGATCAATTTCGTAAACCTATAAATTCAGGGGCTAGCTGTTCTAAATGGTAATTTCTGTACTGCCTCAGGATACACCTACTAAGCGGATGATCTTTTTTAATTTAGGTATCTGTGCTTAATAAAAATAAACAAATAAATTATTTCCAATTGTGTCTCTTTTACGTATAAAATTACATGTTGTTGTCGAGTAGTTTTGTTGAAAGTTCTTTTGGATTTTGAGGCTACGATTTTTGATTAGTTCGTAATTAATGAATTACCTAAAAAAAATTACAGGGCAAGGTCGTCTGGATGGCGCGTTCTGCGACTTCACCGAAGCGGACAAAATGGAGTATCTTGAAAGCATACACAAGTCGGGTGTCGTGAACATTGAGATGGAGTCTCTGGCGTTCGCCGCACTCACCCATCACGCGGGCATCAAAGCCGCCGTCGTCTGCGTCACGCTGCTCGACAGGCTCAAGGGAGATCAGGTCTCAGAATCATCTATTATTTCATCAACATTCCACACATTACACTCCCATTTAATAGATTAGACTCAATAATATTTCAATTGGCGTTAATTTATCTTGGCAGATAGGTTACAGAGCTTGAAGTACACTTCAAGGTCAAAATCTCACCCGTTTAACAAATAAATATTTCAAGTCTGAATAAATGAATTACAATGAACATTGATTTTGAAGTGAATCTAATCGTAATAATGGAATATTTTACAGGTACTGGCACCCAAAGAAGTGTTGGATGAGTGGCAGCAACGTCCCACAAAACTGGTTTGCCGTTACATCAAAAGGTAAGAAAAAGTTTCGAATTATTGATTAATAAAGTTAGAGTATGTATTAGATAATGAAATTCTCAATATACTTATTGAACCATTTATTATATGGCAACGACGACGCTGATGTCGCTAGCAGCCTACAACATATACCTACTACAAGCAGTTTTCATTTACATTTCCTTTAATCATTGAGGGTTTCCTTCCCAGATATTTGCAGATGAAGGGCCGATTATCACTGGACGGTCACGGCTCGGTGGCTGTGAAGAGCCCTCGGCGGTTCAAGCTGGTGCAGCAGGAGTCGGAGACCTACGACTAATTCGTACAACGCTTTATCACGACGCGACGAACAAACGTCAAGGGGAGATAGGATTACGGGGGATGCTTTATTATTATGTTGCAAAATGTTTTCAGGCGAAAAATTTTATACTGGGTGTCCCAAAAACTACGTCGAGCAAAGTCTAGAAGTAGACTAGACACGTCTAGGAATACCCGAATCTCCTCTCAGCATCTCCTAGTTATCGAATTATGAATTACTTACATGTGTTGATAAAATTGATGACTGTGATTTGGTACTCTACATCTGAGCTATCACTTGACGTAATTTATCTTGACACCCTATAAAAAGCTTCATAATTAAATTTTGATCGAAATTAACGTTCTGTGCAATGGTGATCGAATGTCGTGTCACCAATATTATTATATTACTTCATTGGATAGCAATTTACTATAGCCCCGTATCGTATTCCTATCCTCGGTGAAGGGCCTATCCGCAGGCTTATCGGCCAGCTATGCTGCTTAGCCGGCCCTGGAAGCCATACTATGAGTACCTAGTCGACGTTTGCGTCAACATCGACCAATCGATATGAGTATTAATTAGTAGCTCGGTTTATGTAAGCACATTTTATAAACTGTTGATTACATGATTGTTCTTAAAGCACACGAATGTTTGCAGTTAGCATTATCATTTTTTTGTTAGTAAAAACATTGAACACGTTCTGTTTGATTGTAATAATTATTCTATTCTGAGAATTGTATTAGTTTTTATTACCAAAGTGGTTGTAGGTAAAGCATCGGATACAATCAACGAAGTCTATTTGGAAAAGTTAACACGCTTTACTCGTTTATTATTTAATGTTTACTAGACATTAAGTATATTTTTATTTTGTGTTCCTTTCATCAGTATATCAAACATGAAATATGAAAAATGTTTGGCACTTTGTGCGTGTTTGATAAAAATACATTAAAGGTGTCTCTATTAAATTGATTGACATCTACGCAACAGAATTAAATTAATCATTTTCATTTATTTGAACGATGTTAATAAAAGTGTTTTGATCACCAAACAAAGCAAGAACAATCAAATCTAATTATTTATGCATCACTGCCGTATCTACAGTACCTACGAGTAGTAGTGGGAACGTTTTGAAATGTTTACAAAAATTGTTTATCGTTACATTTTCATTGTGATTGTACTTCACTAAGTTACTGTAATGAAATCATGTGCATGGCCTTTGCAGTTTGCTTTAGGCATATTTAGCTAACATTAAAATAATGGAAATTGTTGTTGTCACGTTATTGAATTTAGTGAGAGATGATGATGGCGCTGTCATCGTCACTAGGTGATTGTCACAAATATAATTAGATCCATGATTTGATCAACGAAAAAATAATGTATAAGTTTGATCCGTAGTCATTTGGATATAATGTCACGTTTATTTACTTTACAATTAATAATTTAATCATTATGTGGGGATCATTTAATTTCTATCTTTTAGATGAAAACATTATCAGAACGTGTGATGCTCTTATTGACCAGTGCAAGTCTCGTAAAATTTGCAGCGCATGCCGACGTGCATCCATAAATACAAATATATAAAATATTGCATGACACTACTTATATTTACAGATCATATAAAACATATCTATCCAAAAATCTGCAGAGACAGGCAATCAGTTTGTTTCATAATAACATATCGTATAAGTACGAAATTTTTTATAAAGTGAATATCTCCAGTGTTTCGAATGATTTTTCTGTAAACAAGTTATTTAAAGAGCGTTTGAGAAGTACCAATTTTATTATAAAAATCAATTTAGTACATCAATAACAAAGTGATCAGTTGTTTTACTAAAAAAAAACCTTATTACTTTATAATGGCAAAATGATTTCGTTTGCATCTAAAGTCTGAAAAATGATATCAAAGTGATATTAATACATACCAAGTGTATTTGAAATATTGTAAACAATTTTCTTTATAATAGTGTAGTGAAATAATATTTTTGATAATTGTTGGAGCAAAATAAGTAGTATTATTTATTAACTTTACATTTGTTTCACAAGTTTGTGGGTAATTTTATGGAGTCTTAAACGACACCTGCAGTCTGCATCGTCTGCATGTAAGATCATGATTTTGATAAATATTTTAAATACGAGTATGTTTAGAAACCACCAGTAGGTTGACGTTATTGATGATACACATTGTAAAAAATATACAATTTACAAGACGAATAAGATGTAAATTTGGTAGAGCGATTACATGTGCTTCCACTTAAATTAGTGTAATTTTGCACAATAAATTAGAAACTTATTTCGAATATGTAAAATAAATACGTGTTCATGATTTACTTACTTATTTACTTTATTTTTTCAAAAGATTCCTGTCGTATATTTAAAAAAGAATTCCTACCTGTATCCTGTATTAATTCAATACAGGATAATGTTTTTGAAAGATAATTTTAAATACAATTAGACACTATTCTTAGGGCCGATTTTTCAATCGTCGGATAACTTTTAACTGAAGAATAAGTTTGTCATTGTTTGGCATATTGACAGTTTCAGTATGAAAAATATGTCAAAATGACAAGTTTATACTTCAGCCCCCCTAGACAAAACGCACTTTTTGATCGAATCGAAAATCGAATCCGTCAAAACTCCATACAAAAAAGGGGCTTTTCGACCACTTATCGACTGGTTTGCGATTATAATTTGCACTTTGTCTAGACCCACAGATAAAGATATCTGACGATTGAAAAATCGGCCCTTAGTGATTTAAGTCAATGTTTTATATTAGGTATCATAAAATGTAAATGCATATTGCTTGCATACCTATTGTAATTATACAGAGGTTAACCCTCGGTTTCTGAATTTAGATATTAGACTTGAGCATAAGTAGGTACTCATCTTCTACTTAAGCATGAACTTCACTACAATATCCATGAGTAGAAAATGAGCACGTTCAAGCTAATAATTTTAATTCAGAAACTGAGGGTCAGTCCATTGTCGGAATGCTTGCATAGTGTTAAATAAATTGTTAGTAATTGCATTATCTTTTAAATTTTCTCGCACATCTAACTGGGAATATTTTCCAGTAGAAAACATTTGTATGGTTGGTTAACTCAAAAACCATGCATTTGTTCTACGTTTGATATAAAGGATATCGTTTATAACAATCCTAGTTAATTCTTATTTATAATTAAAATATAAAATTACATATCTATGTATTACAACATTTATTAAAAACAATTAAAGCTAACGTAAATTTGCTTTTGTAGATAAGAAACCTAGCGAAATATTGAAATTTATATCTATAAATAAGCTAGACTTCTCTGTATCTATTTTAAATTCGTAAATTCGTTCTTGTTATAATCAAAACCTTATTAAAATGATAAACCTACTTATTTACTTATCAACTTAACAATAGTTGTTAAATATAAGTAATATTAAAAAATATGTAAGTAAATACATTATTAATATCAAACTCCATCAAAATGTTTGAGGATGGACAAACTCGTGTATTGGTTGAGGCAGCAAATGCGTAATAGGATCGGTGGAGTCTCATCTTAACAATTAACATCTAGAGACGCCTAGTAACCGAGGAAATAAGAGAGGACAATTGCTCTACTACTTGGGCTTGCACCTGTAATACCTGAAAAGTGCTTTTTATTAGTAGTTTCTAATTATTAGGGGAACTAATTTTAAGCACAAGTCAAGGTTTTTAGAATGTAATTTAATTACGAAGTAGATTTAATAAAAGTTTGACGCAAAATTAAAATTGGCAAGAAAATTTTCTGTCGAACAGCTAGACAGAAAATTACTGTGTGACTGCAGCCCGAGCTAAACGCGAGAAAGTAATAGAATTGGAAGTATACCTAACCGATGCACGATGGTGTGCTACGAAGCTACGAAGGATAACAAGAATACGTGTATTAATATGAGGTTGAATCAACTGATGGACAGCTTAGCTTAATCAATTGTATGAATTAACTATAACATACATTTATCATTTTAATGATCTTGTTTGTTTATTTACCAAAAGTAGGTTTTGTTCCTGAAAAACTGGATATTATGTTACTAAAACATGTAGGTGATTAGTAGGTACTATAAAAATGCATTTTCAGTGACGCACGCGTGTATTACAAGTAAGTGTGTTTGAAAATAAATTAATTAGTCAAAGTAAGTATAAGTACGAGTACACTCAAACTGTCAAAGTAGATTATAGCTTGTCACAATGTTATTGTTGAATCACATTCTGTGATCACATTGCTGAGGCACGATGGTCCTACCATTAATGTTAACATTAAAAATACAAATTAATTAACTAATATTCGGTGTTGATGTTGAGAAGTTGAACAATATGTTGTTGTTAGGTTAGATAAGGCTGCTCCAACGACCTAAACGTATTTAATCTGAATACATTACAATTTATTGTATTAATTACTATAATAGAGTATACATATTACATACATTAAATGTTCATATTCCAAATTTTTTATTCGTATTCCCAGCTAAAACAAAGGTTGATTTTTAATAAAACATTATTGCACGTTTGACCAAATTTATTTATATACAATGTTTTTAATTACTTACTTAAATAGCGAATTAAATTACTATTCATATAATTACAGTGAGTATTTAATGTTTCACAGTAGTTTTATTAATCGACCATGGCACAAAACTCCATACTCCTGTAGATATGGAAATATTTTTAAGATATCCTATTAAAATAAAAGCATACTTAGGGACCTATACTTGAAATTATACTAAATATACACGTTTCGATCAACGATTTTGATATTATTTTAAAATACCATTTTGTGACACAATAAATAAATATTACAGTATTTACGCATATACATATTATATTAGTACCGAATGAAACTTTTTTACTTGATAAATGAATTGTTTTAAAATTAATTGGATTTTAATGAGTGAAATTAGCTTACCTATCGAACTAAACTAAAATTGTCTAATGAATTTCTTACATTTTTAAGTGGACATGACGGAGAACATGCTACTCTCCTTTCAGTCTTACAAATTAAAATAAAGGGCATGATATGCACGCAACCTTAATTAAAAACAGCTAAGCACATGCAAAAGAGGGTTGGCAAGTTTTGCTGGAGTTAAAAAAGTTAATACCTTCTCAAACTTTATATCTTGTCTTATCCGGAAAATAAAAAAATGGCAAACACATGAAAACTGTCGAAGTAGAGCTATTTATGTACTGAACGAGCTAAAGCATAATGAAAAATGTGTAGTTTGAAGTTTCATTTGTTTTATTGCATTTCACATCGGTTTTCTTATGAACTACCTATTACAGCTGTAGGAACTTCATTAGTGCATCGTATATGAGCCGGGGGCTAGCGTCACCGTCTGCCGTATACCGAACACCTCGCAAGGCACCGTCTTCGTTTCTGACTACACCATATTCACCAACAATAAAACCATCAGGAGTTCTTTCCTCGACTCGGTATTTTTTGTACTGCCGACCCTCAACCACGTAGCCGACTTTACAATTCTCTTGTTTACATTTCTCCGTACTGGATTCCTGGACACCATGGCTGCGGCCATCAGTTATAACACTAACTTTTTCATCCACCTCATAGTTTTTTTCCGGGCGTTGTTCTACGGCCCTTTGAGAACTGGGTATATCTGAGGGCAGTGGAACTACGGTAGGCGTAGTAGGGATAGTGGTAGGGATAGCCGTATTTTGCGAAGAGACTTGCCAAGGCGTGTAGTTAGGAAGAGTCTCTGGAGGAAGATTTAACGATGCGGCTGGACTGTAGAACTTTGCTGGTTCACTGTAAATTTTTGCAGGTTCACTATAAACTTTAGCCGGTTCACTATAAATCTTGGCAGGTTCACTATATATCTTTGCTGGTTCACTATAGAACTTCGCAGGCTCACTATAGATCTGTGCCGGCTGACTGTATACTTTAGGCGTTTCATAAAATTGGTTTGAATTACTAGAACCTTGATCGGAGTGAGTGTATGTAGTACTGGGCATATTATTATAATTAGTAGGTTGCTTAGGCGTCTCGTGCACTATATCAAAACTTACTGTCGTCAAACTTACACTGTTCCCCCTTTCACTTGGCGCTTTGTTCGTTAGACCTTGAATATAATTTTTTGAGGACGGCGAGAATGGTATAGATCTGGCGAGTGGGACATTTTCTAAATTCTCAACATCTTTATCTTCATTTTCTGCAGTTATTATGGATTCAACTGAGGATGCCGCTATTGAGTCGTCTGTATCATTATTATTATGCAAATCAAATATTGGTTCTGTACCAGGGATATAACTTTGAGCTACATTGTTTACATCTTTTTTATTCACTTGGTTATGAGGAGGTGATTGCACCATTGGTTTAACTTCTGATATACTTTTATATTCATAACTTTTGTCGTCTATACCAAAAATATTTTTGATCGATGGTTCAGCAATAGAGTCTTCATCTTGATTTTCAAAATTAGTTGATGGAGTGACGGGAGCTGGTTCCGTATTTTCAGTTCCATTTAAATCTTGATGAAACTGGAAAGGGTGAACTTGATCTAATGTATGATGGCCTTTTGCTTCTTTCTTAGCATTCAACTGTCTTATAAATTCTATATTAGCTCCTATTAAATTTGGTGGTAATTCAGTCGTTACTGTTTCTTTTATTTCTATGTTGTTGATGGACGGCGTTGCATAAGTAGTAGTAAGCAAAGTTGGAAAAGTGTTTTGTTTTAAGCTTTCTTGAGTATTTTCGGTATTATTAAAATCACTTTTTGTTTTTATTCCACCGACTGCGACTGACGAAGTGATTCGCACAGAAATCACTTGATCGTTGTTGCTTTCATCTTTTGGTTTGTTGAGAGCATCGTAGGAGTATTGTTGGTGCGTGAAGTGGTCTGGTTCTCCTTGACTTTGGGCAGGTCTCGGTGTTACGATTCCACATTGCAAGATCTGAAAATAGGAAATAAAAAAAGTATTAGCAAATTTCCATCTCGCACGATAAATGAGCTCTCTAAACGCTTTATCATATGTAACTTTTCAAGGTTCATTATTTGCTTATGTACCTAGGTTTTTAGTGAGTTTTTAAAAGACAATAAATTTGCAAATGTAGATTTATATATTACCACGATAAAGAAAATAATTTAGTGACTAAGAAGATCCTGTACCTATATGCCGTGACTCACGAACTGTTATTATTGTGACCTACAATTAAACATCTAGGAAGTGTCGTTTATGTCAACGTCTTATTTCAATCAAGATCATCTTTAATTTTAAGTGGTCTGTACTGAATTTTAAAACATACAATGTCTTTAAATGATCTTTTCCAAGATGATGATATTGATCGGTTCGATTCAATTTAATTTCATCGTTTCCTAAAGTATAATCATATAGTCGCTGGTAATATCGGAATATTGAAATTACAGAGAAAACAACCAAGTACGAGTAAGTACATAAAATATTATTTACGTTACACAGGAGTATATTGTTGTTCATAGTACTCCTGTTTAACGTACAACGACGCTAAGGCAACTTGATCATTGCACCATGTTACTGTTAATTTCCAAATTAAGAATACTCTATAACAGTAGTAGTAGTAACCTATCAATAACATGAGCCTATTCAAAGCAGCCCCTCTTTTCAGTAATTTTGTAGCGGTTCTTTTATTATAGACATGTCGACACGATAAGTGTAAATCGTATAAATAATATTATTATTACTTATAATCATAAACACAACCATCAAATTATTATCATTAGTCAATCGACTTTTTGTATGCCATTAAGTCAGCGCCAGCCCATTTGTCGGCTTCAATACGAGACACTCACCGACATAAAGGATATGTATGCGATCATCAATAACTGATAAATTAGTAAGTACGACAATGTTTTTTACCTCCCACAAGTAGTCAATTATTGTTATTGCGTATGTCCGAGTGATATTGCCGAGCGTTTCTTTTTATGTGAGACAAATAACCAGCTCGAAATATGTTCCGGATACATTGGACACGGACATTTACGTTAACCTGACAGTGTAAAAAGTTAATGTGCTAGTTTGACCTGCGAAATATGTGGAACAGGTTGTGCTCCGGCCAGTAGGAATGCTCCAGACAAAGCCTCGTTTTTACAGCATAATAATACGTTCGATCCACATAATTTAACGTCAAAAGAATCTGAAATATCAGCATTTAGGAATATTTTATAGGCTTGCTTTGATTAAATTGCAGTATTATTATTGTTTTGTATGTAACTATTATTTGAACGTAACTAACAGTTAAACCTGAAGTTTAATATGAAATCTTTGACTTTGAATAAGTTAAAATAATTTGTTTCAGTTAATTATGTAGTTGAAATATTCTAGAATTTCGATTCTAGAATATAACATTTCTAGAATTTCGCGAAATCGTAAATGGAGCATCCTGTAGATTGGTTATTTTTTTGCATTTCTTTAAAAATAGACACGGGTGTGTGAGTAGTTATTGAACGTTAATGGTAATCAGAATAATGTCTCGATGACGAAAATTGATCACGTGTAGTAACTAAGTATGCACTGATTGATAAACGATAATATTAGTGCTGTACTTATCACCTACTTACGACCTAGGCACATTAACATCGGCTTGGAACAACGAGCTTTCTCATTCATTTTGTTTTTTCTAAGTCTAACACGGGTTACCGTAATGGAATATGTTTAACAGGATATGTTTTAAAACAAAGCAACTATCAAAAAAGTTGAAAATCGTGCAAGGGATATATAAAGATTGAATGCTGATTGAGATCGTGAATGTTAATTATATTATTAACATTGAGGTGCGACGGAACATTAGAAACGGAGCGGAAACGGAATGCCAGCCAGCCAGCGATATGACGCTAATTTGAATGGAGTAGGTACATCCCAGTAACACGCATACCTATTGATAAGAAATGAGTATGTAACGTAATTCCTTTCAAATCACAGGTATTTTTTAATACTCAAAATAAATTAATGGGTTAACCCTACTTACTACCTTGATAAGTCAGCCCCTCAGACTCGAGACTCGTACTCTGAAATCTGAAACGACGATTGAACCCGATTCAATCTCAAAGCTAGATTCAACCCAGTGATAGTTAGGATGAATTTCTACATTTGATCCAATAAGATGAAACACGGGTTTGAATCTATTGTAGATTTATAAATCAATTGTGGTTTTGTATTAAGGACCTTAATAAAAGAAACTATTTTTTTGCGGGGAAACACGTTACACAAAAGGCTAGTGCAGCGTGTGGGTGGTGTTTAGGTAGCGATGGCAACTTTTAAAATACGATAGTGGTTCGTGTCTTTGTGAGGTGGTAACATGATGTTATTGGAGTCGGTTTTATTTTTTTTATTTATCATTTAATAATATTTTAATACATCGTTGTGAATCTCATCTGAAGGTTACCTAAATCTTTTGTTTCTTAGCAATTGTTTTAAATTAAAGTTATTTTGTTCCAATTATCGCAATTGATATAAATCTTGTAATTTAATTTAATTATACTTAGGGAGTTCTGTTGCCTTAATATGCACTAACTAGCCAGAGGGAAGTCTAGTCCCAGGTCGGAGTGGCGCGGGCGCTGTCAGTGACCGCGCCGGCCTTGCCTGCCAGCTGTCAGACAATGCACTCACGTCACAGATGAATTCGATGAACGATCGAGATAAAGTCATTTGTTATCTACATCGATAGACTGATAGATGCCGGCGATAGTCCTATTAAGTAACTAATAACAGAATTACGATTACCAAAGTCTACTTAGACTTAATTTATTGCAATACTTTACATATTTAGATCAATTAACATTTATTGAATCGCTAAGTACAGTCGCGGAATGAAAAGGTTCGTCACCTTAGTGTCGGTTTTCGCTTGCACTAGGTACTGTAAGAGTCAAACCTGCCAACATAACAGTGCAAGAAACAGTGCAAAGCAAACGTCATATTTATTTAAATGTTAGCAACATTTAAATAAATATGACGTTTGCTTTGTTAACGAATAAGGTTTTGCTTGTTTATTTTTCTATCCCAGTGCAATGCAATGATGACATTGACCAATTGACAATAGTTTTTTTTATTTAATAGAAATAATAATGGCAGGTTGAACCAACAAGAAGGTTTTAGTTTATCAATCATAATAATCTTCTTGACAAGATAAATCATCAAACAACTTTGATCTGAATAATTTTGAACTCTACTGACGAACTGTTAAAGATTAGTTTCTCTAACTCGAGATTATTCTGTAACATAGTTTCAAAAGGTAATTATGTGCTCGCGATTCGTTGAAGGAATCAATTTGAAAACTGACGAACCTTTTCATTCCCTGACTGTACACACAGATTCTGTCGCTGTATGATAGCTATAAAACGCAATAAGTTAGTAACTAGTAGATTACATTTTTCATACTTACCTGCTTTGTATGAATAAATGTATGAAGTTACTCGTATTCTTACTGACTTTTACAATGGCTCAGTAGGTTTTATTTCATTTACTTTATTAGGAAAATATTCTGATATAAATTCGTCAAAGTTATATGACTTATGATGATTAAGATTAATTGATCACAAATTACGTTATCAAATACTCTTTTGGTGTATTATTAAGCAACAGGAAAAAGCAAACTAGTTCAAAAATTTATATAGCATCAATTATTTCCTCGGTAGATAAGTAGGTAGGTACAGGTCAGAAAAAATAAACCAGATCACATTGGAATTCCTAAACAAAAACGTGGGTGGTACGCGGTTTTACTTCGCACCTATCCGTGTCGCTTCATCGAACTAGGATGATGAGAACAGGTAATTACATTGCATTCAAACATGTCAATATATCTAACCTTAATGTCTATCACTGTAAAGTTACCTTAGGTATTGACCTAAGTGGGTGTAATTGCGGAAGCGAACGAAATTCCGCTGTGAAGAAACTGCGACCTTACACTGAATGTATGAAGTATGAATGGTGTCAGGCGCTAATGTGACCATAAGTAGGCACTGGCTCGTGTTCGCTATTTACATTCAATTGATAGTTCATACCTAGAACTTGTAAATAAAAATGTCTTGGTTTTGTCAAGGCGGAAAAATAAATATTACTTTAATTAACGATGCCGAAACAAATTGCTACTAATATTTTTCGCAATATCATGTAATGGAAACAAGTTGACTTTGTAGCGTGGTTTGTAGGGTTCGGAAAAGGGTCCCAGTAGTTCACGATTTCATAACTACAAGCCAGACAAAAGCCTTTATTCTTTCATTAGAACTTCATCCCGTAGAGGGGTTATCAAAAAATATATCCCACTATCTACTAGTAAATGTACTAGTAAAGTGATAACTTAATGTAACTGCTCATTCGTTTTCGAATCTACATGTGCAACATAAAAGGCACAAATGACAAAAAGCTGAGTACTGGTCCTACGACCTTGATGCTATTTCCTCTTTTTCCCGTCAATGTACAAAATCATACTTACTTTCTAATGAATGGAGCTTTTGAATGTATTTAGAAGATTTACTTTTACCAAACGGAGCTTTGGAATATATTGAGATTGACTTTTAAATAAGGTGACTGACTGACTGACTGACGCACAGCCCAAACTACAGGACGAATCAGGTTGAAATGTGGCATGCAGGTAGATGTTATGACGTAGGCATCCGCTAAGAGAGGATTTTACGAAACTCCACCACTAAGGGGGTAAAACGGGATCCACGCGTACGAAGTTGCGGCCGGCCGCTTGTATTTAATAAATCAGCTCTTAAGCTCTATATCGTAAGTCCTAACTTCAACGAGCGTAGGTAGAGCACCCACAGGCCACGCCCCGCCCGGCGCCACGCTCTTGAACCGTGGTGACAGTCCTCTAAGGCCACGCACAGCTTTTTTGCTTTGATAGAGTTAATACTTATGTATCCTCATTTTACTTACGATAAAGTACTATTGCGTGGAACATAAACTAGGCTAGGAAGAACGGTAGAACAACACTTACCTATAATATACCAAGTTAGCAGACCAGAGGTGGAATTGTGTAAAGTAATCGTTATCATTTGACAGTTCATAACATACGATTATTCTGTCAAACGCTTTGTCTGACTTTATCGTACGTTATGAACTGTCAAATGATTATGATTGCTTTACACAATTCCACCTCTGATTTTACTCGTATAAAAACCATGAATAGATTGTTGTTTATATTATGTTTTAGGTATCGTTGAACACCCATAAGTGGCGTCAGTATAATAAAAGTGACAATGTTTACTATATTCATAAATAATATGTATTAAAACCAACAAAATAGACGTTGAAAGAATGATAGATCACGCGTTTGATTTGTTCTCTGTACTTCAATACTAAGCTATAATTACCTAATTAAAATTATTATTTTAGTAGATTAAAATATCATTGAAAGTTGAAATGCGTGTCTGTATTAAACGATTTCGATATGTTTTACTTCAAAAATACAAAAACCAAAATAAGTTTTAAAATGGACCTAACGCGTTGATGTCTAAAATAGGCCACGAAAATTTGAACGGCGAAATACACATTTCCATCCATTATGTTTATGTATATATTATATTTAAATAGACTAATATATTTATTTTACATAAAACAGGTAACAGTATGAACCTTCCAGTACATTTGAGATTTGGTATCTGGTTGGGAAACGAATAATTTAATCGTTGATTGTAGACAAAAACTTCGCTTTAATGGGCACGTGAAATTAAGTATTAGTTATGGGAATCGAAGCTAATCGAAGTTCCTGTTTCGAGTGTGCAATTATCCACTTGGTCCTTGTCTTGTTAAAGTTGTGCTTATGCGGAGTTTTCAGAAAAGCTTTGTCCCTAGTTGTGAGTATTTTTTGTGTTGAGGGTGAAAATTATGAATAACTTATCTTAAGGACTTGAAACAATGCAATTTAAAACGTTGTTTTCGATATTTTTAATAAAAAAATGCCGAGCTTTAGTACTTGGCGAGAGCTTAGTCTTTAGAATAGAATAGAACACACTTTACTGTAACATGCAGCAAGACATGATCCATAATAATTGCCTTGTGGAATATTTTGCCGAGATAAATTCACAATATGAGTAATAGGTATGTAAGAAGTGCGCATGAATGTACGAGCGTATAATAAAAGGTTTGTTCTAAGGACTGGAAGGTCATCAACTTCGAGGGCGAACTGTCGCAGCCTAATTGAACCGCGGCGCGCGGTCAGCTGCTCGCTTCGCGCATGACATAATACCAGTCATATTTCACCCAATGTTTGAACCGATACTGAACTTGACAACAATTTTAATTTCTACAACAAACCATTCGCTCATAACGTTCTCGAAGGTAAGCAATATTTTACCAGTCTGACTATTGACATTATAAAATATGTGCCGAATAAAAAAAGTGAGCTGCATGTATGCTGATTTTGACGCATTCTTTTATCGCCTGAAGACAAAAAGTGGAAAAATTATATTACTTTGTAGTTTGTGTCAATACACCTTGGCGATCTAACATTGAAACAATCTTTCTATGACCCTAGTAAATAGAGTTGGTATGAGTAGAATGTAAGTGTGTAAGCAGTAGTTTTCTCTGATTTCAAAGTGAAATAAGGCGCTTTGTTAACTTTTCTTTTCACCAATGACTGTATTTCAATTATTATAATACACCTGCTTGTGACGATGACATCTTAACTATACCTACTTTTAATTAGAATTTTACGGTGACATTGGTGATGCATCTGTATGAACAATGGTCTGGGTTGTAACTAATTTCGTAACGTAGAAGTAACGTAACATATTTCAGGTCAATTATTTTCCCGATCATAACTTTAGGTTTGACATCCCTGTCTTTTGTATATACTAAGGACTAATGCACGTGGCATGCCCGTGAGCGGTAATGGACGGATTTGTGTAGTTGCCCGAGCTAGTTATAGTTATGATTACGTTTTCATGCTAAATATCGGCTTCCGTTTGCAATTCTGCGATTATTAACACTGTTAGTATTATCGATTAGCTCGCGTATCTCATTAATCTCATGATATACGAGTGCACAGATCTACTGTCAGATTTGAGTTACCTGATTTATTTCCATTGAAATATAAAAACATGTTTGTTTCATCAAAATCTCCATCGTTTTATACATACCTATAGTAGATATATTCTCCAGTTTTAAACGTGCCAAGACTAAGAAATTATAACTACTTAGTTAAGCTAAGAAGAAGCTTTCATTAAACTATAATCTGATACAATTGTGCCTTATTAAGTGTACGAAAATGTTACGAGTCTTACTTCGGGCATAAAACAATTGTTTCTTTTGTTTTGAGCAAATTACAACATAATTCATGAAATACTCTCAAGTAACGTTAAAAACTAAAATGATTAAAGATGCTTGATACTGTAATTGTATTTAGTACACGACCTCCAATTTTCAGTTGGTTGAATAGTTTAAAACACTGACTCACGAATGTAAAGTCATACACACTTTGTATTTCTGTAAAACATTTCTAGACGAACGCGTAAAAACTCGAACATGACTTCCGATCATGAATTTTGGACTAGCGATTCAATTAGTATTGCATCATTTAGGAAAATGCGAACACGCTTCTGTGGATTTAGATTAACTACAAGAAACGTGCGTAATTCTAATATTGCTTCTATAATAATGATTTAATTGTCCATAATCGTAAAACGTGCGTTCAACTAACTTTTTTTTATTTAAAAATATCTAAATCGCACTATGTTACACATATATTACGTCAGCCAGCTTATAGTTTCTTTGTTTTTGCTTTAAAAAATTAAATTGATTCGTTTACAAAATGTACAATTTATCTGGAAAATACCATCGTTGTAAATCCCAAACAAGTAAACCTATCAAATAAACAGCGTAATTTATCTGGAATTACCTATTTGTCTTTATTACCTTCATATGGACTGCACCGGGCTATTGTAAGTACATAGGGTGAGGCGAGAAAACCAGTTCTGATTTACCAGATCGTGCGGTATTTTAAACTCGAATGCAAATAAATTGGTCGATGATAAAGAACTTGAGAGCACAAAGGGACATATCGTTACAGATACGGCGTGTTACCGCCTCCAACTATAGCCTCAATTGTAACAGAATTAAAAATATACTGGAAACCGATAAAATATTTATAAAATGCGATCTTTCTTTTCTGTCTGTAAATAGCCGTGGGATGTTGGCTCGACTTTTAATGAAAAACATGCTGCACATTGCTCTTATTTCCATTAATTCAGCCATCAGCATCCTTTTACTGACGACGGCACATCAAGCTAAGCTTTGTAGCATCTTGTAAAGGATGCTATTTTCACATCTTGATGTAGATACATTCTGAGAAGGACTATGTAGGAAATTATTATTACCCAGTGCACTATACGAGGCCTCTTGGAAACAAAAACTGTGCAACAGGAAGTGGTCGCGCCCGCGCCTCAACTAGAGCAAAATACTTACTCCTCACTGCCGATCCAGTTTTGTAAAGAGCAACCTGACATTTATTAAACGTATGTCGATGTTTACTTTTTACGTCCACTTCATTATCTATCTCATTGGTTACTGGTTTTAATAATAATCGACAAAACAATTAACATTAATCTTCATTGCAATTCAACAATTCATAAGTTACTCACAATTTTGTCTAAATCATTGTAGATGAAACACCGATTATATTCAAATAATAAGTATGTAAATTAGATTAGGTATTGTTTAAGCCTAAATATGACGCAGTGGAAATCTTTTAAAATAAAAATTCATTACACTCTTTCAAGTTGCCTTCACTGCTTAAGTTAAATAAATTATTAGTATTAAACATGATAATAAATAATAAATAAATTATAATATAATAAGAATATTGCTACGAGTATAGCTTGAGTTTAAGAGAAGTTGCCGTAGAAAGTGAGCAAAGTAAGTATGTAAGTAAGGTCTAGCAAATAAAAGCTTTTTAAGCCTTCGCGTTTAGCTGGAGACTCGGGTTGAAACCTCTTGAGCGTTGCTTTTTAATATTTATTTCGTATTCCACGATACCGGGTTACTTGATACAGCTTATTCGAAATAAACAGTAGGTATTATTAGCTATTCTATTTAACTTTCGTATACTTACATAAAACAAAGTTGCTTTATTGCTTTAAAAACAGCTGAAGAAATAATAAATTGAGAAACTTATGTAGTTAGTAGGAAATAGGAACTCAAAACATGCCCTTAGTTCGTTTTCTTTATATTAATTAGACTAATTCAGTCATGCCTCTCTGCTTTAAGGCATGTTGCTACTGTGTAACCTACCTATTAAGTATTAGTTTAACAGATAGTTTCATTTCGATATTTATCAGTATAATCTTCAACACTGATATTGTATGTAGGTAAAGTTAGCAAATCGACAGCTAGGCTGGCATGACAGGGTCATTGGTTCACGATTACACTGCTTTATATTTTATTATGACATATGTTTTGAATATTCACTATAATAAACGGCATATTTTAATGAATTGCAATGGGGTGACCTCAGGCGAAGGTTTAACATCTATAGGCAATAGGTAATATCTATAATTGAGGTCTAACATTACGGAAAATAGTTTTCTAGTAACTAGTGCGATATTTACTTACGCTCTTCATATTTATTATAATTAAAAAAATATATAAATTGTGTCATTGAGTTCCAAAGTTATGAAAAAAGATCAATTAAAACAGCTGTTACATAAAGTTTTGTTTCTTTTACTGTTCGAGTATTTTAATATAATAATGTGATTTATAATAAAATGTGTAAAGTATTACCAGCAAAAACATCCACAGGGACTTGCTGTTCATCTCGTAACCCCGGCTGCACTCCTGGACGTAGCGCCTGTTCGAGTCTACTGTATTGATAAGGACATGTCCACTTTTTCAGGTAAGATTAACAAAGACATTTTAAAAAAGTTTTCAGGCTAAAGTTATTCGGCGGCTCCAGGTCACAACGTAAAACTAAGCGAAGACCTCTAATTCACTATTCGATTATTCGAATCTGAAAAAGCGACTCGCTTCTAGTACACGAGTGCCGTGCGCGCGCGCCGCGATCGACTACCTACGGCATTCAGTAGTGCTACTGACCTTGCCAATTAAGATTTTATTTTAATAATGCACTTTCTTATGACGTATCAGGCTCTAGCGGGCGTTGAGGTCCAGACAGCCAATGTTTATCAAATAAAATAAAAAGGAACATATATGAAACTAAGTGATTTATTTGAAAATATCTGAACTATACTTATTTATAAAATATGTCATGTTTAATTCAACACAGTTTTCTTTATGAACAAAGAAGTGGGTGAGAATTAACGATTAATTGCGTCCAGCGCTCCGGAAAATAATTATTTGTAACAAAAATTTTAGTTAACGAGATTCATTATTTTAATAAATAATAAACAAATACATGGAACCGTTTGTTGATGCTAATGTCCGTAGTAAGGATCGTGACCGTACTGGGGAGCGGGGTACTGTGCGCCTGCGCCTCCGTATTGGGGAGCTGGATATTGAGGCTGGTGGTATGAAGGAGCCTGGAAAAGAAAATAGTTACATCAGAATTATCGACAAAAAAAAAAACGTAAGACCTTAGTCAAGGAATCATTATACTCGTACGTTCATTTGGAATGCCAAAATAAAATAGAAACGAACTAGTGTTTTAACTTAGATTTTATATTAAGAAATGTATTGTTAAACAATATATTTTTAAACCGGCAGACAGTGGTGACTGAGTTTGTTGCGGCGCTTCTTCTCAGCACTTGCCAAATGTTTGTCTCGAAGCGCTGGTAGGGCAAAAAAAGAATGATACATGTATAGGCTCCTTAAGAGCATTTGACGATTTGCAAGAACTAATTTAATTAGTCTAAACAAATAAAGAAAATTTTTTTATAAGCAAAAGAAAAACTTAGTTGTTATAGAGTCGCTTAACTTCATATAAAAATCAATATGAAGACAAAAAAGAAAGTAAATAAAAGGTAAATAATACGTAAATAGGTAGATTAGTTTTTTCCAGTAATTAATACCAAGTGAGCATAATATCTATTTCTAACTTGTTACGTGTACTTAGGTAAGGATGTCAAAAAAAGATTATGCTTATTTACGAACACAATAAAGTACCAATATCGAAACGAAAATCCGGAAAAGCTCCGTTACTTAGCTCCGTCACTTACTTGATTAATATTGCGGATTCGGAAGCGGATTTTAATTTCTAAATGAATGTGGACATTTACATCATCTCGGTTTAGATACTGGCTGCTAGACATAGACGAGTCTTTGATTGTTTCTGCCTACTAATTACAAATTAATAGTCTGTTTTTAGTTATCAATGTGTTTCGGTCATGTAGTTTTAGAAATAAGTCTTACCTGGTAGCTATACGATGGCTTCTTCTTATCGTGATGATGATGCTTCAGCTCGCCCAAGTGATTTTCCAGCAAATCCTTCACCTTGATCTTGGTCGCCAGCATATTCGCTGCTAGTGCTTTGTCGAACGCCTTCAGTTCCTTGATCTTGGCTTTGATGGCCCAGAGTCCGTCTTTGACGAGGTCCAGCTTGTTGCCATCTTCCTCGTACTCATACTCATCGTGGTCGTAGGAGGGCGTGTCGTACGCAGCGCGGTACAAGTGCTGGTCATCTTCATCCAAATCCGCGAAGCGGGGGACGTTTCTTGACAGCACTGTAAATCAACGTAGTATAATTAGGTATTAAAATGAACCGAGATGAAAAAATGTGTATAGATAAAAGGTAATTCAGATAGTTTTACTACACCAAAAAGCGTAGGTTATTGCTAAAACGAAACGTCGCTATTCGACTAGCTTGAAATTAAAATTAAACTCAAAATTGCTTTAATAGATACAGGTCATATCGTTACAAATTCATTGTTTGTTCTAATTAAATTTCAAATAAGTACCTAGTACTTATTTAAATTTTGCACATTACTATTTGATTAACGTGCAAAATAACCTCATTAATCACGAGAAGGTAAATGTGCAAAGCCATATGAAAACCTGTATTGTTAATTTAGGAAAGCTAATTAAATTATCTTTATTGCTAGTACTTACCCGGGCTGAGCACCAGGATAAAGTACAATGCTTGACAGAGCATTTTGTGCACGAACTTACGATGTTCGCGTGCTAGCGATCTGATACGAAGTGCTGCGGCTGGTGGTTGAAATCTGCATCTGAATAAATATTTGTTTACCCTCCATATATAAAATTTATGGTCTACCGCCAGTTTTATACTCCCATATTTTGCTCGAACCAATGATTAAGAATAAAAACAAAAAGGAAGGTAGTAACAAACCCTGCTGGAAAGAAGACATTCATTTATTTTTAACTACCTACAGATGTGATTTGTCTCTTGTAAGTTTTGGAGTACTTATTATATTATTATTCTGTGGTTTTGGTTCTATTGTTTCTTCTCAGCATTTTTTTATATCATTCAAATAAATGCACCAGTTTTTCGAGATATAAATAAATCAAAGCGCGACAAAGTACCTACATTTTATATTAGTGTAATATAAGTGGTCTAGACGAGTGTCTGCAACCGGTTGTAATGGGTTGCACTTAGAGTAAAGGCAGATTAAAGATGTGTTTACATTGCGAATATACAATAGAAGTATCAATATAAAGACATAAAGCATACTCGTAGATTACAAGTAGGCAATGTAATCAATTTTTAGTACTTCATTTATAGTAGTTAGGTAATTATGTTTTTAGTCCACCCACAGTACCTACCAATTAACATGTTAATGACACCGTGTGAAACAGTCTTAATATTTACTTTTTGTAAAGTGATCTTATGTGAGATTACTTGTTTAAGCTGTGTAAATGTTAATTATGTTAAATTTTATACGACGAGTGCCCGCCGTACTTGTTTGTACGACAGACTCGTATAAAATACCTACTTATTTGTAACGTGTGTATGAAAATTAGATAATTTGGTTCTGAATCTGAGCTTTTATGTGCAAATAATTTAGCCATTATAATTAATCAATACTAAGTCGGAGTTGATAACACTCTCCGAAATATGAACGAGGATTATAATAATTATATTTTTACTAAAGACTATTTTGTTATTTTAACAAGATTAATAGTTACCATAAAAGACAGTAGGTAGCCTATTCAGTGTTTTAAACAACACAATATGATTGGAGCAATAAACGTTAATCTGTTTAATGTCTATCTATGGTTATCATCAATCTAATGCTAACTACCTAATTGTGTTGCATATAAGCAATTAAGNAAATTATCTTTATTGCTAGTACTTACCCGGGCTGAGCACTAGGATAAAGTACAATGCTTTACAGAGCATTGTGCACGAATTTACGATGTTCGCGTGCTAGCGATCTGATACGAAGTGCTGCGGCTGGTGGTTGAAATCTGTATCTGAATAAATATTTTTTTACCCTCCATATATAAAATTTATGGTGTACCACCAGTTTTATACTCCCATATTTTGCTCGAAAAAATGAGAAAGAATATAAAAACAAAAAGGAAGGTAGTAACAAACCCTACTGGCACAATTGCTGGAAAGAAGACAAATACATTTATTTTTAACTACCTACAGACAGATGTGATTTGTCTCTTGTAAATGTTGGTTCTATTGTTTCTTCTCAGCATTTCTTTATACCTATCATTCAAATAAATGCACCAGTTTATCGAGATATAAATCAAAGCGCGACAAAGTACATTTATATTAGTGCAATATAAGTGGTCTAGACGAGTGTCTGCAACCGGTTGTAATGGGTTGCACTTGGAGTAAAGGCAGATTAAAGATGTGTTTACATTGCGAATATACAATAGAAGTATCAATATAAAGACATCAAGCATACTCGTAGATTACAAGTAGGCAAAGTAATCAATTTTTAGTACTTCATTTATAATTATGTTTTAGTCCACCCACAGTACCAATTAACATGTTAATGACACCGTGTGAAACCGTCTTAATATTTACTTTTTGTAAAGTGCTCTTATGTGAAATTACTTGTTTAAACTGTGTAAATGTTAATTATGTTAAATTTTAATTTATACGACGCGTTTCATACTAACTTATCGAATTTGCAACGTATGTTAGTATGAAAATTAAGTAATTTGGTTTTAAATCTGAGCTTTTGTGTACAAATAATGCATCATTGTAATTAATCAATGGTACTAATTCGGAGTTTAACGTGGTTTAACACTCTCCGAAATATGAACGACTATTTTTTTATTTTAACACGATTAAATAGTTACCATCAAAGACAGTACCATATTTATTAACCCATTCAGTGTTTTAAACAACACAATATGATTGGAGCAATAAACGTTAATCTGTTTAATGTCTATCTATTGTTATCATCAATCTAATGCTAACTACCTAATTGTGTTGCATATAAGCAATTAATTAATACAATTCGCTCATTTGTCACTTCTCAGTTGTTTGAATATCAACGTATGTACTCGTATCATCGTACATATATCAAACAAAATTAAACTTAAGCTTGACTTACCTGTCTGTCCAGTTGTCGGCCCAGTTTTTTGATTCATAGTTAAAATAACAAATTGTTAAATTTTGCTACTAATGGTTAAATATTAACAAAATGTTAAGTAATAGTTAAAAAATGTATTAAAAGTCGAGCTAACCATTGGTCGAAAAACATTTTTTTCTGATATTTAACCACTTGTCATTTGACATCTGTCAAATTTGACCATTGGTTATTTTAACTACGAATCAAAAAACCGGGCCTATTAGCTTAGTCAAGTACGTAGTCTTAAGCAAATAGTAGAAATTAAATGAAACAGTAATTATTTTGTATTAGAGAGGAAAGTGACCAAATATGGAACACGTTAGTATCTTATTAGTAGAATTAATACATATAAATAAACTCGAAACGACAGTTCTACGCAATAAGTTTATTTATTAAACTATTCAATTTAAATAATTATAATCATAATTTTGCGTTTTGTTACTAAGTACCTAAAAGCGTAAGGTAGGTACGAGTAAAACAATTAGATTTGAAAAACTTAAATTCACAAATGGTTAAATTCACTTTTCAACCGACTTCAAAAAAGGAGGAGGTTCTCAATTCGACCCGTATGTTTTTTTTTCTATGTTTGTTACGCGATAACTCCGCCAATTATGAACCGATTTGAACAAATCTTTTTTCGGCGCACAGTGGTCTGNGGGTACATTTAAATAATAATTTAACACTTCTTTACTTCTACGTAGTCGTGATTTTTACAACCTAAAGAATATCCAACATTCCTACATTATAGACTAATTATTAATATTTTTTGGAAAGCAATTTCAGTGCTAATTTTAATCAAAATTATAATCAACGATTTAAGACTAAATGATTTTTAACTAAATTAACTATAATTATTAAATAGGGAAGACGGTATGTTATAAAAAGAATAAAAAATTAACCCATGATAAAGTAAACAGCAAACTTGTACAACATTATTCTGTACATACATACTTAAACATCAATATTTATTTTAATTAGTGGCAAAAAATAATGTATTCAAATTGAGGATTGGCTAGACACCAATCATGTATAGCAAATAATGATGATTTATCGTTTCAAGCGGTACATGACTTTTATACTCTAACGTCTAATTAGAACAATTACTTGGACCTCCGGTAGTCAATATATATATCAATTAAGGATTTTTTATTCTACTAGCAAGCCATGCATACAATAATTTGTTTGTTATGTACTACGTTATGAGTACCTATATCAATTTTGTATTGATTTTCAAGGTGGGTTAGCCTATATTTTATTGATTTATTTTAAACAATTATTTATAAACTGATAATAAACTAAAATAGGGCCAATCGTATTTGTGTGCTACATGTAGCAAGAAAAGTTCTAATCTAAAGAGAACTTAAGTTTCAGAGATCTAGAAACACCTATGTACTGTGTAACAATGCCTACTTTTAATAAACATAAGTAATTATTACTTACTAAATAACTATGAGTAGTACAATATGATATTAAGTTCATAACACCATTTTCTCTAGGGGTTGCATAAAATATCTAACAGCCTGTTAATAAAATAATTATTACTTTGAGCTTAACTTACCTAGATGTGGACTTTGGAGTTTGGACTACGGAAAAGCATAAAGATGCGAAAGCATTTGCTATATTTCTGAACAAGCTTGTATTTTATTGTTCAGTATGTAATTAACTATAATAAATAATTCATTTTAATAATGGCAGTTGACTGCTGGTGTCATGTCCCAATTAATCTTTATTAAGGATGTATATGACGTATCTTCATGGCCCTTAGAAGCGGGTCCGTCTCCGCGACTGTCACAAGGCGGCTCGCGCCTTATACAATTCGTCGTCGAGGTCGAACGCGGGGTCAGCGTACCCAGAATCGTCGTAGCGGAGCGACCTGAAACACAGGTGTTCTGTACATCTGTACTGGCTGGTCATGGTAACATTGTAAACAATTCTTAGCTCTGAAAGTATCGGGCGGGCATTTTCGTAGCAGCATGGGGTTGTCGTAGCAGAGTCTACGTGAGTGCTGTAGCAGCATCTAGTACTTTTATTACGCTATGTACTGCTTTATTAATGATAATTAGCTTACTATGAATATTTTTGCATTATATCTACATGTTTAATTTCTTTGTCAGATGGGCGGGCTTTGTAGCCATTGTAGCAGCGTAGGATTATCGTAGCAGCACATGGTTGCCGTAGCAGATACTACGCTCGTGTCGTAGCAGCTCGTAATATCATCGATGATTGCCCTGCTAAATGAACCTATCCTGCAGCTGACTTCTCTACTAATGTTAATGTTTACATTTCAGGTGTCCTGGTCCTGCACCTAGACGGCGGCGGCAAGCGCGAGGAGGCGCGTAAGAGCGCGGGGTCGTCGTAGCGGCGCGACACCACGTGAAGTCTCCTCCAGCTGACCAGTAGACTGCTCTATTACTGTTCATGTACCTGTCAGGTGTCCTGGTCCTGCACCTGGACGGCGGCGGCGAGCGCGAAATTGCCCTTTCGAATTCAAGACAGTGCAGTTTCCCATCAGTCTGCTTCGTAATGACTATAAACAAAGCTCAAAGTCAAACTCTAGGGACCTCTGCTTAAACTCCCATGAGTGCACAGAGGTAAGCAGGTAACCGCGTGTTATGCTCATAGTAATTTTCGATACAGAACCCCGTACATACGTCATACATATTATAGAAAGAAAACACCCAGACCAATACAAAAAAATATGTTTCTGAAATTTTAGTACGATATTTTTATTTATTAATAAACAAAGAGACTGAACAAAATTAATGCGCGTACCTACTGATTAATGTTATTAACCACATGCAAAGCTTCGTGAATTGCAACAACTATAATTTATTATAGGTCGGGTATACCCGATAGGTCGGGTGACGTAATCTTGAAATTCTTTAAGCCGGCGCAGAACTTCCAGAAGGTCAGGCGACGCCACGGCCACTTTGAATCGTGTTTACTTCTGCAGTTATATTTCATATTTATTCGATTCTAGATTATATTCCCAAAAAGTCTGTATCTAAGGTGTTTTAATTTGTATCACTTGGATATGATTTGTATTAGAAAGTGTTGTGAGTGTGACGCTTGAAGGGAAGGAAGTCGACCTGACCTAACCTAACCAACTGCGTATTTCTATACTATGTAGCTGGAAATTGTGGCGGGAGCTCTTTGGCGCGCTGTCTTCGGCGAAGAATTGCGCGCGCAGATTTTGACAGCGCGAAATACCTACTTTAGCAGAAATACCAAGCCTTAATTACTGTTCATGTACCTGTCAGGTGTCCTGGTCCTGCACCTGGACGGCGGCGGCGAGCGCGAGGAGGCGCGTAAGAGCGCGGGGTCGTCGTAGCGGCGCGACACCACGTGAAGTCTCCTCCAGCTGACCAGTAGACTGCTCTGTTACTGATCATGTACCTGTCAGGTGTCCTGGTCCTGCACCTGGACGGCGGCGGCGAGCGCGAGGAGGCGCGTAAGAGCGCGGGGTCGTCGTACCGTCGCGACACTACCGTGAAGTCGTGGTGTGCGTCGATGAGCTTCTGCAGCCGCGACACCATCTCGAAGTCTGATACTGATGCGGGCACCAGGATGCCGAGTAGCTTCGCGATCGAGTGCCTGAACAAATAGGCCAGTCTTTACTATTCTGGTATTGTGTAGCAGAACATTCGGAATCGAGATGAAAACTTTGCGATTAAGTGCCTGAATATGGGTCAGTTTTTGTTCTTCTTTTATATGTATAATGTAATAGAGTTTATTTGCAGTTATCTGTCTATTTTTCTGTTGTCTGAATAGGGTTGCATTAACAATTTACCTAATTACCTGCTTGTTTACATTTTTATAATAAAAATATACTTACTTTGCTGTTAAATTAATTCGAACGTTATTTTTATTAAAATAGGCAATGTAACTAAATTGAAATTAGATTTTTGGAGTTTTTAGTCATAGGTACCTGAAGCTGAGCAACTGAGCCTCCCTTCTCTGACACTCGGCCAGGGCTTCTTTAGTCCTGGCCAAATCATCCCTCAGCATAGCTATCTGGTGCTCAGTGGTGGTCCTCTCTTGCTCGAAGGTCTCTCCGGTAGCTCGCACTTGGTCCTTCAACACGTTGACCTTACGGTTGTATCTGGTCCGAAGTAACTCTGCCTCGTCCAATCTCTTTTGTAACTCCTCTATTTTACGGGCTTTTTCTAGAGCGGTAATCTGCAAAGAATAATACTGAAATTGGTGTTCAATTGTCGGAAAATACTCTGAAGAATCACTATTAAGCTCCTTTGATTTGAAAAATCCAGAGCTTTTGCTTACTCTAATTTCAAAAGAACCTACAGAAACAAACCAGAAATCAATTGTTTTTTAATATAAACTAGCTGACCCGGCGAACTTTGTTCCGCCTTAATGGCAATAAATAACGAGATAAAAAGTATCCTATGTCCTTCTTCTGGCTCTAAACTACCTCCCTGACAATTTTCAGCTAAATCGGTTCAGCCGTTCTTGAGTTATAAGTGGAGTAACTAACACGACTTTCTTTTATATAATAGATATGCAGTAATTCGTAAATACCAATACAAATAAATGAAAAAAATTAAGTATGTACTCGTACATTTTGATAAAACATAATTCATTGGTGTTTCCTTCACAATAATTGACTTGGAAGCACTTCTGTAATTAGGGGATCCTATCAGATTATTCGATTCATTCGCGTGAGCATTTAAAGGTCTCCATACATTACTCGGACAGTGTAATTTGATGATTTATTTATTTATCGGTTTACAAGGAAAGAGGTGTTGAACAGTTGAGCAAATACATTTACATTGACATGATTTAATGCTTTCATTGTTACTCTTAATTGTGTTGTACCTATACCTACTTAAAATAAGTACAGTAATTGCTTTCTTATCGAAATTACTTTAAGTTCCTATACGATATACCTGAGGGTAATTATGTCTAGTCTGGCAAGAGTCGGAAGTCAAGTGGTGGATTTGATACATTTATTTGAACTTTTTTTAAAATAGTAATCATAAAAAACACATACATAATTGTGAGAGAAACTGCCTTTCCCTATAATACATAGTAGTGTGAGCTGATTCGAATACCTTTTGCATAAAAAAATTATAGTGCGTCATTTAATCACCAATAAATAGCTACGCATTAGATCTTTATTAATTTTATTTGTTGGTTTACCAATGAGATCACGATTGTATTAAGTAAATTACTTTAGCCTTGCATTATATAAACTGTTCTAGTAAAATCCACTGGGCGTTGTTTTTATTTGCTACTTTTATTGATTCAATGACGTTTCATCTATGTGATTAACGGCTAGTAAACTTGTAGCTAGCTGTCTGTTTAATTAAATAATTGCTACTTGCTATCTAGAAGTTTATACAGACATACATAAACCGAATACTTTACGTTATTATAACGACTCATGTAGGTACTTATTTGTGGTAACTCCTTTATTTTGTGCCCGTAAATAATAATATATTGGAATACCTAGTCTCTGAAGATTATGTAACACAAAATAAAAAAAAATCTCTGCACGTGGAAACGATACCATATTTTAAAAGCTAGATAAAAATTATTATAATTAAATTAAAAATCTGTGATAATTTCGGCGGGTGGTCCAGTAATTGTCGTTGATTTATGAGCCTTAAAAGGAATTGAGCATGAACAAGCGTATTTCAATGGGCGATATCGTGCCTGTCATTTGTCGAGTTAGAAGACAATCGATCTGTTGAGTCACGTGGCTACGGCTGGGGTTAAAGGCTTGAAGGCACGGAATGATGCGCTAGAGGCAGTTGCAATTGAAAAGCACCGCACTCTGACTTTGCTTTATGACAATGATACAGCTTTTGTAGATAATTTTGCTTAAAGAAAAGCCGCAACTGTCCAATAATGTAAATGTACCTACTATGTTTCAGAACTTAGTCTTTAGATTGTGTACCTATGTTGTGTGCTGAAGACGATTTCTTGAGTGAGGTCAGATCGATTTACTTACTTACCTCTTTTTGGCCGCATACTCCCAGTGTTGGTCTTGTATTGCTACAGCGAATCGAGCCATCTACAGACAGATAGTCGTTTTGCCCCACCAGTTTCTTGCTGCACGCCACTGCTTTAGCATGCTTTGCATGGATCATGCTAGAGATGTAACACTACCAGCATTTCCTGGGTCTACTTTGTATTCAGCAGTATCAGCGAGCTGCGCGGTAATGTCCTGTATCGGCTTGCGCGCGTCAGTCATCTGCACTGACAGCTTGTCGTGCTGTCGAGCCATTTTTCGCTCTTTTTTAAGATAAGATAAGAAGATAAGAAAACCCTAGAGATCTCACGTTAAATGGTATACTACTACCACGCCCTAGGTCTACCTTGTATTCAGCAGCATCAGCGAGCTGCACGTTGAGGTCCCGTATCTGTGCTCGCGCTTCAGTGAGCTGCACAGACAGCTTGTCGCACTGCCGCGCCAGTTTGTAGCTGCGCGCCCTTGCATTATCATGGTGCTCCTAATGGTACGTTTCTCCTGTTAGATGGAATTCTACTACCATGCCCTAGGTCTACCTTGTATTCAGCAGCATCAGCGAGCTGCGCGTTGAGGTCCCGTATCTGTGCTCGCGCTTCAGTGAGCTGCACAGACAGCTTGTCGCACTGCCGCGCCAGTTTGTAGCTGCGCGCCCTTGCATTATCATGGTGCTCCTAATGGTACGTTTCTCCTGTTAGATGGAATTCTACTACCATGCCCTAGGTCTACCTTGTATTCAGCAGCATCAGCGAGCTGCGCGTTGAGGTCCCGAATCTGCGCGCGCGCGTCAGTGAGCTGCACAGACAGCTTGTCGCACTGCCGCGCCAGCTTCTTACTACGCGCCACCGCTTCATCGCGCTCCGCTTGAAGCACGGTCCGGACACGGGAGCTCTCCTCCTGTATGTATGCAATAGTGTAGCCTCTTGGTCATGTAGAGTCAAATGTTACTTTTATGAAGTAGGTCTGAGTTTTCGTATCATGCGTATTCAAAATATCTATTTAGAAGTAAATTATGGAAAACCCATAAAAGTGGGTTCATCGTGTAAAAGAAATGGTTTCTACCTGTATGCTCAGTTTACGCCGCAGAAGGTCTAAATGCAAGTCTTTTCTTTGCAATTGTTCTCTTAAAATCCTTATCCTTCGCTGAAGTTGGTAAACAACGGCTGTCTGCAAAATGATTACGATAGTGATATTGATAGTGAAGAAAATGTTAATCGAATTACAAACTGGATGGTGTAAGATATTCTGACCTACGTGTTACGAATATACCATTAATCAATGATGAGATATAAATACTTATTTACGAGAAAACTAAATGATGATGACAATACGCAGCCTAATTAATACACAAATCCAACCTAAATAGGCAATTTATTACGCTAAAAACCTGTTTTTAAAATCATCAGGCACACGCGTGATGGATGCGTTTTACTATTCAAAAAGATACAGTAAATGCAATTTTAAAAATAGTAAGTTACGTCATTAACAAGTTGGTATGATTGGTTTCGAATTGCATGATGCATTTGTAGGTCTAATTTAGATAGTGCGGGCGGAATCTACAAAAAAACCAAACTATGTGTCGATATCAAACTATTATGTGAAAGATATTAATTGCTATTTTACGAGACCTACGCCAATAATGACTAGGACATGCCAATCGGAATGATGCACATCTTACTTCTTTAAGATAAGGCAAGTCATGGAATGATCTTTCTCTGCGGAGCCTTGGCAGCGTGCCGTAGTATCCGTAGTATAGCAGCTACACAAAACACACACACGTTAACACAAACACATACCGTTAAGAATGTATACTTACCTATAATATATATTGATATTAATTCTAAGGAAAGGTTGCTTTATATACATTTTAATTTACACATATATTAACATTGAATAACTTGATAAATGACACCGTTATACAGGGCGATTATAATTTCTATTATTTACACAAGAAAGAAAAATATTACACTTAGATATAATATTTAAAACACATTACAGAAATACCTACATCACTATCATAAACCATTTTAAAAAAATAATGCAAGTGAGCAATACTGCTGTATTTAATCGATGTTCAGATTCTACTTATTCAAAACCTTTGATTTAAATTTTAGATAAATATTTAGACACAGACAAAAGTGAAACGTAACAAACAAAGGTACAGTCAATCCGTAGTAAGCCAGTGCTATTTGCTAAGTAACCAATATGACTGCTGCAGAAAGCGACATCCCATACTTATATTGATCATTGTTTAGTATTCGCGATTCGCGCAGCAACTGGCGTGCCGCGAGCGACTGACCTTGTCAACAATTTTATCGCTCTCGAGCCTAGCGAGTTGCTCGGCGCGGTGGATTATCGACTCGGTGTGCAGCTCGATGCCGATGTCCTGGGTCAACTCATCCATATTTAGCGTTCTGCTCAGCCGCTCGAGGAATGCCACGAACTGTAACAATGATCGTTGGTGAAACTTTTCCGCCATCGCCCGCACGCTCGCCCGTAAATCAGATCACGTCAGCCCGATAACGGACTCACAATGCGACATGTCATAAAAGCTGTTTCTTTTTCTGCATTGAAATGTGGGAATGTGGTTATGTTAGCCTCGTTAAGCTCTACTTTAAAAGTGTTTTGCTTTTTCTACCCATTTAAATAGAACACATATTTAAATGGGTAGGAAATTACACATTTTACTACCCACTTGAAAACTATTATCTTGCTAATTGTGTTATTACATAGGTAATTAGGTATGTTTATTGATACATTAATAACCATGTCATGTGCTTTATGACAGTAAGCTACTTTAACATACCTACCTATATCGCATAGCAAACGAAATGCAAATCGACTTTAAGTTTTTTACAACGACAAGCCAAGCTTTAGTACGATTAGGTAGTTAACTTTCTGTCCTTGCTAAATACGATTATAAGTAAATTGTTCAAGGTTTTCGTAAGTCGGTGTTTATAGCTTCCGGAAAATCCAGGCTAGTGACTACTTACGTGCTGGAATTCGAATCCTTCGCAATTGCTGCGAATAAGAACGAGTTTCTTAATTATTTGCTAACTAAGGGCGAAAGTTGATTATAAAAAACTCAAAAAAGATAAGTTTTTAGTTGTTACGATACCTAGGGAAAAGGTTGTTTGGTCCAATTATTTTGAATAAATCTGTACTGCTTAGTGTTAAGTATTTTGAATGATTAAAAATTTTTATAAAGGGTTGAATGCCGTTGTTAGTCTGTATTAAATGAAACGCATAATAGGTAGAGTATTTTAAAGTTTTATAGAATGTGTAGGCAGGTACTTACTTATTTCTATTGACTCTAATATAGATTAAGTTTGTTCGTGCAGGCGAGCCATGCGGCCCAGCTGTTGCGAGAGCGTCTTTTTGTTGACTAAGTATGATAAAAAAAGTGGACGTTATTCGGCTGAAACGTCGAAGGAAATTATATTTACCTACGTTGGCCTTATCTTTCCTGAGCAAGTCTCGGGATAGTCATAGGGATAACTTGTCGTAGAGAGCGTCTATTTTCTGGATAACTAACTATGATAAAGAAAGAAAATGCATTTACGTTAGCCTTATCCTTTCTTAACGAGTCCCGGCACAGCTCCACGGCGTTGAGCTCGGCCTCCAGCTTGTGCAGCTTGCCCTCCAGCATATTGCGACTCTAGCTATAACTTGTCGTAGAGAGCGTCTATTTTCTGGATAACTAACTATGATAAAGAAAGGAAATGCATTTACGTTAGCCTTATACTTTCTTAACGAGTCACGGCACAGCTCCACAGCGTTGAGCTCGGCCTCCAGCTTGTGTAGCTTGTCCTCCAGTTTGTGCAGCTTGCCCTCCTGCATATTGCGACTCTAGGGATAACTTGTCGTAGAGAGCTTCTATTTTCTGGATAACTAACTATGATAAAGAAAGAAAATGCATTTACGTTAGCCTTATCCTTCCTGAGCGAGTCCCGACACAGCTCCACGGCGTTGGAGCTCGGCCTCCAGCTTATGCAGCTTGCCCTCCAGCATATTGCGACTCTAGGGATAACTTGTCGTAGAGAGCGTCTATTTTCTGGATAACTATGATAAAGAAAGAAAATGCATTTACGTTAGCCTTATCCTTTCTTAACGAGTCTCGGCACAGCTCCACGGCGTTGAGTTCGGCCTCCAGCTTGTGCAGCTTGCCCTCCAGCATATTGCGACTCTAGGGATAACTTGTCGTAGAGAGCGTCTATTTTCTGGATAACTAACTATGATAAAGAAAGAAAATGCATTTACGTTAGCCTTATCCTTTCTTAACGAGTCTCGGCACAGCTCCACGGCGTTGAGTTCGGCCTCCAGCTTATGCAGCTTGCCCTCCAGCATATTGCGCTCGTCTTCGAGGATGCGCACGCGCGTGGTCGCCTGGTCGTGCAGGTGCGCCGTGCGGCCCAGCTGTTGCGACTCTAGGGATAGCTTGTCGCGGAGAGCGTCTATTTGCTGGATAATTAATGAATAAATTAGTCAAGTATAGTTTTTTAAAGCTAACGTAAAAATAAGCCTTTGCTTCTTGAAAAAATCCATTTGCTGGGTATTAAACTCGATGAATATTAGTGTTTTTAAATAAAGTTACTTATAAAAAGGCACTTAAAGATTTTGTATCTTGAGAAAATGAGGGGCAGAGATTTACGACAAACCATGTTTTCTTTTCTAGATAATGGCACATGAGTAGGTAAATATTGCACTATTTAATTATTACGTCTTTATGTTTTATCAAATATTTTTATGCAGATTCAAATCAAGGATAAATGATTGCATTCTGTCTCAACTTTTTTTTAAATTATTACGTTAAAAACATACCTTTTATACTTATATGTTTTTTAAGTAAATAAATGTTAAATTACAGACTCCATTATTATTATCTTTCGACTGGTGATTATCAAAATGAAATTGTCGAATAAAGGTCTTAAGCAGTTGAATAAATACGTCGTAAACCATAAGATAATCCAGCTTCTAGTAGCTTATAGACACAACTCGATTTAAATATTATAAAATGATACCACTTGTTAACCTTTTCAGTTACCTATCGACTTACCACTGACTTATCTTTATTGTCACTTAATATTTCCCGAATCCTGTCCTTGATAGTGCTTTCATGGGCTTCTACAAATCTTGTGGGAAGACTAAGTAAAATTGCTATTGATTCCATGGTATTACGGAATTCTGTTTGTAGTCTTTGATTCTTCTCATCTCTGTGTCTAAGGTCCTCTGAAATAATTTTAATGATAATATGTAATATTGTACCTACTACAATAAAGATTATACAGTGTGAGTCACGTTAAAGTGTACATATGAAAATAGATAAAACTAGACCTGTTTTTATCGACAAAAAAGAGGTCAAAAATTTTTTGAGATTTTTTTTAAATTTTTTATAGATTTTTTTTTCTTCCAATTACTTATTGTAAAGAAAACGTAATAACTTTTAAACTAAGCGGTATATCCTAATAAAATAAAAACAGTAATAATGCTAAATAACAGGCGATACTAAAAAAATACATAAAATACACAAAAAAGGCCAAAAAATAATAAAAAATTATACTTTTTGAAAAAAATATGCTTAAAAATTCGTGTTTTTTTGGTTATTTGATAAATTTCTCCAAAAAATGCCCCATAACCGGTAGTTTTTATTACTTTGTATTGTTCTCTATCGTATTATCTTTGTAAAACCAAAAATCGCATGTCTCTATCCCTATTACAACATTTGCTATGATCGTTTGAACAAAGGCCTGCCACAACATTATTCTCCGCTACAGGTAGAGACAATTTTAATTGTAACTAAAATGGTTATTTTACTTCGAAATCTTTTGTTGTTATTTGAAATCTAACTTGTCTTTATCAAAATTACAAATCTAGAGCCATTTTCAGTTTTGTTGTTAACGAAGCATTGAATGGCGCGCCCGGAGAGGCTTAGTTCAAACGATCATTGCAAACGTTGTGATAGGGATAGAGACATGCGATTTTTGGTTTTACGAAGGTAATACGATAGAGAATAATACAAAGTAATAAAAACCACCAGTTATAGGGGCATTTTTTGGAGAAATTTATCAAATAACCAAAAAAACACGAATTTTTAAGCAGATTTTTTTCAAAAATTATCATTTTTTATTATTTGTTGGCCTTTTTTGTGTATTTTATGTATTATTGCCTGTTATTTAGCATTATTACTGTTTTTATTTTATCAGGATATACCGCTTAGTTTAAAAGTTATTACGTTTTCTTTACAATAAGTAAAATTGGAAGAAAAAAAATCTCAAAAAAATTTTGACCTCTTTTTTGTCAATAAAAATAGGTCTAGTTTCATCTATTTTCATATGTACACTTTAACGTGACTCACACTGTATAATTACCTACATAATATTTAAAGTCGCAAAAAATTCGTGCGTGAATAAGTATTTACACACGGAAATTAAATTGAATTTCACGAAAAAAATATGAAGACCATATTATTCATTACCTATACCAACTTGATAGGAGTAAAAATGTAAAATCTACAAAAAAAAAACTTACCTTTTAACTGGACTATTATTGCTTCATTCTGATTCACATTGTCAGTGACGACATTTAAGTTCTTTGAACAATGAGATAGCTTTTCTCGCGCTTCGTGTAGCTCCCGCTCAATGACCCTATTTTGCACGGACAAAGACTCTTTCTCTTGTTTCAGCCTCTCGGTCTCTAAGATTTGTGATGAGAGCTGTCGCTGTAACATATCTTTATCAGCATTTGATCTCTCTAAAGCATCTCTACAACTTCTGAAATCTTGTTCAACAGACGATAAATTTTCAGTGGTGTTCAAGCATTTATTCTTTAATCTGGAAATTTCTTGAACTAGCTCTGCTGCTTTTATGATGAGACTTTCAGGGGAGTGCGTGTGTGTCGTATCACAAAAATCAGCGTCCAGAGCGGCGGACATGCGTCGCACTAGATCATGGAACTGACATCTTGCATTTTCCTTTTGTTGTTCTTCGTTGTGGCATTCTAGCTCAAGTGTTCGTAGTTTCTTTTCCATATCTTTAATTTTATCTTCGTAGTATCGGTTGTCTCTTTGCAAGGTTTGCACGGTAAGATCACATCTCCCCTGAGACGCTTGTAGATTCCGATGTATCTCTTCAAGGTCATGAATTTTCTTTCTGAGCGAGGATATAATTGCATTTTGGCGGGCATTTTGCTCACGTAGATGGTCTATTTCCACCTGTTGTTCTAATATTCTTTGGTCTCGAGAAAGCATTTGGTTTTTTAAATCACTATTCTGAAAATGTAAAATTGAAACATAAGAAAATTAAGTATATTAAATGATTAACTAATTTAATGAAATAGTATTTAGGTTTGCACTATCCACCTCCGAAATTAATTTATCTCGTTTGTACTGCAATCCAGCAAGATCACTCCTCAGTGCTGTGATGATATCATTACCAGTGTCGGCCTCCATCTGAACAAATTAAATAATATCACTTCAAATCTTATTCACTGTGAATCTAAGAAACTTTAAAAAAACCACCATAAACTTCCGCAAGTCACAGATATTTGGGAAACTCACAAAACGCCATGATTATTAGCCTTTTAGTTCCGATCAAGAAGAAACAATTTTGTGTGGCGTGCAAAAGACGACTACCTACTGAATGTAAGTACTTTATGTTGGAAGCGTAGCGTGATAGGGGTCGCTATTTCAGGCCCGTGAAGAGTCACGATATCCCGTTGCTCAGTAGGAACCTGCCAGTAGATAATTTACATGAAACCGCCTTTGTGCCCCATCAAATTACTGCTGCGTTTACCAGATCGGTTAGATAACGAGGTCGCGGTGTATGTTACGATTCCATAAATAGCTATAGACATAGAGACAATCATTGAAAAATTACTTTGTGAGGAAGGGACGTAATTCTGACCTGGAATTTAATTCATTTACTTATAGCTAAGCTTATACAATTCAGAGCAAGCCGTGCGAGGTACGAATTTACCCCAAACATCGACTAATAAATTTACAAACTGAAGGTGCATTTATTATCTTGCGTACCTACTATCATTTCTTCATTTTAAATGGCTACAAAGTAATTATGACTGGAATGGAAAATTGAGCTGAAATAAAGCTTCGATTTATACGAGTAAGTGTTGTTCAAATGGATGCGAAGACGAAGAACTAGGTAAATAGGATACCTAATATTTAGGTCCTTCATATAAGAAATTCATCATCATCATTTCAGCCACAGGACGTCCACTGCTAAACATAGGCCTCCCCCAATGACTTCCACAAAGAAGAACTTACTTCGTCTTAATTACTTATAGTGAATAAATTATGTGCGAGCAACATTTATAAGACCTAAGTAAGTAGGCCATGAAAATAGGTACCTACCTATGGCCACTTTATTTCCTCGAAAATTGTAATAGAAATTGTATATGGTATTTTTCTTGGTCCACCTAACACATGAATTGCACGAAAAACTGGGCAGGTAAGTAGGTATCCATGAACAGTCAAACATTTCATTTCATCCGTTCCGTTCCGTTTTCCACCCGTTCCGTTCCAAGCTCTAAGCTCATGCCTTAACCTAACCTAACGCTTTGCTAAAAATCCCGCGTGTGATTTTTTTACCAAAGTTATGACCTAGCTATTGCAGTTGCACTGCACATCTGCACCCACATTGGATGAATCTCCATTGCATTTACCTACTAAATAGTGGTTAGTAACTTAAAATGTTGATATTTGAAAATTCTTATAAATAGCACCTAAATAGGACATACTTGTAAGTAAATAATGAAATCAAAATTGTACGTAAATTTTCAGGTAGTATAACATGGCATAAACAATAAGTTTCAATAACATGCCCCTAAAGCACGCCTAAAGTAACTGTCAAGCAAGAAAGTTGTAATGAGTGAGTACTCACCTCAGTAGGTGTTTTGCTGCACAATGCTTCATAAATTTTCCAATCTTCAGTCTCGTCTTTCCCTTTTTCCTCCTCCATATCGCACGTTTCCAGGTTACTTCGCTGTAGCGCGATGTTTTTCAGGCCTTGCTCTTTGCACCGTTCGCGTTGCCACGGTGTGTTCAACGTAAACACGAAAATCGATTTTACTTTCCGTCAGAAACAACTTTTGTTCCCTTAATTGCGCTATTTTCAGTTTAAGATTAATGGTATTTTTTCAATGGCGTTTTGCTAAACAATAAGGTAATGTTAAGTATCATTTGTTTTAGACGATACGAAAGTAATTATTAGGTAAATTGTCATTTTGACATAGCATTTTCATAGAAAATAAGAAAACCCATGTAGAAAATTCATAATTCTATTATGTTAAATTTTAGTTTTTCTCAGGAACAACAAATCTTAAAATGTGTGTAGTTTGAGACTATTATTACTATTGTATCCAAATACTTATTTGTTTAGTTGTTTATAGGATGTAATAAGTGCGCGCATTACACGGCTGGCCGCGTGACGAAATCTCTACTACATTATTATAAATGCTGCCAAAGAAAAATGCCTGTAAGAAGAGCTGAGCGAGATGAAGGTCATTTTGAAACATCTATTATTACAGTCGAGCGGAAATGACAAGAGGACAAAGATTAAAAAAACGACGCTGAAAAAGTATAAAACAAGATTTTCAGAATACTGAACTGAACAAAGTTGCTAATGTATTATTGTCAAAGTGCTACGATAGGTACGAGTAGGTATATGTAACGTGTGACTACGCCTTTCCAAACATGAAAATTACTATGCAACTACATTAGTAACTTTTTTCAGTCCAGCTTATGCTTATGGCCTGGGGGGAGGGGCAAGCCTTACCCAGCTTCTGGCCTGGGGGGAACCCAGCTTATGCTTATGGGCTGTGGGAGGGGCTAGCCTTACCCAGCTTCTGGCCGAGGGGGAAGTCATGCCCAGCTAATGACCTGGGAAGAGGAGGGGGGCGGGGGAGTCATACCCAGCTTCTAGGCTAAGATTAAATAGGAGGGAGCAGCTGTCCTTTCCTGCAGCAGCTGGTCCGCCCATGGGAACGGCGAAAAGATAGGTAGGTACGTAGGTTTAACTCGGAAAAACTAAATAACAGGTAGGTATTGCGTGTACATCGAAATGATCTGCATAGAAATGTCTTGTAGCCTAGGCAGAGTGTATCTGCCTCAGCTATACCTTATTGTTAGAAGTAAATAAATTAATACTTATACATTTTTATATTTTACTTGGAAGAAGATATGACTCTAACAACACTTATGAACACTTTATTTTCATCTTAACTGACAGTTAAATATTTGCAACAATATTTCTGTTAGATGTAGGGTAGGTATACTTAACATTGATGAAACAAACGCTGGCTGTAACAGCGTATTACACTTGAAAATTTCGACGGGTTCATCCAGTGTCTAAGTAGCTCAGTTGGAAGAGCAGTCGCCCGGCAAGCGGAAGGTCGTGGGTTCAATTCCCGCCTTAGGCAGTTCGATTTTTTCAAGTTATTTATAATTTTCAAATTAGTTTGAGATGCGACTCTAAAACGCTAAAAATTTAATAACTATAGTTTAGAAGTTACGAGTGAACAGATGAACATACATACATAGCCTGTCAAAATCATAACCCCTCCTTTTGCTTTGCCGTAGTCGGGTAAAAATGAGAGCTCGCTCACCAAATACTCCCGAACTCTTTCTCGGTGGAAAATCCAATCCTATTTATAAGCACACGAAGACCGCTCCTGGACATCCCTAATTCCCTCTTTGGTGGTGGAAAAACTGGCTTAAGATTTGGTCAAAACCATCGCGTCCAGCCTGCACTCGCGTTCCAGACGTTTATTTTGAAAAAATGATTTTACGTGACATGAAGCCACGCACGAGCAGGTGGTGCATAAAATTGTAACTTACATTAGGGCTTGTGTGGAGTAAAGGTTGGTAGAGGTCTAATATACTTTATGCCTAACAAATAACTTTTTTCGTTGTCCTTGGCCTACCTACTGCCTAGTTTTACCGTTTGGTCCTGAAGGGTCCTGCCAATAATAATTTGATGATAAAAAATTTATGGGCATTATGTGTGTTGGGTACATTTTTTGATACTTGAGTATTGAGTGTGAGATGGTGAGAAATAAAATGCAGAAATACGAATAATTTCTATATTAGGTAACAAGTGGACAATGAGATGCTTAAAATTTTAAGTCAAAAAATAACAAAATCACGTATATTGCATCCATAGATGCAAATTAAAGGAAGTTGCCACAATCAGAAAATCCCTGTTTTCTGAGTCTTATGTTTTTCTATAATACTAAGAAGTTCGTTTTCTTATCACTCTTATCCTAAGATAGTTTTCAAAAGTAACCTAAATAATAAATGCCATTGGCAGTCTGCATCAGTTGCAGTCTAATCCCCTAATTTATAAAAACTACTTAATAAGTATTTTTTAAGAATAAAAGGATTAGGTTTTCTTCGTAGTCTTAACACCCTGGCACAAATGAATTTGATAATCAGCAAAGGAATTCGTCATATTGGATGATTATTTTTAATAACATGGTCATTTGTTTGGACCATGCTGTTAAAAAGACATTTCGCTCTTATCATTAGGGCCAGCTTGTTAATATTTTTATAAACAATCACATCTTAATTTCAGATCTTTGATCCAAATTATAACAATTTTCCTTAGGCTTCAACCACACCAACGCGTGCAGATCGCCATTGCCGGCGCGAACAAAGGCCAATGACAGGTCGCGCGACCCATGACAGTTCACGCGACCTGTCATTTCCCTATGATTGAGCCGGCGATGGAGATCTGCACGCGTTGGTGTGGTTGAAATATTATATTAAAAACTAACGGCGGTGGTCTTTTAATATCAAAACGAGCTTAATTAATCAGTTTTAATCAACAAAAACAAATAGGAATGAAAGTGATCGAGAATCATATGATCACTTCTAGAGGTAGTCAAAATGATATTTGGTAGGGGGTCTCACTACGCACGTAGCTAACACCGACGAAGTATGATTAAATATGGCATCTTAAAAACTAGGTATTGCCATTGTAGGCTTGCACAGAGTCGATTCGTCATAGGCGCCTCGAGCGCGATCAATGACGCGTACGTATTCACGTTTACTTTCAACGTTTTCCAAATTCAAAGTGTAACCAATCGACTGTGTGGCAAACTCACAATGACCTATCTACACTTACATCTAACATCAAGATTTAAAGGAAGTAGAGGGTCTCATTGAGCGACTGATGCGGCTGGTTGTGCAGGCTGTTGGCGGCCAGGAAGGCCAGCTTGTGCGCGTACTGGCACACGGACGGCACGCGCACCTGCGACGAGCAGTTGAAGTACAAGTGCGTCAGCTTGTACGACAGCAACTGGATCTGCAAGGAGAATTCGCTTTTCTTTTATACTGTTCACACACAAAATCCAGCAGAACATGGCTAAACCATGTTTCATACTGTTCACATATACAATTCAGTCCACGTTCAACATTTAATTAAAAAGTATTAATTTGAAAAAAAAAAGTGTAACTGTTTACGACGCCACATCCCTAGCGCGGTGCGGCGCGCGCAGCTGAATCCGCCGCCATCGATTTTCGGCTCTCACGAAGGACACCGAGCTGAACCCACACGTTTGTCCCATATTTTTGTGTTATTTATTGTAAAACTAATTTACTAACCCGATCCTAACAGAAAAAAAATACTGATGACGGACTTAAGTACTTTTAGTTATTGCAAATTTTGTACGATATACAGGGTGTCCCGTAATGCAACGTCAAGCCGGAACTGGGTGTTGAGGCAAGTTATGCTGGTTATCAGAAAAATATAAAAAAAAATCTATGTGGCATATTTTCAAAATAATGGGCATTTAAAAAAAAACAAAAATTTCTACTCCAGGTGACGGTCTTTTTACTCGTGTTGCCACAAATCTTCACTTTTTCCAAATTTTTTTTTTGTTATGTAACCCTGAATAATGCTTCTCTAAATTGTTATCAAAATTACAAAACCAGCTGCTCCAGCTTGGGTAAAAAAAATACATTATTCCCAAAAAAAAATTCAAAATAAAAATTTTGCCTAGTTTAAACTGACTGTACTGAAAAAAAAAAATGTACTACGCAAGTGTGGCATGTGAAGTCATAATTTGGCGCATTTAGTAAGGATTCCAAAATGGTATAACACTTGGTAAATTCTTGCTGTAATTGTCGACAATTTTTGGATTTTTGGAAATAATCCCGTTTTTAACTTTATCTACCTTGGTTAAAAATTATTATTCTAATGTGCCCAAAATTCAAGTCACAGAAACTTTTGTCACCATGACAGTAATGAGGATCATTTCGATTTTTAGCTGTGAATGCAGTTTTATAGGGCTAAGAAATCCTTAATACACAGTCCAAAAATTTTTGTTCTACGACAAAAATTGACGAAGTTATGGCCAAATTACTAAAAAAGTTCACTGACCGCCCGGCGCGGGTATAGATTACAGACAGACGACAGCACATGATCACATCACTCGATTTTTGTAGTAAAATAGCAGCTATTACAACCACAGCCTTAGTGTTTATGTGCTGACTCTAATCTCATCTGTACTATAAAGTGAAAAATTCCTGTAGATACTTACGCGATCGGGAGAGAGACCCGTGGAGTCTTCGATGACGTTGTACGAAGTCGGAGCGATGGTGCCGTCTCTTACGTTTTGCGACACCAGGTAGAAGTCATACCTGAAAAAAAAATAAAAATTAAAGTGAATTCATAAGCAAGTCACTGAAATATTTTTAATAAGAAAGCTATAGAATAGAAAGTTTGCTTTTCGTGTCTTACCTCTCTGGCAGAGTGACCACGTCATCGATGACAGTTCCCGGTCGCGGGTTTTCGCCGGTGTTGCCGCGGGCCACAAAGATGCGCGTGTTGATGCGCTTGGACACGATGATGAAGGCCAGCTTATATTCAGCCCCGGCGTAGATCTCCGCTAACTTCTTCTTGATCTCGGCCACCTGGCATTCAAAAGATAAAATTTTATCATCACAAATTATTAAAAATTTATGTATTTGACAGTTATGTGTCATTTAATTTACCTCATACTCGCGCACGTAAGAGATCTGCCCATCACCAACACCATCGCGATAGACAAATATGGGGTTGGGAAGCACACCTGAAACGATAAATGTAATAAATTCAATTCAATCAGGGTGAATTATATTGTTTGGCAATTGGCATGCAAACTATCGATACTAACCATTCCTCTCTCGGTATTTCCGGACAGCAGAAGCGATGTTGAAGCCCATGTGGGCGCTGAGTTCCTCGCCAGAGGTGTGAGCGTTGACAGTAGAGTAGTACTGGCTCATGCTCTGGTTAAGAGTTGCCACAAAGGCTCCGAAGCTCTTCTCCTTGGAGCGCGTGTCGTGGCATACGTCGTATCCCACTACCATGATCGTCTTCAGCGGGATCACGACGGTCCAGGGCGCGCCGCCGAGCTGGAAACACAAAACAGTAAGTACCAGACGAAAACTTAGGAAGAGAAATATAATAGCCATGGTGTGATATTTACCTTGCAGTTTATCTGGATGGCGACTTTTGTAGCGATGGACATAGCCGATTTGCTGGTCATGTTCCTGGCGCATACCACTTGGGTTGGGACTGCGCGGTCAACGGTACATTTCTTTTTGATGGCTTCGTATCTAAAGAAGAATAATGTATTTTAATAAATTACAAAGGTATAATTATAAAAAAATAAAATATTTTTTTTTATTATTATAATTACCTGTCCGAGAAGTTTCTAGCCAGAACGCACAAGATCATGTGCGGGTTCCTCCGTGCGATTACATTTTCGCACATGTTTGCGTAGTCCATGTGTCCATCGCGTTGAATGGTCACTAAAAAAACATTAATGATAAAATAGGGATTTTAAATATCAAGACTCCATGAAATCCTTTCTAATTGAATTAGAGCTTACCAATATCAGGTTTAGGTAGGCGGAAGCCGACGCCGTTGCCAGTCTTTATAATCATTTCGACAAAGCTTTCGGCGTCGCGGCGCTGTCTCTCAGGCGTGATGACAACCCAGGTTTGAACCCGAGCAATAGACAAAAGGTTCTTGGACCTGAAAATATTACAGGACATTTATTATTACTGTAACGCTGGTGTAGTCAGAGCAGAGTTTAAACATAATAAAATTTTTTTAGTTCATATTTCTTGTGGTACCTATACACTTAGTTTATATTTTTAAACATGTTTACCTCATGTCCCTTGTCCATCCCTCAGTGGTGTCGCCCGCAGGATACTTTTGTTCATTTCCTTGGATGATGTTTTCTGTTGGGAGCTGGCGCCCCTTGAATTTTATCAGGTCAGGTGACAATGTCAATGACCAATTGCCCAGTTCCTGCAAAAAATAAAATGTTAAAATAATTACTACTTAAGGTGCAGTAGGGTATGTAATTTTTACCACAATAAATATCACTAGTTTACAAAAAAAAAGTTTTTCTTTTACCCAAATATAATTCATATTGGATGTGTTTTCTACCAGCCCCCTTATTACAAAAATATATGTCTCATATTTTTATCACGTCAAGTTTTTGAGATATCCACATTAACCTAAGTAAGCTGTCTTGTTAGCCGTGTCGGAGTTTCTACTTTATTTTAATTGCGTTTAAGTATTATTTTAACATTTTCACTTGTTTTAAAATGTCACCGAGGCAGTGTAATTTAAGCCCAAATAACTTTTGCTAAGTTTGTGGTCAAATTATATCGTCAAAAAAGAAGAGAACAATCACTGAGGCCGTAAAACGGGCCTATTTCTATTACTTTCAAATCTCGGTAACAAACCTGATAAAAAACGGGTTCCTGGTGTAGTGTGCGAAAATTTAAGAAGTATATTATAGCACTAGGCTGCAGGTAAAAGAAAACATACACCATTCGGCACCTCAATGTTATGGAGAGAACCAACAAATCACACTAATGACTGTTACTTCTGCCTCACTGAAACTACAGGTTTTAACAACAAAAACCAAGAACATACAATATCCTGATGTTGCATCAGTCACAAAACCTGTGCTACAATCTGAAGGAGTTCTTTATCCATCATTACCCAGTAATTCCAATAAGGGGATGCTTGGTATTAATTTAAAGCAGTAGTGAAAAGTTTCCTGGGAAACTATAAATTTTTCTGAGAATTATGCAGAAACTGTTTCGAAATTATTGAAGAATTACCAAAGAATGGATGTGAATAAGTCGTTAAAAATTCATTTTTTACATTCTCGCCTGGTTTTTTTTCCTGAGAACCTGGGAAGCGTGAGTGTTGAGCATGGCGAAAGTTTTCACCAGGATTTGAAGGTTTTTGAGGAAAGATACCAAGGAATTTGGGATAAAAATATGTTAGCGGATTGCTGTTGGTCTATAATAAGGGAAACTGATACTAATCAGTTTAAAAGAAGGAGTAACACGACTCATTTTTGATTGTTTTTAGAGATAAATGTATAAAAATGATAAAAATTAATATAATCAATATTTACAAAATTTGACGTCCTAAATTTTTTCTAAGTTCAGTTTTTAAGTAAGGGTTAATAACTCTATCGATACATATCAGTTTCATCTCTGGGTAAAAAACCTTGTAAACTAGTGTATTTAATCTTAAGCTGGAGAAAAATCAGCTTTTATGGTTTAACATTAGTAGAATTATATCTCAGAAACTAAAACTGCTAGGAGTCTCTTATTTTGCATGGGGGTTCTAAGATTTTGCAAAATTCAACCCCTAAGGGGTGAAACGGGATCGACGAAGTCGCGGGCGGCCGCCAATATACCATAAAGCTAAGTCAGAGCTAGGCTTACTTTGACAACAGCCGCCGAGCTCGTGAACCGCCTGTTGAAGAGCATGAGCTTCTTGATTCGCGCGTCGGGCCCGATCTTGGTGTGCACGTCGAGCGCGCGCATGAGCTGGAAGTTGGCACGCATGGCGTCCGACAGCCCCGTCTGCCGGCACAGCTCGGGCACCAGGAACACCAGCTCCGGCATGCCGGCGCGGATGTCGCGCGCCTTCGAGCGGGAGATCAGCAGCGGCTGCCCTTGGTCTTGGATGCGGATGTTGTATTTCTGAAACGGTTGTCTCGATTAGATGGTGTCGATGGAAATCGATTGAGAACAAAAATTCTGTGAAATATTAAGACGCAATTACGCGCGAGCGATAGGGATGGGTGTTGCTTGGGGTCATTGGACGGGATTCTACGTGCTCACGGACCAGGCTTTAGCTTGTTTTCAACACCATCTAGACAGAGTTATCAGACCACATCCTTAGCGCCGGTTGCACGAGCAGCCTAGTCCGCCAGCTATTCGAACGAAGCTGACGTCACGCCATACATACATACATAGACAAAACTGTAAGCATGTTATTATAAAAAAAATATAACTTTTACCTTTTGGTAATAATCCATATAGGAGACCATTTCATCCTTCATTTTGAAGGTGGACCGTGGAGATGAATCCCAAGACACGTCGTCAATCCGATAGGTCTTTTTGTTGTAGTCAGTCATGACAATTTTACCTATAACAAATAAAATAGTGGAATTAAACAATGTAGTTCTTAACTTCTTATTTTTGAGTCATTAATGTGAGAATAGTATTTTGTCAGCATTATCATTAGGTACAGTCGACAGCACATCAAGCTATACATTTTCGTTGCAAACTCGCCCTTATCGCAACTACGTAAGATACCGCAGTGTTTACGTTGTACATGGAANACATGAAAAAGACACTTACCAACCACATCCTCCAAAAAGATTTTCTTGTAATTTGCTCCTTTAGTGGCCGCATATTCTGTTAACATTTGCAGCACGGTGTCCATTCGGAGTACCTAAGAGAAAACAAATGATGTTACTGTTACAATAATATAAAAATGTTGGTAAACGCATAACTCAACAATCAATTTTACCAATTCTTTTGAAAATGGTTTTTACGGCGAGAAAAGTTCGAATAATTTCTGGGAAAATCTTTAAAACTCGAAACTTCACCCCTAAGGGGGTAAAACGGGGTCCACGCGTACGAAGTCGCGGGCGGCCTCTAGTTATAAGATATTTTTAAATACAGAATTGATTTAAATATAAATAAATAATTATTGTCATTATTACATACCTTGTGGGCGATTTCTGTTACCATCAGCAATCTGTCCTCATATTGATTAATAGTTGTTTTATAACCAGGCCAGATTTGGAGTTTATGCTCTGGTATATCCACCTGAAAAGAAATTCATAAATATTAATTCTTAGGTATCAATATCGTCTTCATATTCTCGATTGCCAGTAAAGAGAATCTATGGCAAAGATTAAAAATAACTCACCTTAGCTTGTGGATCAAAGAAGTCTCTGCCGACTAGCTGCAGATCCAAGAGACTGAAGCACTTCCTAATGATGATATTGAAAACCTGGATATAATGGTAATCTCCAGGGCTGACATCATGGACCAGCTGTAATAAGAGATCAAAGTCAGCAAACTTGTCCATACAACAAGAAAGGTGTGAACACAAGTTTAAAATGGTATGATACATACCTTAATCAATACACGCATTCTTTGACCATCTGTTTTGCGGTCAGAGTATAACTCCATGGGGTCAGGATGTAGACGCTTTACTGTATACAGAACTGTACCGTCAAATAGATATCTGTAATAAAAAATATTTTATTAAGATGATGTATCAATGTCATGATTTAGAACAGAGTAGGAAGTAAAGAAAGACTTACCCTCCAAAGGTATTAGCATGGACACGGACAAGGGCCTTGCGGACACCAGTACTATCTTCCTCAGGATCAAAATCCACATGATACTGGTACAGACGCCACTGTGGAGTTGTCTTGACCGTGAAATAATTGGCCATGAGGTCAATAACAGTGCCAGATGATCCTGCCAAAGAAATGAATGTTGTAAGTTGATAGTGTCAAGAATAACATTGTATTGTCTGTGTGGTCATAAAAGTTTACCTTTTTTAGTTTCCACATGCGTGGGACGAGTTCTTAATATTGTCATTTGTTCGGGGAGCACGCGTCCCCCGCCACGGCGAGACCCGCGGCCGACGACGGAGCTTGCGTCTCCACCCCCGCCGCCCCCGACGGCTTGGGCTCCTTGACCTAAACAATAAAACATATAATTAAACACCACAGAAGCAAATTTTGCGCATTTTCAGGCGATCGTCAACTTCAGAACAAAATATTGCTGATATTGTCAATATAACCATGTCGTTGTCACGTCACCGTCAATATGATACAAGGACGTGGTTGACGTGTAGCTCGGTGGTTCATAAAAATACTTAATGCTTAGCTTAATAATATACCAAAATACCAACAAATTATAGCTTGCGCCAAGCATCAAGTTTAATACAGTGTGAGTCACGTTAAAGTGTACATATGAAAATAGACTAAACTAGACCTATTTTTATCGACAAAAAAGAGGTCAAAAAATTTTTGAGATTTTTTTTAAATTTTTTATAGAATTTTTTTTCTTCAAATTACTTATTGTAAAGAAAACGTAATAACTTTTAAACTAAGCGGTATATCCTGATAAAATAAAAACAGTAGTAATGCTAAATAACAGGCAATACTAAAAAAATACATAAAATACACAAAAAATGCCAACAAATATTAAAAAATGATACTTTTTGAAAAAAATCTGCTTAAAAATTCGTGTTTTTTGGGTTATTTTATAAATTTCTCCAAAAAATGCCCCTATAACCAGTGGTTTTTATTACTTTGTATTATTTTCTATCGTATTATCTTTGTAAAACCAAAAATCGCATGTCTCTATCCCTCTCACAACATTTGCTATGATCGTTTGAACAAAGGCCTGCCACAACATTATTCTCCGCTACAGGTAGAGACAATTTTAATTTCAACTTAAATGCTTATTTTACTTCGAAATCTTTTGTTTTTATTTGAAATCTAACTTGTCTTTATCAAAATTACAAATCTAGAGCCATTTTCTTTTTTTGTTGTTAACGAAGCGTTGAATGGCGCGCCCGGAGAGGCTTAGTTCAAACGATCATTGCAAACGTTGTGATAGGGATAGAGACATGCGATTTTTCGTTTTACGAAGGTAGTACGATAGAGAATAATACAAAGTAATAAAAACTACCGGTTATAGGGGCTTTTTTTTGAGAAATTTATAAAATAACCAAAAAAACACGAATTTTTAAGCGGATTTTTTCAAAAAGTATATTTTTTTTATTATTTGTTGGCCTTTTTTGTGTATTTTATATATTTTTTTAGTATTGCCTGTTATTTAGCATTATTACTGTTTTTATTTTATCAAGATATACCGCTTAGTTTAAAAGTTATTATGTTTTCTTTACAATAAGTAATTGGAAGAAAAAAGTTCTATAAAAAAATAAAAAAAAATCTCAAAAAATTTTTGACCTCTTTTTTGTCGATGAAAATAGGTCTACTTTCATCTATATTCATATGTACACTTTAACGTGACTCACACTGTATTTTTATGAATGAACATAGTTCTCCTTTCCGGAAGTGTATAAATGTTGAAAACCACAATGTTATTTTTAAAATAAACTAGCTTTCCTGCCGCATGGAATTTTTTGGTTTTTTATTATAACCTATGACACTCTGCAATAATTGGGCTTTATATTGGTGAAAGAATTTTCTTCTTTTCTCTTTGTTTTTATATGGGTTGCCCAGGTTAAGCTCCGGTCCAGATGGAGTCCCAGGTATCTTACACAATTTTCTGTAGGCAGTTGTTGGCAACAACTTGTTGCCCCCGTAGCGTTACAGCTGGGCAGTCTCCTTTGCGGAGCGTGAACATTATTTGTAGTTTTTTTTTGCAGAAATCATTAACACAAAAAAAAAATAGTTTAAAAATACAGCATGTGAATGATCACCCATTAACGATATAAAAGTTGTTCTTTCGCTGTATGCATACGACACAACAAAACAATAAGGTCTTACCAAGGTCAATCTTCTGCATACGCTGCTGGATGTCCACGTCTCCGGGATGATCACGGGTAGTGGCAGACGTGCGATGGGAAGCTCGCCCAGCTTGAACTGTAGGTGTGGGGACTCCTGCTCGTACTGGGGGCGCTGCGGTAGGTGGGCCCCAGGCGGACGGCGGCTGCGGGCGCGGGCCGGGCGGGCCCGGCTGCTGCTGCGGCGGCCCGGGCTGCTCGCCGGGGCGCCGGGGAGGCGGGCCTGCGCCGTCCCCGCCGCGCCCGGCACGCCTCAGAGCTCGTCCTCTACCACGCTCAGACATGGCAGACTAATAACAAAAAACAAACTCAATAAATTCAAATAAGTGTCTTGTAAGTTCCTTTATTTTCAAGTAAGTAGATTTGGGCAAAATAAAACCATCAATGAAAACTCATTAAGAAACAGCAATGCAACAGAACGACTCCATTTCAAGAGTTGCTGTATTTGCAATGTAGGTGACTGCTTAAAAATGCTTAGTTGCAAAATGTTTTAAATGGCGGCTACCTTACCGTGCAAGAATTTAATAAAATAAAAGTACCTAACTACCTTCTGTGTTGACAAATTTAGATTTACTCTGAAAATTTCAATTTATAGGAAGCCAAAACTAACAAATTGATAAAAAACAACACGAAACAAAAACATAAACAACAGGTATTGAAATGACAATGATGAAGATCAAATCAACACAATTTCGTAGCATTACGAGAATAAAAATCTTACCTAAAATCCCCACCAAAAGAGAAATTAGAAAATTATGTACATAAATTAAAAATCCAAAATAACACGAAGCGCATGTGAAGTGCGGCCAGCCAAGAAAGATCGTTCAGTGAAAAACCAAAGACAAAACAGAGGCTTCCAAACAGGAAGTTGGGATATTGATCGATCGTATGCCACTATTTGAACGTCCCGACAGATTTGTGACGCATATCCGTCCATAGACAATTACTATATTTTCAACATGGACGTCCTTCGAGCACAGAATTTTAGGAGAGGGCATACATTAAATGCCTAATACTCTACTAAAAAGTTTTTTTGTGTGAACTCACTCACTTTCAGAATTTTAAAAGAATTTGCACTTTATTAAACGTAGCAAACGCAAGTGTGGTCAAAAATTACACAATTAATTTTTTTAGTGAGCTTCGTGGTTATAAATTGACTTTTGAATCGCTCTCAGCTTTAACTTTAACCTTAATTTTAACAGACAACATGTGCTATATTATTCACGTTTAAAATTGTATAAAAATACTTTCTATCCATTAACTAGCTCGGTGAAGGTCCTTCTTTAACGGGATCTTAGACTTTCAAGAAGACATACTATTGTTTGGTTTGTAGCTACCTACGTTTACGAATTTACGATAGAAGAGGAACAAAAAATACAAAGGCAACTTAACTTATTATTATGTGCGCTCCGAGGAATAGGTTAGGTGCGATTCATTAGGTGCGCTTCAGAATGAGTGCGCTTCGAGGAATAAGTATTCTATGATCTGAGGTTGAGACACATTGTAGATTACAAGGTTAAGTTAAGTTAAGATTACAAGGTGGACCGACGACATCATAAAGGTAGCAGGAAGGCGCTGGACGCAGGTCGCTGCCAACCGGGCAGCATGGAAAGCATTGGGGGAGACCTATGTTCAGATTGTTCAGCAGTTGATGATGATTGTAGATTAACCAACCACTACGGTGGTTGAATGGCGAGTAGGACAGAAATTCATTCGAATTCATATTGCCATCATCCATCCATAAAATAAGATGTTAAATTAATTATTTTAACAATTTATTGGTATCTAATACATCTTTTGGCGATAACACAAGTATCAAAAGGTCAACAGAGAAAGCAGTGAAAAATACAGCTCTAATGTAGTTTTGATGTTATCGAAAGTGCAGTAAAAGGTCCCAGCGTATTTTTCTATAGAAATTAATGGTGGTGTGACCGTGTGACGAATAGTCCGCGCGATTTGCGGGTCTTTTCTTAGGTGACTTTTCTCCCCCCTACTTAACTACTCACCCAAATAAGCTAAGGTATGGGTAGGTAGTAGGTTCATTGTAGATGACTTCGATTAAATTGAAAACTAAATTATAAAAACAATACTTTACTTTAATAACCACCCGCTATACCTACTTTAGTACGAGTTACCTTCTTTAGTAGTCCTGTTTTATGACGTTTAAAAACACATGCCAAAGTTAAATTACAAAGTCAAGGTTCAGATGAAGATAATTATTTACTTAGCCCTCTTATGAACCTGTATAGTAGGTATACTCGTAGTATAATAGACTATTTTGATGTCGCAAGCTGTACCAGAAAGACTACTACTACGTAGTTACCTACGCTTTGTTTAAGAATGCGAGACTAATAATACCTTTCTCATACTTTAGACTCAATTAAGGGATCAATATTCGATGGGATAAATGGGCGTTTAAGTGTTGTTTGCCGAAGTCTCAGCGCGAGGGGTGGCGATATTGCCGCAACCGAAATGAGACATGCTCAATGCCGAGTGAATACGCGTTTCGACTTATAAAAAGATACATTGATATTTACAACACCTATAGTACCGACTTTATACGGGATAATAATATAGGAGGGAAAGATAGGAAGATAAAAAATATTAAAGCAAGTGAGTAACTTCCCATCATGCCTAGGTCCGGCATCTTCATGAAATTCAGACGTGGTGGAAATTTTCAATTTACCTCTTTATATTTAAAAGTCGACTGGTTAGAAAACGCTTTCACTACCTTGGTTACATAGTAATAATTATAATTAGTAAATAAATAGACATGACAATAAAATTTTATTAATGAACCAAGTATTTTTTGTAATTTGTTCCATACCAATGAAAGAGAAAATTTGAAAACATTTCTGCTTTATTAAGCAGTTTTTGCAGTGTTCTGAAGTAGTTACTTACTGTACAAGTTGTGCTAATAAATATTTCCGAGGGGTGCATTTAACAGAGTAATGTTGTATTCCGTTAACCCTCGTCATCACCATATTTGTTACCCGGAACTGAATTTAAAATAGGGATTTAATGTCCATTTGACACTGCTTTAAAATTGCACAGTTCAACTCGAGCGTTTTTATTAGCTACCATTTTCCTTTCTGTAACGGGAACCCTCCCTCTACTTGAGGAGAATTTATTTAAATTCCTAAAAGAATATTTTCCCTTTTTCTTTGTGTCCCTCTTTCCTCGAATTCGGAAGCCTTAAGTGAGTTTGAGGCACTATTGTTTGTCAGTTAATTTTGTCGTGCGCTCTAAGCTTTCTTGGATTTGTCGCAAACATAACTTCTATATCAACTTGATACGCTCTCAGAATTTAAACAAAAGTATTAAGAAAGAAATTATGAGAAATAGATTAGGTTTGTTTTATTATGGGTACATTCGGATTTTTGTATTGGAAGAAAATTATAAAATAGGCAACCTTCTTATATTTTAGGGTTGTCCAAACTAATAGACTACTGCTCAAGAACGCAGAGCAAATCTCAACAAACAATCAACATGTAACATTTTTTTTGCAGGCACAGCATGGAGTCCGCTCTAGGTTTCAATTTGCCTTTAACAATGGGCTCGCGAATCACCGCGTAATATTAATTAAAATGTGTTCCCTCTTGCTTCCCCTTAATTAAGTGCTAGTAGAGTTTTGTCGGGTCCCTCCCGGGACGGCGACACCGGGACACATAAAACATTCACGACGAACGGTTAATAGCCGCAGTTTAGATGGCGAGATGTATTCTGCTAGCTGTTTAATATGCAAGCCGGCCGATTAGCAGATTCGCTTGCGTTGTCATCGTTATTTAATCTTGAACGTGCATGGGGATAATATTGCGTGATCGTTTGGTAAGAAAAGAAGTTGGATAGAAAAGATTTTATTTTTATTTAAACAACTTAAAATAAATTTATATTATGTATTATATTATAACTTATAAGTATTCTGTGTTATCGCTTTATCGGCTGGATTGTGAGGGCGTTACTTTCCAAAGAAATATTATAGCACTCTCTCTCTTTACAAAGATGCAAGAATGCCATTTAATTAGAGTAGGTAATTGAAATAGGGCTTGAGCTATTTCAAAGTAATTCACCTGACTGTACTGTACTGACTGTAATACCAATTGAAAGTCATGTAAAAGTGTAAACATCCATAAACGGTTATTAGGGTAACATTAATAAACCGTTAATCCGGACCTCACAACATCATTGCAAACAGTATCTCCGCGAATTAATCAAAGTTTGAAATTATTTAAATATTGATTTAACTCCAGTAAGCAGGGCGGGCGGGCAAATGTTGGGCCTGGGCAAACAGCAATATCGCTGCGCCTCTAGGCTCCCGGGGCGGCTGGCGTCCGCCCGCCTTGTATGATAATCACGGATTTATCTCTGCTTCGCTTGTATGTAGTGGACGGATGATTACATCGTTTTTTAATATCCGTCTTTGATCAAATGAGATATCCCGAGCTACATACAAGTATGTAAACTCACCTACAATAATTGTATGTACAGTCACGGAATGAAAAGGTTCGTCAGTTTTCAAATTGATTCCTTCAACGAATCGCGAGCACATAATATTACCTTTTGAAACTATGTTACAGAATAATCTCGAGTTAGAGAAAATAATCTTTAACTGTTCGTCAGTAAAGTTCAAAATTATTCAGATCAAAGTTGTTTGACGATTTATCTTGTCAAGAAGATTATTATGATTGATAAACTAAAACCTTCTTGTTGGTTCAACCTGCCATTATTATTTCTTATAAAATGAAAAAAACTATTGTCAATTGGTCAATGTCATCATTGCATTGCACTGATGGGATAGAAAAATAAACAAGCAAAACCTTATTCGTTAGCAAACGTCATATTTATTTAAATGTTAGCAGCACTGTTTCTTGCACTGTTATGTTGGCAGGTTTGACTCTTACAGTACCTAGTGCAAGCGAAAACCGACACTAAGGTGACGAACCTTTTCATTCTGCGACTGTACTTTCTGAATATGAGTATTTCATCATGAGACTCAAGTTTTTATTCAAGAATTATCAAGTTTCCTAAACTTCAAAATCCGCTTGAGCTTCGATTTGACAAACTTAGTTAATAATTTTCCTTGGCTTTACTTGATGAATGGTGCTGGTGATTATAATGGTAACGTTATCTCGTAGCGTCTCCCTCTAATGACTCGTCACTTTTAATGAGGCTGAGACACCTCCGTAATTTGTTACGGTTAACAAACCAACTTTGCTCTTAGCAGATTGGAGACTGTAAACAAAAGCGAAGTTTTTTGTTAAGCAAACATTGTCAATTTGAACAATATTCAAGTGACATAAATCGATGATTGTTGTTGTTACTTATAAATTGTCTTCATCTATTTTATGGGCTTATTTTGTAAAATGAGATATGGCGATTTCATGCTAATAGAATATTGAATACTGTGCCAATAAGGCTTTATTTCTATTTTTAATATTTTTTAAACATGCAATATAATTAAGACTAGGCGCAAACCACCGATTTTAGTTGGTTGGGTCGGGCTGTATGGAAATGTATGAAAGTGCGCACTTTTTGTTTTCGGCCGATTCTTCATACAAATTAGAATCGGGCTCAACTATCGGCCAACTAAAAGTCCAGGGTCTGCGCCTAGGCTCACACATTACTTAAGTACTTACATGATTTAAAAACATTTTCAAACGAATACTTAAATAAAAATAATGATATTGTTGTGGCGGGCACTTCGGAACTAAAAATCTAAAACCATATTAATAATTTTAAAGCCTAAATAATACATCAAAAAGATGTTATTCTAAGACGGATTAGCATAAGCCAGCTCAGCGGCGAGACATGAAAGTTTGTTATCGAAGCTTTAAAGCTTTGTTCGT